AGGTAGTCGTAGAAGAAGGTCCTCCACTCTGATGCTCTTCTCCAGTTGTTACTACTCCGTTACCAGCAAGACTGCTTCTAATCCTCTGGATCCGTGCAAGGATGTTGGCTAGAAACTCAACGGGGGGTGGAGCGTGTACTTCACCTGGTGGAGAGCTGCTCACTTCTGCTGTTGACGACCGTCCGCTTTGGCTTTCTACTTCTCCAACATCGCTGACCCTAATAGGACCACTGATAATTTGCAACTGCGCAGCATTTGCTTCCTCCTGTAGTGGCAAAACATCCACCCCTGTAGGTTTCGTAGAAGGAGGCAGATCTTCGATCATCTTCTGTAACAGTTCTAATCCTTCGTCTGCTTGTGCCTCTTCTGCTGGGGAAGCTGAAGAAGAAGAAGAAGAAGAAGAAGTTTTCTCTGACTGCTGTACTACATTCACCGACTCTTTGTCCTGCATCTCCCCACCCGCTCCAAAGAGGTCATCTACTGGTTGTTCTACTACTGCTTGAGACTCATGATCATCTGCTTTCTCAACAAAGGAACCTCGTGGCGTTGGCACTGTCTTTGAGATTAAAAGACTAACGTGCTTGGAGGAATGCTTCTGAGTCGGCCACTGGTGTTGGGTCCTGCCGTGAGCGCCATTGCTGTTTCCACCCTCCACCGATAGTGGTGCTGCAATATCTGCAGCAACTGCGCGACGCAGATCCTCAGCAACGAGCTTCCGTGAGGAAGTTCCTTGATCTAGGTTTTGTTCTTCATCGGATTTCTCTACCACATCACCGGCCTCCACCATTCCCTGTAACTCCGCAAAAGACGCAGCTGCAGCTTCATCCCACAGCAGATTTTCCCAAGAAGATGAACTACTCTGTTCTCCACTATCTGACAGATGTAGTACATTCTTCCGTAGTCGCTCTAGTAATGTGCGGTGTGTAGCACTGCCTGGCGAGATTCGAAGGAAAGCGACGTCTGGATGATCAACACTGTCCCTTTCTTCTTGATGTACACTCTTCTCCGGAGATTCCGCAAAACTACTAGATGTTGCTGATTCATAGCTCCCCGTAGCCCTATACTCAGGCAGCGGCAAGCCCAAAAAAGTACGCGTGCCTAAGTCTTTGAGTGGTTCCCACACGAAGCGAAGTCGAGGGAGTCCGACCGCACCCTGTGACCACAGGAATTTTACTAGTCTGTTATGAACCGGCGTCACTACGCGACCCAAAGGCGACATGAGACCGCACAAATACGCAACTTCTTGTTGATATTGTTCAACTTGGTGATACTGTCCTAGTCCTTCGTGTCCTAGTCCTTCGTGTTCATCTGGATCATCTACTGCGCTTGTTCTGGTGATATGTGCAATAACGATGTGTGGAGGAGAACCTGTAGTTTCACGTGGATGTGCTGGAAGAGGCCACGGAAAAGCTCCTCCTGGTGGAGCAACAAAGGCTGTTGTTGAAACATCGTCCTCTCTAATCGGAGCGCTGTAGTCTGTAGACTCCTCTCCGTGTTCCAATGCGTGAAGCGACGCCACTTGCCTCCTTCTAGACGACGCTTTCAAAGCCTGATCTTCTTGTTCTAGTTGCGAAGAAGAAGTTTCAACATCTCTACTACTGCTTTCACGACGACCACTGCCCATCTCATTGTACTCGTTTCGTTCCACGTTTCGTTCCACCCGTTCTTCCTCTCCACTGGCAACAACTCCATTGTCAACCTCACCTCCAGTAGTAAGATGTCGCTTTCCTCTAGTTCCAGGTTTTAGGATGAAATCTTGAGGTACTCGCCGTCGGCCAGTTGTAGTCTCTTCGAACATCTCTAGCATGCGGCCACTTTTTGGCTGTGTTCTCCTCCGAGATGACTTTTTGGAATAACTGCCACTATGATCTACTGCAATTATAGTGCTAGAATAGCTGGTGCCCTCTCCAATGCTGTTCCCATGCAAGTCATCTATTGCGTCGTAGTGTCGTGTCCTCTCGAGATCAGCCAAGATGTGTGGTCTGCCTTTATGGTCGTGCAGATCTCGGTGGAAATACGGAGAAATAGATCTAGATTCTTGTTCATCTTCACTGCTAGAACTAGAAGCTGTAGATTTCTCCAGTAGTGCCGAAGGACCACCCTCTGAAGAAGACGTACGTCTCCCCGGATCCCCACTGCAAAATGCTGCACCTCCTAGTCTAGAGTCCTCCAAATGCGGCACCACGCCGTAACGCAGTAACCGCACTGGCGCAGTGCGATCGCTGTCCAAAGAGCCAACGTCTGGCTCTGCTGGCGTCACTACGCCACCAGAGACTGACGTTTTCCAGAGCCGCATGCCAGCAGAGGCAAAGCCAATGACTGTAAGATCACGACCCACTTGGAGATCGGGAGTTGGAAGAAGAGAGTAACTGGTAAGCGTGAGTAGAGCAGAGCCGAGCAAAACGAGCACGAATCTAGTGCTGTAGGTAATGCTAATAAAATAAATATTTACGGTCACGACGTTAATTAAATCTCGTCGCACATCAACAGCTTGGAGTTCATAACTTATCTCCATGATGGCCGCCCAGGCTGATCGGCCCCACTCCTTTCCAAAACCGTTCTAAGGCGTCTTCTTCATGACCAAACAAAGACTCCAGACTCGGTCCACCTTCTTTTCCTTCTTCTACAAAACTTGAAGTTGAGTCATCAACAACTGTTTGACTTTCTTCAAAGAAAGACTCCCCTTGTTCTTTCTGTTTCTTGTCATTCGGTAGGATTCGAAGTAATGCGTGGCCAAGGTCCCTGTCTATCACATCTACTGCAGCCATCAGCATATCCTCAGTTTCATCGGAGAAGACCCTCACAGGTCCAGAAGCATCTACCGCTATGTAAGCAGGAACGACAATGCGCTGGAGAGTCTTCGAACACGAAGGCTGCAGATGAGGCGACCGGATATTAGAGAGAGGTGGAAAGGTATCTGATTGAGAGGTGGAAGAGAGTAGAAGTATCAGGTTCGATAAACTCACATAAGCGAGTAAATAGACTTAAAATCAGCGAGATACCGAACAAGGACGAGTAGCCCTGATGTTAAGCTGCCTCCCATATTTCAGTAAGTAACTCGGCTATTTTCAGTTTTCGAGTGGATACGTCCATCTGTCCTCAATGAAAAAATCATAGGAAGCAGAATTAATGAAGCATCCATAATAATTGACGTCGGCCGGGACCCTGGCGGGCATGGCATGTTTCGGTCTGGTTTTTCCACTATCAGTTCGTTGATACAAAGTCCACTGGCGAGACCCGTAGTTTCGTCGAAAGTTTGAGGTGCGCTGGATCTCGGTACACTTTCCCACGGCTTCAGAAAAGACGGCCGTTGAAAATGCGATAGAACTCGAACAACGCGGACAGAAGAAGCTAGCCGTTCGTCTGGTGAGAGCTTGCGTGCACCAGTACTAGAAGAGGAGGCTCTACTACTACGAGAGGATGTGAACAATGGGACTGGAATAGTGCCCAGAGGTGGACCCGATGGAGGAAAACCACCTGCTCCGCTTGATGACGTTGACGTCGTCGAGGCTGATATAATATGCACATGAGGTAGTTGAGAAGATGTTGATGGCGGTACTGCTCCAGTGGGGTTCGTACCAACTGGTAGTGGGGCACCTGGAGCTGCTGACGGCGTACCTCCGACAACCGCCGTGACACCTCCAGGAACAGGCGAGGCGGGTAGTGTACCAGGACCAGGCGACGCACCTCCAGGTAGCGCAACACCAGAGGCAAACGGACCTCCTCCGACAATAATTCCACTAGATTGATGACGCAAAGTCGTTGTTTCTGTTGCATGCTGAGGTGCTTCAGGCGCTTGTTGAGGCACCGTTGAAGCACTCGCTGGTTGAGGAGGCACTATTTGTTGCGCCCCTTCAGGAGTCCGCGTGACAGTGGTCGATTCTGGTGCCGTATGATCGGTGGTCGGCTGAAACGATGCGTCCACGTTCACCTGTCGTGTTGCATCATTTGTTAACTGAGATACGCTCACTTGTTGAGCTTTTTCCCCATCTCCAGAAGTCGACGCCTCCCTACTCCCGGCCCTGACCAACGAGGAGGATACCAAATGCTGCTCTGGATCTTTAGCGCCAGATGGTGCTCGCGTCGACGCGGCATAGCTTTCCTCACGATCGGAAATGGGCTGCCCCTCCGGATGACTGTCTGTTGCAGCACGACCTAGTGCACTTTCATCGATGTCACCCTCCGCAGATGGCCGGACTATGTCCTTCGCATCCACACTATCTGCTGGTAGAGTTGTCGCACTGCTTGGTGCATGCACATTTTTACGACCGTAAACCCCGAATAACGACGTCGAAGATGAGGAGCAAGCAGAGTAGTAGAAGCAAGTTGCACTTGCGAGAGCACCTCTTCCTCGTCTTTTTCTCGTCCAACCTCGTTGCCACGAGGACGCAAGGAGAGAATGATGCGGACCAATCACTTCCTTCATCTTTCGACCATCATGAACATGTGGATTTCATCCTAAAATACTTGTTGACTTCGTTCATCATGGTCACATCATCTATTTTCGATTGATATCATAAAAAAAATCGGATTAGCGCAAGAACATTTTGAGACTAGAAGTTTCTCCGCTCAAGCACACTACTTACCATTTTGAGTTTTACACAGTGAACGACAAAAGTGCTACCGCTAGTGTGCTCCTGGGTAGGCCAATATACGTTCATCACTCGGGAGAGCCTTGCCTCTCGTCTCTCAACACTATCCCTTTTCTCTCTCGACAGCACTCAGATATTTGATTCTTTCTAGTCCTGACATTGCTCTCTGATGACCGAAGCACAGAGGAAGTTTCGTTTCAAAAAGCAGATTCAGAATTTCCTCCATGTTCTTTCAGAATTCCACCGAATGTATTACGTCAGATCCTGATGTGATAATGCATGCCTACTACAAAATCGCAAACGGCTATCAGAATCCAACGCTTCTCTACCGATCCACTTGTTTACTAGAGGAAACACCATGCCTCAGAGCCCAATGCTCCTTGTCCTGATGAGAATCTCTTTCTCACAATAGATTAGGATGCGCAAGCTCAAAGCGTGCGCTAAAAATGAGGAATCATCTATGTAGAGGAGGTTATGCTAACGTCTAGGAAGGAAAAGGTTTCTCCGAACAAAAGAGAACGACAAACACCAACATGTTCAAGGGGCAACAGTCAGTGTATAAGGATGCTGGAAAGGCAAAAGTAGTCTCACAGTTCCTTACATACTATCAAAACACTCCCCTCAGATCGTCATCCGAGTCTTCTTCGTCAGGTTGTTTCAGTGTTGGCGCTGATAGTGTTGCCTCTGGTACTTGTAGTCCAGCTCTTATTGGCCTTTGCTCTGGAGTTTCCTCCTTACACTGTGCCAACAATTGCTCCGTTGCGAAGGTAGATTTCCCGACGATTCGCGGACCACTATCGCCTAGCCCGCCGCCTCCGCCATTCACTCCTAAAGTGCCACCTACTCCGTTAGCTCCTCCTATTCCCCCTGACGCAGTCGTAGCCGATGGCAGACTCTTGTTCGGCGTCCAGTGTTTGTAGTCTACGAAGATATCCGCGTCAAAGGACCAAGTGTGAACTTTACCCTCGTTACCGCCAGTCAACAACGCAGGTCCCCAGGGATGCGTCGAATCCAGCCACAAGACCCTGGACACGCCACCCTCGTGTGCTTGTACAACCAGCAACGGCGTCGGCGCCTCGTAGTTCCAAATTGCCACGCCACCATTGCTGTATCCTGCAACGATGACACTCCTTTCGCTAGCGACTGAGCAGTCCACGATGTGGCTGTCCTCATAGGCGCAGAAGTCCACGATCTTCTTCTTGAACAACCTGTCTTCGTGTTTAGCCGGCATGTAGGGGAACAAGGCTACTTCGTTTGAATGCGCGATGGCGATCACGTTGTTGGCACGCGCAATGCCAGAGACGTAGCGGCCGTCTAGGGGAATCGGCAGGAGATTGGTTTGCGAAGGGCTCACGGACAAGATGTCGATGTTGTTGTTTGACGGAAACTCGAAATGATACAAGAACTCCGGAGGGTTCAGATTAGAGGAGATGCTGTGGATCCGGTCGTCGGCAAAGTAACTTCTTGAACACGTTGCGTAAGTTGAACAACACGTTGCTTCATCATTCTACTCATCCATGATCAAGCGAAGCAGAACGTTCATTTCTTCAGGAAGGAATGGGTACTACTAGTCTAGGTTGGTTATGGATATGGTCGGAATTATAGCAGAAGTCATCCTCATCTTCTGGTTTACCTACTGATCCTGTTCCGTATTCATCTTATTGGCCAGAGCAATTTATAAGGTTTCACAGCTCGCACGGCATGGAGTGCATGGATCGCATGGAGTAGCATGGAGCTAAAGGGGGAGCTTCTTGCGCCCCTTAAAGCTCTGCGCTCCATGCGCTCCATGCTACTCCATGCAGCATGCGTGCTTTAAAAAAAAATATTCTACTGACCAAATGATGCCATAATCTTTTCCACCGAGAACACCAAAACATCAAAGCCACTAGTGCCCAGAAACGCCCTTCCACAGTCTGCATCCAGAAAACATTTGGTTAGGTATACGTCCTCCGGAAGGCGCTTGCCGATTTTTCCTCCCCCGCAGATGGCATGGGATCCGGTTTCTATTATCCGCATACTAGCGTCATATCCTATGGACAACAGCCGCCCACCAGCCAAGGACATATCCACGACCGAAGCCATATGATGCATTTGGATTACATCATTGGCAAAAACTCGTTTCACCGTGCGTGTGAGATCGAGACCTGTAGTTATAGGTGGTCGGGATATTATAGGTAAGTAAATTGCTTTGGGAGGCGTGGAAATGAAATGTATTTATGACGATGAAGAGTCGGATCACAATGAAGTATCCTGAATGACAGCAGCGCAGGAGGCACCTGTGGGACCTCAATCTAGCTTAATCAATGCCTACTTAAGGCAAAGGACTAGAAGATACTCCATCAGGAACAGCCAGTTCGTTGGTCAGCTACATATTCAGGAAGCGCTACCGCTGTGATTCAGGGATCCCTTCCCTGACCAAGGTAAACTAAACACCTCGACGCCAGCGCGCAGCGCAGCAGCGGCCGGCAGCGTGGGTGGTCGTAGATCACACGCGAACAGCATGGAGCCTGCTGGCGAGGGTATCAGTGCCACCGAAGAGAACAAGCACCACATCCTTGCTTGGGACTCAAGCCAGGCTGACCCACTTGACTCAACCAAGACAGGCGCAGCCACTCCCTTGCCGGGGGGGCGGCTTGGCTCCTTCAGGTTCCCAGGCTCATCCCGCTCTTGCACCATCAGAGACACCAATACAGCGGCACCCCTGAGCAAGCCTTCGCCTACAAAAAACCGAAAAAACAAGCCCAGCGCGGAAGTGCCCCCCGCTGCGTCACCTCGTGGGCAGTCCTCACTACTCATATCCTTACCCAGCTTCCTAACCACGACGACGCGGAAAGGCCCTAACACCCTGGAGACCCCGCCAAGGCCCGCGGCAGCAGTTCTGGTTCGCTTCCGCCAGTGACGCATAAGCAAAAGCCGGGGAACCCCGCTGGTCAGTGTTCGGGCTTGGTGGCATTGTTTGTGTGACACTATTCACCCACCAGCAATAAGCGCCGAGGCGGCGCCTCTCTTCTGCGACGATTATCGACGAGAAGAGGAGCCCGCCGGCAGGCCGTCTTTTGCCTGCGTTCGAGCCAAACAAGCCCACCCCTGTCACCGAGGCCCCGCGCTGCGTGGGACTTTTTTCGCTGAATCGCTGCGACCGCGTCACGAAACTGCCCGCCACCCTCACCACCACCGTGGCCCCCACCGTTCCAAGCGGGGGCAACAAAAGAAGCCCCGCAAGAGCAGCCCACTCTGATAACCTACCAGAAGCACCGCGGGGCGCTGCGCGTTCCGTTTCCCTCGGTGTCATGTGCACTGGATCGGGGGCGCGCGGGAGCTGCTTCGAGTACCTACGCACCAAGATGTTCGCCCACACTCTTGGGCCGAACCCTGCAGAGCTCCGCCGTGCGCCAATCCGTGAGGGCTGCCCGAGGGCTTTGAGCAGCGTCACCAACGCCGCGCGGCCTTCCGGGTCCTTCGATCGCCTCCCCGAAATCGCCGAGCCAGTTGGATACATTATCAAGGATGGCGCACCCAGGCAGCGAAGGTGGCCGCTGCCAAGGCTACACGCGTCTCGCCATCCGCGGCCCTCTCCCTGTGGACCGAAGCCAAAAGCCACGAAGAGCGCCCGCAAGGTCCTAAGGCTCTCACCTTTTCACTCTTGGGCTGGTGACCGTAGTGAGCCTTATCAAGTGGCGCAGCCACAACCCGCAGAAGAGGCAGAGCCCTGCTCCCTCGGGCTTTCTCCTTGTGTCCCTAGTGGGTCGCAGAATGTGCGGGCGGCGAGTGGGTCGCACTTTCTAGGCGCGTCGGCTTTGTCTTTGTCGACCGGGTTAGGCGATAAGCGAGCCCATTGGCTGCTGCCGATTAGAGGCGGAAGGGGCGGCGGAACTCTTTGCGCCTACTTCCGTCGGCTGCTGCTGCGGCGCCTGCCATCGCCGCAAAAGACGCAGCCACCCCGGGCGCTGAACCCGCAGGGGAGTCCTCCGTAAGAGTTTGCACACGTCTGAGCAAGCCACGCCCACAAGCACCGCGCAGGGCGGCTGCTCTGGACGCTCTGGCCCCGGCGGAATTCACCAAAACACCACCCAGCCAGCCACGCGCTAGCACTTTCCCAGCATGCGCCAGGCGGAATAGATACGCACACGCCCCGGGATCGGTGTACTAATATCTCAGTAATCAGTTACAGCCACCCCATACGAAGACAAAATGCTGTCACAAATCTAAAGCAGTACTAAGGTCACAAATCTTAGTCAGTACCAAGCACTTTCACTTGTCCGTTGTTAAATCCCGCGAATATCTTCTCTGTCACCGGATCATGCAATACGCAAACTGGCTTTTGATGACAACTAATGTCTTCTTTCCGGCTCCAACCTCCTTCTCCCGTATGTTGCCACAAGTGCACAATCCCTAGCTCGTCAGGCTCTACTATCGTCCAGACACGACCCAACCGCGAAAGACTACTAGCGTCTTGCTGTACAGCAAGCACGCATGTTTCTCTGGGGACTGGGACGATGGAAGAGACGGAATAGCGCGGATCCTCAAACGTGCGCATGATGGCAGGTTGGAGGTTCTTGTCCGCTAGGGTGGAAATGCGAGACTCGACCTGTAGGAGGAATTGTGGATGATCCAATGATCATGTCGCTTGTGATTTCATCGAACCGAAGAGGTGTTCTTGACGTCCATGCTTTGTGGACAGAATATCTGAATTATTTACCAGAAAAACAAAATCAATCGAAGTTTAAGTACCTCCAAGAAGTCCTTCACTGGCAGACTGCATCTCAAATCTGGCCTCTGCAAGAGTTCGTGCAATAGTCGTTGTAACGCTTTTTGCCTCTCTGTCGCTGATTCCACGTCTAATGGTCTAGATAGCGTTTTTGGCGGTAACTTGGGCAAATTTCCATACCTCGAGTCATCCAATTGGTACAACAAAGCGTCGAAGTCGCTGAATCGCTTGATTACTTCCCATTCTTGAAGCCCGTGCCGTATTGCTATATGATATTGGAAGGTGCTTCCTGAGGGGGTAGGGGAGAAGCGAGGAATCGAAGCCCCAAAATTCTCCGGAACGTGATTCATCTTTCCGCGAGCGCTTGGAAGTAGTAGTCGTTGGTAAAGTAGTCGTCACTTGGAAGAGAAGGGAAGGGAACGGCGTGTAGTCTACTTCATCATGTAGGTAGTACTATTAAGACGTGGGTTGTAGACATTTAAATTTATCTTCGGAACGGCTGAAGAAGATGCTGTTGAGGTTGATGTTATTCCGGATTACCATAGAAAGCTGGTTTGTTCACGGGTGTTGTGTTATACCGAGGTTCGTGATTCGAAGATCGGTGACAGTGGTAGAAGGAAGGGGCGCGCGACGGTGAGACGAGTGGTAAAGTTCGTGAGGGATCAAAGTGGGTACGTCATCGATACCATGTAACGAAGAAGCGGTCGCGTTTGCGCTTTCTTCGGAAAAAAATATGCTGCGGGAGTAAAGGTCAGGTTCTTGGAAATGACCTTTCGAGATTCTACTTCAACGACTTCGATCTGCGGAGCCGTCGATGTGGACGTCGCCGGAGGACATGGTCTAGCTACATTTACTTAGAGAGAATACTAGTATGAAGCAAGCTGGTCTTAAAAAAAAAATCTGCTACACTTAACTACACAACACTAGGAAAAGAAAACCCTCCTTTTTTTACGCGATGCGTTAGCGTTGGTCACTATTCAAAAAGCAAAAATATCCTGGATGATTTCTCATTACAATTTTTTCACGACTTGTCTAAACATAATGCTGCTGCTTCTTCGGTGAGATGCAACTATGCAAGTCCTCGCTCATTTCCACGTTTCGCAAGCTTTCAAATTTCATTCAGTTCTTCAACCTCCAAAGAGACCTTGGACCTCGCTGCAGAAGCAAAATTTTGATGTACAGCAGCATCTTTTGGCTGATCCAACTTTTTCTCGCTCTTGGAGTTGTCATTCATTTTTTTGCGATTGCTAGAACTTTGAGAACATTGTACTGTCACAACAATCTATAAGCACAGTGTATGCAGTTGCAAGATGCGATTCTAAAATCGGCGAGGAACCTGTTGAAAGTTGACAGTATATGCTTGTGGAAGCAGCGGTGAGCCGCCGGTTGTGGAATTGGTCTTCAAGGAGTAGTTGGGAAGTCAGATGTTAAGAGTGGACAAGTGCTCCTTGACTTGTCCAACATGGGAGTCATATCATCGACGAGTTCTAGCGTGAGTACTCCTGCTTAGTAGTTCAACCCCAAGAAGTTTGCCACAGGTAGCACTTCAAGTACGATGTCATCCTCGACAACGAACTCAGGTATTGGTTCTGGGGAGTCTGTATGTCTGTACCGGTAGTAAAGGTACTCAAGCACTTTCTGCATTATCTTCCCCGTAATGACGCACCAATCGCTTTTGAGGACGATTGTCTGAGGTTGAAAGTTTGTGAGTGACCATTGGTGACAACTAGCATGTGGCACAGCGGTACAGAGAAAAGATTACAGCAAACAATAACAAGAAACCTTTCTATAATGCCTCAAACTAAAAAAGATACTATTCAACTCGACAAAATAGTATAAGTACCTTCGTCGTCCCTTCCTCGAATGACTCCGAAGCTACCATTTTCTTCAAGACATCGCATTGGTCTAGGATTTTCTCGTCTGCTACGAATTCATGACCATCAGTGGTCACAATCCTCACAAAGCCTGGTACTGATGTCATTTTTTCTAGGTCACTAAAACTAAGATGGGTAAGACCTCTCGGTAGGGTAAGACCTCTAGGACCTATACTTAATCATCTACTTACATATAAACTTGATAAACCTCAACTTAATCATCTAGTACTTATAATAAAACCTAGAACCTACTTTTTTACGTGATTTCGGGACTACGTTTTGTTGCTTCGATACTTTATCACTTTCTCCTGGCGTGGTCCCTCTTTTTCACTGTGTGTTGAATGAGGAAAGAAAACTGACGTGCGCCGAATTGACTTAATTTCTTTGCGTTCTTGTTCCATAGTATTGCTGCAAATTTTACAACTCAAACGAGTGTGCTGCTACAACATTCTAAGAGGTGTGTACACACTGACGCTTTTCTCTCTAAATGACTGATTCAAGAGCTTGCTGTTGCTTGCGCTGAACAAGAATGGGATTGGGAAAAAGAGAAGGATCGCCTAAGCAAAACTCGTTCCGCAAGTGGTTGGGTTCCGGACGCGGACAGCATTTCATTTCATAATTTCATTTTCAGTTATTAATGAGACCTCTATTTCAGTGCTCAGTTCGTCTCTATAAATTTCACCAATATTGCGACTTCACCCATCGAATCATTAGCTTTGTTTACTCCTCCTGACCTGAAGTTTCATTTGATTTTGGTTTACAATTACTGCAGCTGCACCTCAGAATTGACTCGTCTTCCGGACCCTCCCTCGTGGATAATACAGCAAGCGTTTCGTCTCATCCACTACGGCTTTGAAGGAAACCGGTTCACTCTCGATCAAGGTTGCTAACATCTTGCGATCGGGAGAATGAAAAATGTTCAATGGGGTAGGACAGACAAGACTGTCTAGCGTTTTTTTCTAGATGAAGATAGGCTACCGCGCGTGGTGCTAGAGAAAGTCTGTCTACTAAAACTAGTTGAAAGAGGTTAGGTTAGGTTAGGTTAGGTCAGGTTAGGTTAGGTTAGGTTAGGTTATGGATCCTGCCCAACGAGCCCCACCGACACCTGCTCGCCTCCGAGGATGATGGGAACATCAAAAAATCTTGTTATAGTCTTTTTCATAAAGATGGATATTAGCTCTCCGCATGCCCAATATCAATCGCGAAAACGACACTCCGTATTCCCTTGCTGCTGGGTTAATCCTTGATATCCACAAGGTTCGGAATTGTCTATGTCTCAACATCCTACTCCAATAAGCGAATTGCAAATGCTTCATAGCTCTGGGCGCTGCATTTCCGTAGCAGTGATTTTGCATCCCCTGCAAGCCCTTGACAAGGGAAAAAACGACTTCACGCGGGAGAACAAGGAATCGAGGAGAGGAAGCGTGGAAGAGGGAGGACGAAGAAGACGAGGAGGTTGAAGTTGCCATCTTCATGGATGGAAATGGAGATATTCTTGGAACACACCTAGCCATCGCCGATGCCACTTCGTTGTTCGCCGCGCCAGTAATAGCAGATGAAAATGTGCGCCGAGCAGATACCGCCATTGACGCGGCAGTGGTAGCAGGGCGAAACAAGGACGAAGTCCAGGACGACGCCATCCTCGTGTTGGTTTGATGTATTGACGAGTGCTTACTTGAATAGACTTTTGAAAGTACTTAAAGAGCTCTACCGGTCTCGTCTCGGTGTAGAGTGCTCTCTGTTGGAACGCTCACCATCGTCACAATTTCAACAATCATGAACACTTGTCTTCTCCTCAGGATCACACCCGAAAGCCGCAATCTGCAGGTGGATCGCAAATTTGAATTCTTGTTGGTATTTGTTACTACTATATGCGTTGTAAAAATTATCTCTCGATGGCTTCGCCTTTTTAGCAGAAGAACCAGCAACACTTCTACCTGATATCGTCCCAGAAGTGCTTGTTTGACCAGCTCCGCAATTGCCATCATCAACATTTTCAAATTTCTTTCTCCTCTGAGCCGCTGTAAGTCTATGCAATTCGAAATCCGTCAGGTACTCCGGGTTTGTAGACTCCGGGCCTACTTGTTCTACTGAGGACCACGACGCACAACTATTTGTGGAGGAAGTAGCCTTCAGATTTTTTGGAAGTACGACTATTTCGGGTTCCCTCTCGACTTTTTTCTCGGAATTTCTCAACCCCATGAACCCGTAGTGGCCATCTGGGGGTGGCCTTGCTGGTGGAGGCAGTGACGCAGCTGCTTCGACTCTCGCACTCCAACTTGTTGAACTTGAGGATACCTTCTTGTTCTCATCAGAGCGTACTATTTGTTGTAGCTCAGAAGCATCTTGGTATCGAAGCGAGGCAGAAGCAGACGATGAAGCAAATACTTGGATCTTGTTTTCATCGTCATGATCTTCCACAGGTTCATTTCCAATTCCAACCTCGACGTCGACCACAGGCTCACTCGTCGGAAACTGTTGAGACCAACCTGGTCCTCGTGACCGTTCCTGTACCGATGTCGAGGACTGTGCTGCGGCGGTGCCAGAGTTGGTATTTTCAGGCACTTTACTTCCCCAGCGGCCCTTGCGTCTCTTACCAGGTGATGCATCGGTACTCGAGGACATGACTTCTGGTTACTTTCTGTTAGTAACCTCCACAGAGGAGTGTGAGTCTACAACAATGGATGGAGGAATTACTAATACACGCTAAAAAATAGGATCTACTTCGTGAAGGAGGAAAAGCCACTACCAAGTTGGCCGGTATTTCCGCTCAGAATCAGCCAGGAAAAAGAAGCAAACAAGTGGTAAAATCTCACATTTTCAGACCACGCCTGCCGCGATTATAACCCTTCGTGGCAAGAACCAAAAAAGAACACCATATCAAAAAAAGCTCATAAACACTCCCATAGTACTTCGACTAGCTTAATAATGTAACACTATTAACAGAGTTACGAAAGATATCGGTTTTGGATCCTCCATCTCCTATGTCCAGTTTTTAGCCCACCTCGCGCGAGTTTTTCTATGCATCGAGAATTCATGTGGACCACAAACAAGAACCAATGATCATCTAGAAAGAAACGTAGAGGGCCGGCAAACCACACTTTTCAACATGTACAAGTTAGTACAACAGAAGTCTTGTTCATCTTGATCTTCTTCTAGAAGAGTTTCAAGTCCATGTCAGCCGACACTTTACATTACCGCTTTGCAATGAATCTCGTGCATCCTCCTGTTCGACCTTCATCTTGAACTTCTTATGGAGTAGGTGCTTGTTCATGTAGAAGGTGCCTCACGGCTCACGCAGGTGTTTCACGTAGAAGATGCCTGAAGCAGATAATTACTGTTCTGCTTTTGTTCGAAGTGACTCTGCCTGCTGCTTCCTCGTCCTCCACCTCTTGAGATCACGACACCCGTAGGAGCACCTCGTCTGTTGGCCAAGTTTGTAGCCCAAGGTGGTGCTTCCTTCGTCGCAAAAAGACTTGTTTTTGACTTTCTCGTTCCTAGGCTCCAGCTCTCCATTGGGGCAGCTCCTTGGGAAGGAGAAAAAATATACTCTTCGGGTAGAGGCTCTCCTTGGGAAGGAGAAAAAATATACTCTTCGGGTAGAGGCTCTCCTTGGGAAGGAGAAAAAATATACTCTTCGGGTAGAGGCTTCGTCCTACGTCCAAGAAGGTCTTGCTCGGGAGGCTTCGTCCTACTTGTTGTCCTTCCAAGAAATTCTTGCTCGTCGAGATCTTTTACTCCATAATTCGAAGACCTCGATCTCGAAGAACGCCTTGCAAATAAAAAAGACGAGTCCGTAGAAGCCCCTTCTTTAGTGGCAAACAAGGACTGCTTCGGTGACGTGCTTCGACCTCCGCTTTGCCTTGTTTGCTGGGTCGAATCAGTTATAATTGTCCCTGATGTCGTCCGCGTTGAAAATTCTTCATGATGATGATGATGTTGAGTTCTTTGACCCAGAATTACATTTTCCTCATATACTCCAATCACTTTCGCTTTTTTGTCTTGCAGCTTCATACCCTTCCGCGCTACATCAGATTTCCTTTCTCTGGATGATGAAAAACGAGCACGACTTCCCTTCTCGCCCTTAATAATTCCAGGAGAAGCTCCTGCCCCCACATTCGTAAGTGATTGTCCTGATGCACTGTTTCTCAAGCCACTACTATTCATGATTTCGACGCCCTCCTTGATTTTCTTCATTTCTTCAAAAATCATGTCCATCTTCTCCTCTAAGCTCGCATGATCACTACTACCTGGCTTCCGAGTCTCCGCAGAAAATAGGCTACGGCGCTTTGGAGGTATAAAAGAAGCATTCTTATTGCTCTGAGCTCCTTCGCTATGGTAGGGAGACAAATCACGATCGGTACTAGATCTTTCTCGGTCGGGCTCACTGTGTTTCATCCCTAGGTCACTCTTCATACGACTGCTTCTTCTACTACTTCTTTGTTTTCTTGTAGTACCTTCGTCCTTTTGTTCCACGTCAGTTTTCTTCCGACCGTCGGGATTCTTCATTCCCTCCCGATGAAGAGCTGCTCCCTTACTTGGGCTACCCGGTTTTCCTCCACTACTCCTAAGTCGTTCTTTTTGATCCGCTTCACGACCAGTACTCGTTTCAAGAACCTTACCACGGCTATCATCTCCATCTACTACCCTCCGACCAGATACAGAGTCATCTTGTTTGTCCCCTTTAAAACCACGTCCAGGTAGTTCACGAGACACATCAATACTAGTGCTAACTTCTAGCTCCGAGTCCATCTGAGGTGGTGGCGGCTCGGGTTCTTCTCCTCCAGACATCTCTATTGGCTGAACGCTTTCCCCTTCCCGTCTCATCCTCGCCACGTCTAGCTTCTCTGTCCTTGCTCCTGTTTGCTCCCTAACTGGTGACGTAGTGCTATCCTCTTGATGTGGCTGTGCTGTCCCTCTAGGAGCTGATAAGGTACTATGACCTTGATGTGCTTGATGTGGGGGTCGCTGCGGGGACCGTTGGGGGAGCAGCTCTACGATTCCTGAATCAGTAGGATTAGTTGTTGTTGCGGAACCTGGTGAATGAGAAGATCCTTGCGAGATCATCTGATCTAACTCGCTCAATAAGAACATAGACGTTCTTGACTCCGGATGGCCCCTCTGATGCAACTCCTCGTTCCTAGAAGACGATGTTCTTGACTCTAGATGACTCGGAAGAGTTCTTGCAGCTTTCTTGAATACACTGACTCGTTGGCGAGAGTCTGACATATAATTGGTCCCTGAACGAGAGCTGGAAGACCGTGTTCCAAAGTCTGCACTGCTTCCACGAGAGGGAGCTCGTCCAGCTGTATTCGTAGTATTCATATTGAAGATACTAGATTCCTTACTATGAAATAACGATTTGGATGGCCGCCGTTCACGTTCACGACCTGGAAGTAGTAGCCGCTCGGCCTCCACAACTGCAGCTTTGGCCACGACCGCTTCTTTCTCCGACTGCGACTGCTGAACAAGCACTTCCTGATCTACTCTGTTGACGACAACCATATCCTTGATGTCCCTGTCCTTGATGTCCTTGTCCTTGATGTCCCTGTCCTTGATGTCCCTGTCCTTGATGTCCTTGTCCTTGATGTCCTTCTCCTTGATGTCCTTCTCCTTGATGTCCTTCTCCTTGTCCTCTGGTAGTACCATAGCCATACTACCCACTTGCGCTGACAAGACCACATCAACAGGCACAACACTGTCCTTCTTGTTGTCTGCTCGTAGCGTTGTACCCACGACTTGTGACAGATGAACAACAGGCTCTTGTTCCTCTTCAGATTCACTGCTGCTGCTACTACTCGTCATATCGTCATCCACATACTCGTGAACCTCATCGATATCTGTTTGGGGAGACTTCACTAATTGCCCTTTCGCAGGTTTTCCACCGACTCCACCAGGTGACATCACCACGCCAGTCATCGCGTCATCCTGATCACGCAGTTTCTTCATCTTAGAATCCATTCTGGAAATCCATCTTGAGATAACTCATCTTGTTGGGCCCTCTGACTGTTTTTCCTTTTCCACCCGTATAGTTATACAGTCAGGCCCGGGTTCCCCAAGCAACAAGCGAGTAGATGCTTCATCTATAAACAAGATTCTACAGTAAAATGCTTCATCCCGAACAAAATCAAGCTGCTTCATCTACAAAACAAGATCTTCATGGATTCCCTCATTTAATTCAATTGCTTATAGTCATAATTCTTCTATTGAACAAGCTCCTCCGAAACAAGGCCAAGCCAGCAGTCCTCTGTTTCTGCAAGACACTAGAAGTATTACGCAAAGAGCGCGCGGCTCTCGTGCTGTCCTCCGAGTTACGTTCCTTCAGCAATCTTTCAAGACTTTGGCTAGAAGACGTCGAAGTGCTGCTTTGCCCTGCGTCCTCTCCTACACCTTGTTGTTGCTCGTCTCCTTCCGAAACGACCCCCTCAAAAATGTCGACCACGACCTGAGGTTCATCTTGATCATTCGGACTTGTACTAGTATAGTAATCCTTCATTCGCACGGAGCCCTCTCTTTTCTTTTTCTTTTTTGCGCCGCCTCGTTGTGACATGAGACCTTGCCCTGGTCTCGTTGAGAGAATCTGGGAGGTGAGGGCCATGGATGCTCGATAGCTCGCCATCACTTTATCCGCCGCAGTCTCTTTCTTGCTCTTCTTCTGTGGTTTATCAATCTCCGCATATGGATCATCATCGCTGACCCCTTTTTTATTCTTTTTCAATGATGACTCAATTTTCTGCTTTTTCTTTTTGTCGGCTCGAGCAGATATTCCTGTGTCATCCTCACCGGAAGAATCTTTCTTCTTCTTTTTCTTTTTATCACCGCCACGAGTGGATGCCATTTTATCACCACCACGAGTGGATGCCATTTTATCACCACCACGAGTGGACGCCATTTTATCACCGCCACGAGTCGATACTATTTTATCACCCCGCGCTTTCAATTTTTCTTTCTCTTTCTCTTTCTTTTTCTTTTTTGCGTCATCAGCACCAGGGCCCTCCTCGTCATCACTGGAGCCTTTCTTCTTCTTTTTCTTTTTCTGCATTAGACCTTACTTTTACTCATCTTGAAGAGCATCTTTATCGTGCCTGCTCTCCCCTGAAAAAAGAGCATGATCTGCGTCAAAGATGCTTCTTAAGATGCTTCTCACTGTAAGACTTAACTTCACTTCTTCTCCATATTCGTTTCCTCCTCCCAGGCCTCCTCTGGTAGACTGTATCACCATTTGAAGCCTTTGTTGCATCTCCTCTTGTATCCGCTTCTTTCTCTCTTCGGATTCCTTTTTCGCGTCCTTCTCCGCCTTCTCTTAGAGGGATAAATATTAGCTTAGGTTAGGTTAGGTTATCGACATCCCCTGCAGCACATCAGATCGAGCACCCCCCGCAGCACCTCAGATAGATTGAGGTCGTTATAGGATCATAATTCCGACTATCCTTAGACGCTTAGTAGTGATGCATTCCTCAGAACAACACCATCCCTGCTGATGATGACCCCCCATATCGTTCCTACTGAAGAACAACGCGTCAACTACAAGGATGGCACAGGGAACGAAGATTCAGATTGCACTAGTAATTATAAGCGGTTCTTCCCCAGATGTACATGTAAGAGAAGTTGTAGTATTATTATTTTCATTGAAGCATGCAATGTGTCATGATTAGGAAAGTCAACGTTCAAATATTTAGTTTAAGATCATGTACTCAACAAGGATCATGGTAGTGAAGAATGCAATGTGGCAACCGACCCTTAATTTTCCTTTTCTTTGGCCTTCTTTTTTTCTTTTTTCGCTAGTTTGTCCGCAGCTTTTTGTCTCTGCTCAGCTTTATCATAGTGATCGGAGCCAACCAGTTCACTCAGTGGAAGTTAGAGGTTACGGAGTTACATTCTTCAGAACAGCCATCAGCACCTCTTTCCTACTGGAAAAAGAGTGAAGAATGGTTGTGGGAGATGTAATTCGGAAACCCTTAAGGAAGCGCGCCTTGTCCAACAGGCGGCGCAGCAGCAGCAGCAGCAGCGACCGAAGCATCCGACGCCGGTACTGCCGGTACTACTCCTGGCGAAGCGGCTGGGGTCGAAGCATCCAACGCCGGTACTGCCGGTACTACTCCTGGCGAAGCGGCAGCGGCCGAAGCATCCAACGCCGGTACTGCCGGTACTAGTCCTGGCGAAGCGGCAGCGGCCGAAGCATCCAACGCAGGTACTGCCGGTACTAGTCCTGGCGAAGCGGCAGCGGCCGAAGCATCCAACGCCGGTACTGCCGGCACTACTCCTGGAGAAGCGGCAGCGGCCGAAGCATCCAACGCCGGCACTGCACCTCCAGGGGTAGCTAGCGCTGCCGCTCCCGCCTGACGCTGTGACAGAAGAGTACGCGCTGCTGCCGCATCCTCCGCTGCCTTCCTAGCCGCCTCTTGATTAGACGTGACTGTTGAGGAAGATGTTATGTAACTAAATCTAAATTTTGTAGTTGCAAGCAATCAGCCAATCTATCAGGTTGCCTCCACAGGGCACCGACCTCCCCGCAGCTGCGACTGCCGCACCTCTACGCTCGGAAGCGATATGGTGGGGGGATAGTCCTCTAGGCGTAAACGAGGAATACGAGTGCTGTAACTACAGCTCAAGAATGTTGATCCCTTGTGGTCGACGACTAGTACAAAAGGAGAGCCACGAGTGTTCTTGATGAGGATTGAAAATACACTTTTAAAAAAATGCACAAAGAACCTACACCTGTGCAAAAACATGAACAGCCTAGAAGCTAACCCTGAATTATAGTAAGTACTAGTTCTTTTTGAACTATATCAAGTGTGGTTCCGAGTCGCTATGTACAACGCTGAATCAAATCGAATCAAATCGACCTCGTGAACGTGAAGGACCGAACGAAAATCAAAAAAACGGTGACGACGAAAACATATTTTCTATTTATAGCTGCTCTCCTTGCGAAGCAACCTATAGTACATAACATATATAGTGTCACTCTCGAAGCTTGTAGACTAAGTAAAAGGCTTTTAGTGCTGTCACTTGACAAGCAGGTGGAGCCGTATAATAGAAATTCCTTTAAGGATGCCATTTCCCTAAGGAGGCTTCCTTAAGGAGACTCCTGAAAGGTCTACTCAGCAAAATTGCTTACACTGTAAGTACTCGTATCGTTATAGTCCTCTTTCTCATGTTGTGCTGCATGTAGGGACAGGCCTAAGAATAGAGGGAAAGGTATAGCCGGTCATTCTCATGATATTGAGCTCAGACTTCGCCTTAACTTGAGCTGCCGCAATCTGTACTGCGGCTGCCTGTTCTGCCGCTTTCTGGGCTGCTAGGGCCTCAGCCAGCGCTGCCTCATGCGCAGCTTGTTGTTGAGCCGCTGCGTTCGCTGCAGCTTGTACCTGAGCTTCTTGTTAGAAGGAGAAGATTGATTGCATGTAGGGATACACCTACGTTATAAGGAAAAAAGAAGAAGGAAGAAAAGACAGTTTGGAGATACAGTTGGAAGTGGTCAAGCCTTAATGTTGCGCGGCAAGCTGTTGTTGTTGTTGTGCTGCCAGCTCCGCCTGTTGTTGTTGCGCAGCAGCCGCTGCTTGTTGTTGCGCAGCAGCCGCTGCTTGTTGTTGCGCAGCGGCAGCAGCCGCTGCCTGCTGTTGTTGTTGTTGTTGTTGCGCAACAGCCGCAGCAGCACCTTGTGGCGCTGCCGCGCCTCCCTGTTGCTGCAGCACTGCCTGCAACTGTCGTTCCCATGCTTGCGCGTGTTTTGCGTACTCCGGTTGCGTTTCTGCCTGTTTCAAATAGTAATCCCTATACTGTGCGCATTGTTCAGCTGTGTACTGCGGCTGCCCACCCGCAGCAGCAGCAGCAGCAGGAGAAGCCATCTTGTCAGAATCGTAAACAATCTGGTTAGGTTAGGTTGTGGATCCTTCACAACGATCCCCACAGGCACATGCTTGCCTCCCAGGATGATGGGTGACCTAGGTAAGGTCAACAGAATCCTACTTAGGCAATCTTATTAGAATCTTAGACAATCTTATCAGCCTTTTCTCTGGTGGTTAAGATGTTACTCGTGATTAGTACGTTTCTTAGCACTACAAAAACACGTAGTATGTAGAGATCATAGTTATCTACATGTCTTGTTAACACAACAAGACAAGGAGATCAGATGATATCGAGTGGAGCATAAAGGTGTAAATTTGTTTACGATGCGTAGAAGGACATGAGACCTTCACTATACTGGAGGGGGCCACATGAGCGGATCATCGTAGGATACATGGGATACACCTCTGGGGGCGAAAGGGGGAGGGGGAGTTAGGAGCATGGGCTGAAGAGGGATCCTGAGTAAGAGAGACAGATATTTCCAAAAATTGGGACGTTATTGATCCTACTTGAACTCTACAACAGGAGGAAAAAATTCTTTGACTTTGTAATTGTTGTATCGTATATATAAAATTATAACTATAACATCTCTCGCACAGAATCATAAAAATGAAGGCACTCTATATAATCATCGCCTCAATAAATCTCCACTCATTGAATAGTGACAGTTCTCGCATCTCTTGGAATGATGAACGATCTCTCAACACTTTTTTGCAAAAGCCATCTCTGTCTAAGATCAGACAGAAGAACTCTTTCGCTCAATCGAGGCCAGATAGCAGATGATCCTCTTGGTTTTTAAGCTCGCTCAGGAACAACTCTCAAGACAGAATCTTCACTCGGAATCTTCACTCCGTAGATAGATACTTGATGCTGCTGTCGGAATCTTCACGACTCACAGACATTACAAGGTTAGGCTAGGTTATGGATCCTTCACAACGAGCCCCACAGGCACCTGCTGCTCGCCTCCGAAGATGATGGGTGACTACGAAAGTCAACGACAATATGTTATTATACAGAATCTTAACGTGTTACAGATCAACTCTTCGTGCTCTAATACATCTTCTCTGTGCCCACACACTATCCTTATTCCTTTGCATTGCGCAGTACTAGATCTTCGAAAAAGACTGAAAATAAAAGTAGTTGCTAAAAACTTACAGATTCAGACAGTTCTTGTCAAAAAAAATTCCGAAAAAATGATACCGTCATTCGTATTACAAAGCTGTGCATAGCTATTGGAAAAGGGAGTAAGACAGAGCTGTGGCTGTGCATATCTACAATATGGCATAGACATTCCTTGAGGACCTCGCTTCACTCACAACGACAATCTAGAAACGATCTACTGAGCTTTAAGGTTTTTTGAAACGTTTCTTATTCAAGATTCTTTTTGACGACATCAACATCGAAACTCTGTGTATCACGGACAAAAAAAAACACTAGTTAGCTGTACCTACAGTACTAAGCCTTAAGCTAGTATGATCTATAATATAGAACTAGTTCTAGTATCCGATGTCTAGGTCCTTATAAGATCTGTAGTAACGATAACTGTAAGCGGTGAGTCTTCTTGCACACCAGAATTCAACTACCTCAACTTAGTTAGTTCAGCGGCTGATGTGCTGGAGCTAGTCCTGATTCTAGAACTTCTTTTTTCTCTTCTATTAGTTCAACAGATTATTATAATTATTTATTCATCGACAACCCCATAATGAAGAATCCCGTGACGCAGAGCAATTGGGAAAAGGAGAAGACCGACTGCGCTTTAGCTCCTCTCAGCTCGTTGAACAGCAAGATGTTCCAGAACGTGTACACAAGCATCCACGAGTGAAAAAAGACGCACGCCAATGTGTAGCCAACGTATGTGAGGGAAATTAACGTCCAGATTAGAAGAGGAGGTGGAAGTGGGGAAGGACTCATCTACTCTAATCTCTAGCTCGTCGTGTAATCTCTAGCTCGATCCAGGGTGGTACGAAAAATTTTATTTTAGCTAATAACTCCAGAGGGAATAGCCTTAAGAAAAACACCGATATAAGCCACACGATGCCAGCGACCATGGCGCAGAGTGCTTCGAACAAGTCTGGATGTCGCTTCCAGGCTATGCCTAATGCTTCCCAATGCGTAGCGTAAAAAACGAAGCTCGAAAATGCACCCGTAGCGGCGGCACCGAAAGCAAAGGAGGGGAGGAAACTGTAGAAATTGTTGTTAGTAGTACTTAATAGTACTATAGAGAAATTGGAACTATTGTGATGACAATAAATGCCTAAATGATGTTGCATGGGATAAGCCTAGATTTGTTGAGGTGAAAACAACCCGGTTGTTTTACTTAGTGCTTTGAGCGTCGCGGGACCTAAACCTTCACCTAAAAGGTGAGAGAAAGCTTGATATTGTATACCAGTTAGTTACTTGTTATTGTATCTACAGAAATCATGAATCTTCGAAACCTCCAAGGAATAAGTAGTTGATTGAATCCTTAGACTAAAGGAAACAACATAAGTGAAATCGAAAAGAGTAGGCCTCTCAAAAGCATAGTACGTGAACAAGTGCGTCAAGGTTGGCTTCAAATGCGTATTCGTTGGGTCGTAGACGCCATTCACCCTCTTGCTCATCTCGAATGGCGCGAACATTAGCGATCCGCATAGACCTCCGCAAATCGCGGTGGGGGAATTAGAGAGGGAGATAAGACGCCATGACTAAGGCTACAAAAAATCCGTCTTCACAGGCATCCTGAGACCGTTTTCAAGGGGGGAAAGGTTCTGCGATGCGTTTCAAGGCGAATCATGTCGCTTAGTTCTATAATACTGATGAGTAACTCCAGATGTTCAGTCCTCGTAATACAATTCCTTACATTCACTCAAAGAAGTGGGTGCATTAATAGAGATCTAGCTATGATTGAGCATCTACATCTACATCATCGTCTTCATCTACATTATCATGTACTAAATATAAGTTTAGTGATAAATGATCCCATAACAATCCCGAAGAGTCTTTTTCTTGTGCTCTGTTGTACTTCCCATATCGCATCTAACTCGAATACTTGCAGCAATGGACTCTTCTCTTCACTGCAGGCGAGATATCTGGCTATCTCTCGCGTGGCACACACTCCGAAGAGGCCTAGGAGGACCAGAGTTACGCCAATAACAGCCATATTCGCGGACCAAATCTGGACATCGAAAACGTGACTACCTGTAATACGTTGGAGAATTTGCTTGTCTACTATATGTCTTTCTCTCTGTGGGGAAGATGAAATGCTTGATGCAGAAGGTCTGAAACAAAGCCCTACTAAATAAATAACACTCTGTAATACCTAGAAAAAAGCATCCCAGCACAGCAGTTGGCCATACGAGGGCTGTCGACAGCGGCACGCCAATGTACTCCACCGTCATGAACGCCGCTTCTATGCAACTTCCGGCTAGAATTCCTGATATAAGACCTTCCCTTTGCAAGAAAGCGTCATACCAAGGGGCTGCTGTGTCAAAGACATCCGACTGAAATATCGCGTCTGCACTATCAGATGCACCGTCACCTCCCGGATACTTCTTGTATAATGAGTCGACTGTAGAAGTTGCAGCAGTGCTGCTAGCACTTGGACTAGGATTACCTCCATTCACAACAGAACTTGCTGTAACACTACTTGACGACGCTAGACCACTTCCTGCGTGAAGGATACCCGTCAATGTTGGTGAGAGAGGCGCAACTGGGAACTGTTGAAGCAGAAAGGAGTGCTTACTAGACGCCGTTGAAGATGCTCCGAAATGTAGTGTTGCGTTCATGGTATTGCTAATGACATCCTGGGCAGACGGGTGTTGGACGGCATGATTAGGATGAAACAATGCGTGGCCATGCCCATGATGTCCGCTAGTAGTTGATGCTGCCATCGAAGATGACGTTTGGTTTAGGGCATGACCGACAGCAGCAACATGCTCCACATTAGCTCCTAAACTACTAGCATTTTGATGCAAAATATCCACCCCCGCTGCGTCCAGATAGAAGAAGCTGACAGTTGAAGCTAGCAAGACGCCAGCATAAAAGTAAAGCTGAATCAAGTACGGCTCGTAGTACAGGAACGGGTGCGTTGCTGCCGACACCTTTAGAGCTGCCGCGTCAAATCCCTAAACCCTAATCCCTGGCCCCTTTTTCCCCTTGAAGAAGGGGCAAAGGATGACGCTGAGGATGCTCTCGTGGTTGCCATAACATTTGTCGGTTCTCTTCCGCTTTGAGGCCCTTGATGTAGAGGTAACTAGTGCCGTGAAAAAGCATCGCAAATACTGCTAGTACTCTCCCAAACCGCTCCGCTGAAGATATCTCCGTCATTTTCACGAGCACCGCGTCTGAAGCTGGCAACTGCGATGTCAGCATCCCAACAGTCTCTAAAAGAGATAGCCCAAACGAACTAGTCAACGAAGCTCCGGACGCTCCAGAACCCGCGACTCCTGTATGCAAGCCACTTCCTCCACTTCCTCCAGCTCCTCCTATTCCATTCTCCATTCCACCTCCATAAGGTGAATTCATGATCCTCCCAGGAGAAGATGCACTTTGCAGTTGCTCTCCTACTCCCATACTAGCCATGTAGTTGTCTGCCAGTGTGGTGCCCCCTTCATTGGCGAGGAAAGACATGCTCGTGGACGCACTAGAGCCCCCATACTGTTCCATAGGCCCAAAACCACTGGAAGCTAATACTAGTGGGGGTGCCGGGATGCTCGGCGAGGTCTGCTGCTGCAATAGGGAGACCGGCATTTTGTCTACTTGGTTTCGCTAGAATTTGTAGGTGATGACGAAGACGATTTAGTTGTAGGTAGTTGTAGCCAGTTATCTTGTGTCAGCTGTAGCCTTGTGGTTGTCTTGAGCGTTGCAGCAGTAGATGCCGAAGCAGTCCTCGCTGCGAAGGCGGTCGCAAATTCTAGGTGGCTCTCCTCTTCGAAGACGCTAAAGGCAAGGTCGCAATCGCATGCGGTCTAAAAACCTGCACACTTTCTTCAACGTTTGCGACCATTTCTTTTTACCTCCTCTTTTTTCATTTTCTTCTTCATAACTTTGATCAAGTTCTAGTATTTTCGCCTTATGCATCATAATTCTACAACCGGTACGCAGTACTTAGAACCGGCTTAGCGTTGACCTGGATTCCAGTTAACTAGCGACGAGCACGAGCCTCTCCTGATTCTAAGCTGAGTAGAGGTGTGCGTGGGGAAAGAAATATCAAAAACGACGTGAAAATACTCTCGACGAAGTCTCCCGGGGTTCTAACCATAAAAGCGCGAGCCTGACTATGCCGGAAAAAACCGATTCTCGATTTTTAACTCTCTTACCTTTTTGATGCAGCTCTTCGACGAGGACCCGAAGCCAGATCGGTACCGAGCTCCTGGAGGAATAATCTTGACTTAGTCTTCTTTCCGAAAGAAGATTTTACCGACTCTGCAACACAAAATTCTAAATTATTGTAAAAACGTCCAAAAGCCATGCCGACAGGGCTGTCCATGTGCATGAGCTTGTGCGATTATTGAGTACGTAAGAGGCGGGTGCCGCCTAGAAGTAGACTGAAGAGGAATTATGAATCAGAAGAAGGGTTGATCTCAAGTAAAACAAGTGTCCAATTTTACCTCATCTGTAACCTTATCATCATGTAGCTTCTTCTTTGCCCTGGTGTTGCTTCCAATCCTTTGCAATTGTAGAACGAACCACAAGAGCATAGTGTCAAACTTTCTTGGATCCGCACCTCCATTCAATTCACTAGGTTTTTCAGGAACTACAGAAGCTTGCAAAGTCCTCTTCGTGTTCCACAACTGTTCTTTCACTAAGTAGTAAGCCGCTTCTACGGTGCTCAAGTGTTCTTCGCTGAGGCCTTGGTCTTGAACCCTCCCATGGTGTCGCCAGAAACTCGTTTTGTATCGCCCAATCTGCACACGAGCCAAGTCTTTGGGTAAGGCTTGTAGGACTTCGTCGGTCTGGAACCAAGTGCAGTCGATGAGGATGACAATTTTGGGTTGCCGAGTTCTTGAAGCCTTTATTTGGGGATCAGCATTTCTTGGTACGACATCTAGTGCGACATCGACAAGACCTTTGCTGACCTCTGCTTCTGGAACCTCCTTGATGTCTTCGAGTGATGTAGGAGCGTCCTCTGCGCCCGATGAAACATTTTCCTCCGCGTCCTCTGCGTCTCTAAAATCTTCCGCCGGAAACAGCAGAGCACAATCCCTGACGTCGATCCGCCTGAAAAAATCGTCCACACTTGAGAACATAGAGGGCGAAGCATTCGTTGACGGACCAATAGTACTTCCTTCTGCTCGTCGAAACTCCGACGTTGTGATCCATGGAAGCGCATCAGCGGATAGTTTTATTGCTGTTTCTTCTTGTGCTGAAGCATCTTCAGGCTTTGGAGAATCAGTATCCTTGGTCGTTTTATCACCATCAACTTCAGGAGCTCCTCCACCTAGTCTCTGCACATAGTCTCTGCACAAAAACTTCAGTCCCGAAATGCTACTTTTCTGAATCTTCTCCCCGGGATGCGTTATTATGTGCAGTTTGACAGGAAAGTCGCTGGTGTCCAGTAAGGGAAGCGAAATTCTACGGGTTTCATCATGGTCGTTTTCTCCTTTTGATGACTGTAGTTCTCCTCCAGACGAAACCTCTCTCTGCCCACGCAGGTCGATTGCCTTTGAGGCCTCTGCTACCTCTCCTCCATGGGCCCAAGGATGTTCAATACCAGGATGAATCCGTAGGCATCTGGGACAAAATAATGCCGCGCTTCCATCACAAACAGGACATTTGAACCGGTCTAGAGCGCGCAACCGGTCTAAGAGGGTCCTGTCCAGGCCCAAGTCTTCGATGTTCAGGCTTTTAACTGGATCAGAGGAAGTGGCAACACTTTCGGATAGACTCTTTTTAGCAGCAGCTTGAACTTCCTCGGTCCGTCGCCGCTTAGCGGCATTTCGCTTCTTCCAATTGCCCATGTTGATGTTCTACTTTGACTTTTTATAGGGTTGACAATTATTGGTCGCTTTGAAGATTAAATATGTCAGTCTGGAAAAGTTTTCCACCTAGACAATGACATTGACATCCTCGGAAATTGTGTCGTCTACATACTCAGTGTCGCCTGGATCGAATGTAACGAAAAAACAATGAAGCAGAGCTACGAAACATACTCTTGTCCATGTGGATGTCGTCAAGGATCTTGATCTTTTTTTAATGTCGATGATCTTTTTTTGACAAATCGATCGCCTTCACTCGCTTTTGGATCCTCAGATCGCACGTATCATACAACAGCTGACGTCTCCTGGTTAAATCCCTGGTCGAGTATCTCCTTCTTCGGCGCTTTCACATCAGCGTGTATGAACGAAGCACGGCCCCAGGCTCAATATAGGTCAAAGCATTACTGACTTCCAGCCTTGACGAAAAGTAGATTGCGCAGTCGCGGTTCCAGCGAAAGAAATATCATCGCGAAGTTTTCAGGCATTTTGAACCAGTTAGTTTGAATGCAGAGGTCGGGGTAAAAAAATCCTGGCGTAAGTAGTTGGTGTTTTCCAGTCTGACACGAAGCTTTCATGATGTCATCATTTATTTCTCATACATTCATGTTCGTTGTTTCACACCCAGAGAAGTGCAATCCCCCACAAACGAAGATCTAAGCAACCTTCCTTACCTTGCTACAGTCCTTACTCAGATACTTCTCTGGCACATTGCTCAGAACCAAATCGGCCAACACGTCTCGCTTTCGCTTTTTCACTACTCCTGCTTTTGCCTGTTGCTCATATCTTTCTGCGAGTGTTTCGGCTAATTCAGCCCATTCCATGGCATCTCCATTGTCGCCTAAAGTGGCGTCAATTTCCTTCTCCCATCCCAACCAGCGACCTCGTGGACGTGCAGATTTTGCGGCTGTTGATCCTCCGTTTGCACCATTAGCTACTGCACCATCCTTGTTTCCACCAGCTTGATTAGCATTCGAAGGATTACTTTGTTCTACGAATCCCCACATCATTGCAATCGCCTTTTCGTCGGACACTCGACAAGAGTTTTTGACGAAATTGGCGAAGCCCGCTTTTTTTCTCGGTACATTGTCAAACGCGACGATTTTCTCCATCCACTTTTCGACCCTGGATCCTTTGGACAATTCCAAAGCCTTCTCCAAGTTTTTTGTCCAAGATTCCTGTTTCAATTGCCCCTTAGGAGCTTTGTCCATCTTCTCCTGGTACAGGCAGCCATGGAATTTCTTCTCTTCAGAGATGCAAACCGTATGGCACTCCCAGGTGTCTCCGGCGAAGCAGACCGAGCAATCGACGCAGGTCATCGCGGCTCCCCAACATCTGGTGCTCAGGTGCTTGCGGACGGCGGGTTTTTTCAGTGTCTCCTGACACCCTTGACAAATGAAGTAGACCATGGTGTTGGGAGAGAAGTGAGGACAAGTGCCGCAAGTATAGGTGTTCAAATTGGTGGAACAGGAGGAACGGGAACTACGATGTTGACCTCTACCACGAGTAAGACTGTTATTATCAGAATCTTTAGAGGGATCTGAAGACGATGAATCCTCTGCAGAAGACTTCGATCTAGCTCTAGTTCTACTTTTAGAACTCGCTACAACAGGAGAAGTTCTTCTTACGGCACTAGGATCTTCTTCTTCAGGACTATAGCTGTGAACAAGAACAGGATCCAGTTCAACTGGTGGTTGTTGATACAAGCAGTTACTTACAATGTACTCGTCTTGGATGTAGAAGGTGTTGTCGATGCTAAGATGTCGCTGACGATACAAACGAACTGCAGTGGAACCTTCTTTTCTAGTTGTAGAAGCAGGTTTCATATTATTACAAAGGCCGCCCGTGCATTCTTCACTGTTGGTACGTCTTTAGATATGGAGATGTAAAGATGTTTGGAGATGAAAGATCGTGTGATCCATTATAGAGCTTTGTCTTTTTGTTTGATCAGACTTTATCAGATTTCACACGTGAATATGGTGCTCGTTGGAACTTTGTGTTTTCTTTGTGTTTTTGTCTAACAGAGATCTGTGTTCATCAAAGGATCCTTGCTTGGACCAAAAAATCCTCCACTTCACAGTCTGACTGATAATCTTGGAACTGACAGGTGGATTAACTTTTTTCCATTTTGTGTCTCAGAAACCTCTTCAAGGACAACAAAGAACTGTTATACTCTGCCCTCTGGAAGATCCAGGTGACAGTGCTCTATCCAACTTGAAGGGTAGGCATACGTCACGTTTGCGAATCCTCTACAGGTACTAGAGGTGCACACGAGATAAATGTGCCTAAATCATAGCTGCGGGTGCGTCATGGCTATTGGCTTAGGGCGGGTAGCACAATGTCATGACCTCTTGTTGACTTGTCTGTCCATCATTCTTAGGGTACTGAGGGGAGAACTCAGGACGACTAAAGATGTGGGATTTTCTGGATGTTGAGTGGGCCTACAAACGTAATCAACCACCACCGAAAAATCTATCCTTCTCGGAAGTAGTTATCAGTGCTTACCAAAAAAAATTGTGAAAGTTATGGCACATTGGCACTATGGATGAATAATTAATACACAAAACAGAAATCATGAGTCGTGGCGTCCCACGACGTACGTTCTACGAAGGAAGGAATAATTTGAGTTGTACAATTTCTACATAGATAATAGTTTCAATAGGTTTCTTAAGTATGTCGTGTACAACTTTTGTAATGGGTAGAAGGCTATCTTCCATGTTGTGACAACTTTCAACATCATGTCTATAATCATGAAATAGCGTCGATACAGACTATAAATAGAGGTTGTATGGTGTAAGTACGTTAGCTAAATAAATTTCACCTCTTCACCTCTGCACAGCCGAAATCCTGTCACCAAGTGACAGCGCAATCCCTTGCGCCCTGGATCGAATTCGCACTGAGCCGCTCAATTTCGTTGGCTTTCCACGCGCATCTCTGATTTGTTCGATACTGACATTCGCTAAAATGTCTTCGCCAAAGATGGACCGTGAGTACAGGTTCAACCCCACGAAGTTACTACTAGATAAGAGCTTTTTGATGCCCAAGGCCTCCTCGAATTGCGTGAAGATCTCGCCCATGGCTAGATGCTTCTTGCTCTTCGGCGGCGCTCGCATATTGGTGTGGTCTAGGACTTTACTGCTGCCCTGATGCGAGCTCTGCTTGCCGGTTAAAGGTGGTGCGAGCATGGCCTGCATCACGGGGTTGTCCTCCTTGTCGTCAAGGCCAGAGTTGAGCATCTCGTTTTCGCTTGCACTAGATGCTCGTCTGGCGCGCTGAGCGGACTCCTTCCTCAGCAAAAGCAGATTCTGCAGATTGCGCTTCTCGTTCTCGGCTTTTGTCAGTGCTGCACGACCCACAATGCTCATGTTGGTGTTACGCATGATGTGCACCAGATAAGCGCCAGCTTCTTTGAACTGCGTATTGATGTTGATCTTGTTCTCCCACTCAAACTCGCTCCACATGGTTCGGAACTTCAGCTCCGAAATGGAACCCTTCTCGATGTAATCCAGAATGTCCACATGCAATTCGTTGAGAACGATGCTCTCCTTGTCGACTGCAGACTTCTTGTCATAGCTGACGTAGCCAAAAATAACGCCAGTCTCGGTGGACGAAACCTTAATACTAGCGTGGACGATCTGCTGTGCGCCGGGAGGAAGCATCACTGGCGCGGGACGGTCGACCATGAGGATTAGAAGGTAGGAGAAGAGTGGGTATAGTCCGCAACTGTAGCTAAGGAAGAAACTACTCGGGATAAAGGAAGCGTTACCTAAACCACAATAGATGAGTCTCATGTTAGAACAACAGTTCACAACCATAACTTCAAATCCCCTTGCGTCGACAATTCCACAGTACAGTTTTGCAATACTTCGTTCGTTCGATTCACCAGCAGGATTTCCAACAGCAAATCGAAACTGTGCACCTGTAAAAACGCTTCTACGTAGATCGCATCTGCTAGACCAGTCATTTGCTGGACATTGGCTAATCGTTCGCCAAATAGCGAGCCGTCTTTCTCCAGTTGTTCAGCTGTACCCCTAGCGATGTTGAAGTCGCCCTCGTCGTCGAAGTCTAGGGTATTGGTGTCAGCACGGTCGCGACCATCGCGTCTGAGCTGACGGAAGCAAATGGCTTCACTAGGCGGGACTAGTTGCGCGCCCTCGTGTGCTTCGTCTAGCTTGTCGCGGGTCCACTAACTTTAGACCTCACATATATTGTGGCGGAGCCGACCTAACTAGAAAAAAGACAGACCAGAGGAAGATATAAAAGAGAAAAGGGTAACTGTCAACAAGTATACTAAAGTATCCTGCTAACTGCTAAAACTTTAGACCTCACATATATTCATCTTGAATGGCATCTTTGCAGTCTGTTCCCCTTCTTGAAATAGGGGACAATGATGCTTCTCAAGAAGATGGATTAATTTTATAATGGAAGCCTTAATCACTATTCTGCGCTTCGATCTCGAGTACTCGTTGAAGGTCTTCTTTACCGGTACTGCCGATCCACTTTTGCCTCACGCCGTCGAGAGACAGGTCTTTACCAGGCGGCGTCGTCACGAGACGGATACAGAGGTGGAGTCGTAACATGCTGTCGTTCTGCTCGGTGGCCTAGAAAATGCAAAGGAAGAAGGGTGGACCGGGGAAGTGGAGAAAAGCAACAGGGAAGGCTTGGTCAAAGGAAAGATGAAGAGAGTCAGAGACGCCCATAATTATTCTTTCATCCCAATTTAGAAGTGATGTAAATGGCTGCATAACGTTTGCTCAAAATGAGAATACCTGATGTGTCGATTTCAATAATCGCACCAAATTCGCCAGCACGAATAAAACTTCGTTCTTTAGTTCCGTGCTTATGCTCTCCGAACTAAGGCGCAACACCATCCGCGTCAAGCACACACCAAGACAACTCGCTAACAAGTAGTCACCTAACTGCAATAGTCGTTTCAGCATCGTGTCCTTCTTTTCTTCCTCTGCCGGAGCGTCAGTCGCCTCTTTCACTGCCTCTGTTCCGTAGGTTCCATCAGCGAGGATGATTGTCCTGGTCACTGTTTTCGACTCCTTGCTCGCTTGTTTTTCCTTGGATTTACTGCGGCTGCGCTTGCCTTCTTCCTTGGACTGGGGGACCATTGGTAAGGGCCTAAGAACTTCTAGGATGTTGCCGATCACAGTTTCGAGGTTGTCTTTTTCGCAGTATTCGGAGAAGAGCCAGAGGGACCTGAAGGCATCTCCAACATGTTGTGTGGGGATTGGAAATTGAGAATAAGCAACACCTTTTCATCGGTAGAGAAGTGGACATCTTCCAGTCGTCAGTCAGTAGAACAAAAACCTAGTGTGAAAAAGTCATCTTCAGTCAGAAGAACGAAATCCAGTCATCAGTCAGAAGTCTAAATCACGTCTAGTTGTCAAAAACCCTATATCAGAAGTCTAAATCACTCTAGTTGTACCCCCGCAAAACGCGGCTATGCTGCATATCTGGCAGAGTCGACGCGAGACGGCCTATTATATTGCTTCGGATTTCTGGGAAGCTAGCGACTAGCTCACGGAGGTACATAATCGTGTCATTCGCCGTAGAATTGTACTCCGTTTCCGTCAGAAAATCGATCAGGAGGTAAACCTATAACAGATGATGCGAATGATGGGAGGTTATTTAAGGTATTTTTGAGGTACAGAATCAATATTAAGGTATGTTAATTTTTGAGGTACAGAATCAATATACACAAAGCAGAAAAAAGTACAGGACGAGGGAAGCAAACGGTGCTGTCTATCACGTGCTCAGATCATACAATACAATACAATAAAATACAATTAATCTCGCACAGTTATCAGTGCAGACTGCTAACGAAATCGAAAGTAGTAACTAAGTCAGACATTCAAATATAGTACCAGCGTCTGCGCCTCCTCTGCTGAGTGAACCGTGCAAACGTGTAACGCCTTCAGCAAAAGTCTTCTGTACTCCTGTCTATGCTCCTTATCAGACACTTCGGTGCCAGTGGTTTTCACTAACTCCTTCTTGAACAAAGCAACGACCTCCTTCACGTTTTTTGGGGAAACCTGAAGAGTTTGTGTTTGGCAATTGGGGAAACCGAGCGTGTTTGCATGGACGAGGCTCGAGAACAAAGGTGCAACCAAATATTCCTTGGATTTATAAAGTACTCTAGCACTTGTTTGAAGATGAGTAAATCTGTAAAAGTATAATCGTCTCAATACCAACGGCAAGCACAGGTCCATGACTTTTCTGCGGACATCGAGAGACGGCGATGAAAGTCCGCGAAAGGCGTCCATGATGAAGTTTTGCACAACTTCGCTATGATGTTTACGGACCTCCTTCAACTTGCCGAGTACGACCAACTTTACATTGTTATCAGACTGCTCCGTAAGCAGATTGACGTAGTTTTGTACTGCAGTCGTGACGGCTTGGGCGTTACCGGTTAGGGAAACCTGGAGGAAAAGTGAAAGATGGGCGACAAGTATAATTGTCTTTTCTTGCACTTGGCTTGGAGTAATCAGAGTAAGCAGGATGAAGTTCTTTACTCATAGACGAAAATTTAATAACCACGACTCAGTACCAAACTCGACGCCACGTCGTAGGCCACCGCAGTGCTACTTAACGAACTGCTAATCGTCGGATCCGCTAGGTTATACAGAATTCGCAGAAGTTTTCCCTTATTTTGTTGGGTGCCTGTTCCTCGGCAGGATTTACGGATCAACTCCAAAACTGCCAATTGGAACAAGTCCCCTGAAGTGGCTACGGTGTCCTGCATCGCCACTAAAACCCCAACTGCTCTCTCCATGTCGCAGTTGAGGAGCATCAGGAATGCGTTACGCTTCGTGGATAGGTCGCCCTGATGATGGATAGCGGCATTTTTCCGTTTCAAAGGCTAAATTTGAAATGTTGAAAAGCTACTTGATGTCGCTATTCTGGACGATAGCTGGACGATAGGCATGGTGCACCATTACCTAGTACTCGCATACAACAAAATTTTCGAGTATACCTCCACCATGAGCAGCTGCTCGATATCGTCTAGTGCCGTTGGAATCACCTCGATGCCGAACGTCTTAACAATCGCAAAAACACACATCACCGCGTTGCGTCGGACATAGGAGTGCTTATGCGTCAAATTCTTCAGAATGGCCTCAATAAGAGGTTCCAGGATTTTGTAATACCTAGAAGGTGTGTTGGATGTTGTTCTGTGTGAGGTGGAGTTTTCCCCCTAAAAAGGAAAACTTATCTTAAAGTGACGAATAAACTTCTGAGGTAACTTTGAAACCATGATAGTACAGATCTTATTTGCAACAACCCTTAGATCATGGACATCCCTTAGAAAAGTTCAACGTAAATTTGTAATACCTCATCTTGCACATGAGCCTCAGCGTGCACCCCCGCACGTACTCGTTGCTATGCAGCAAATCTGACCGCAAAGCGTTACACACTAAGATCATCTCTTCCTTCCATTCGCCATTTTCCTTGTACTTGTCCACTATCTCCCAGTAGAGCATGAGCAACTTCTTAATCCTGTGATTCTGCGACGTCACAGTGTACTGGATCACTTGCATCAGCAGCGTCGATAACGAGGATTCGCCATTGACCATGTGTAAGATGATCTGTTCTAGGGCATCGATCTTGTCGCCGTCTCGTTTGGAAGCTAGCTTTTGCCCCAGTTCCTGCGGACTCGGAACATTGGCCTTGGCGCTGCCCTCAAGGCAGATGAAGACCGTACAGTTGTCGTCCGCTTCGCGACCCATTTTGGAGTGGGTTCTGGTGAGAAAGAGGACAACTGTATTCAATAAAGAAGTATTGAGTTTCTTTGTAGTATCTGCCTCCAACGGGACGAATTATTGATACGTTTCTTGTAGGAATCCTCCGAAAATAGTGTCGCAGCCGCTTCTCCGTGCCGCAGAGTCGTCGTCTGTGCTAACACGGAGGCAAGAGCAAGACGGCACGAGGACTCATCTTTTCAAATTTGACTTTTTCGAGAAGCTTACTTCTATCTTCCTAAGCCAGAATTTATCGACATGAACTATACATCAACATTAAAAATTTCACAGGTCCGATGCCGTTCTATTAGCCACAAAACTGGTGATGTTTGAAGGATAAAAGCATTGTGGACATCTGTCTCTACTGTCCGACTCAAATCTCCAAACTCAGACAATTCACATTCTTCCAACTAGTCGTGTGGTTCGTTTGAGATATCTTCACTTTTCTCTCTTGTTCTGTGTAAAAGCACGGTCGTGTGATTTTCGCTGCTGAATTCGTGATTTTGATTCCCGTTTTAGAGGACACAAAGGATGACCAGAGCTGCACCGGCAGCAGCATCAAACACAAATTTCGGTATTGCTCGGACGCTCAAATTCTTCGCCTGAAGATGAAGTTCTAAAGGACATTCAAATTTCAGAGGACAGCAGAAGCAGATCTGTGATGATTCAGCCCATGTGAATACATTTTTTCATCGCACTCCTGCTGCAATTCTTTATTCCCGAATAATAATAAGATAGTCACAAGATGTCCCTACGTCCTGACCTGCAGGTGTTTAAAAATTTCGAATAGTTGTATCTTCTGCTTTGTTAGATTAAGTATTATTATTTAGCAGAGAGGCCTTGCATTGTTGCATTGTTAGATTGACCGGGAAATTTCTTTACAAGTAACCACTGACATGAGGGACGTGCATTTCATATGACCAGTCTATTCAGCCTTTGTACATACCCACCACCTGTTCCTGATCCTGTACAGCAAGCTTTATAATTTCCAAGAGTGTGAGTATAGGAATATTAACTCTGGTCCCATCGAGTATGATGTATAAGGGTCTTGTTATTCTTGCACTGACCTAGTAATGCTACAAACATTACAGCGGCCAGCATGATTTTTCATCCGAGCGGATATCCACACTGTACAACTCTAGGTCCCTTAGAAAATCGACAACAGTGTAGTTCTGGTTCTCTCCGTATACGTAAAAAAGTATGCACATCATGTCAAGATGAACTTCTATTATTAGTACATCTCTTCAAAAATCTTCATCATTATTTCACTTTTCATAATTCCTAAATCTTTAAAAACCTGTCTAAATTCTAATTTATAGAAGCCAACAAACTAAAGCCAATCGAAAGCGTTAAAAGGCGAATCCTCCAGACAGGAACGCCATAACACAACCGAAGAGTACAAGCCCTCCAAAATACAGCACTACGCGTTCGGCCATCCTCCTCCCCAGCAACGCTGGTTCGTCGCAGTAGTGCATCTTCGCCAGACTGACTAGAATCGACACGGTCAATCCGAGAATGCTGTTATTGGTCTGAAACAACCACCTAATTGGGTCGTCATGGGCGAAAAACAGTGCCACTTCAATCCCGACCCACCAGAAGCCGAACCATAAGCTGTGAAGGAGTTGAAAACACGGAAAGCCGTACTTCAAAATCGATGGTTTGTATTGAGTGTGTTTTTCGTGGAAGACAGTATAGGCATGTGCGAGACGGGCTGAGGTTTGTGGGAATTTGGTGGATATCGAGTGGAAGAAATTGTTGATAGTAGTGGGCTCCCCATCGGCTTCGACATGACGAAGAACTAGTTCGAGTTTACTAGCAGCAACCACAAAACCACCATGCTTTTCTTCAGCGCCTGGTCCCAAGTCAATCGCCCCAACATCTCCCGTTACACTAGAAGTGCCACTAGTAGTGCTTGGTACTTCTTCTATATTACCAAGATGGTGTAGTTCGCCTGTGACGTTTTGGTCGTCGTCGTCTCTTTTCATGTTGTTGATTGCGAATATGGAGTCGTTAACGTTGATTTTCCCAGATTCTACATCACCTTTACCAGTGAGCAGAAGAACTGCATTTGGATCTGCTACCACAGGTTGATCTGCAAAGCGATGCTCTTCTCTAGCAGAAACGACACTCACAAAATCAGCGTCCGACGCGATTGCTTTGCTGTCGTTGCGTGGTTCCTGCAGCGTAGCATCTTGTGGTGACTGTGGAGGGTTTCGTAGTTGATCTTGCTTGTCTACTACTTTTACCACTATTTCAACATCCTGCCTTTGATCTGGACTATCAACATTTGTTGTAGATGCAGAAGATGATGTTATTGGCAATCCGGCAGCACTCGCATCTTTGTCCTTCCATTGTCGGTATTTTCTCCCAGCAACTGCGATTCCAGCACAGCACAGATCCCCAACCACGGTCGGCCCCACAACTTTCAGCGTTGGTGCGTTCTTTTGCCTGGCCGCGCATACTGGGAAACAACAGCAGGTTGCCGACACGAAAGCTACCATTGCGGAAAGTACAGTAGTCGTGATTGCGAAGAGGACAACCACCCACCACCAGAAGCAGAACATAAAGCTAGTTGAAAAATTCGACTTTACCTTCTGGTGCCAAGACATGTCATGCACCTTGAAAGTATTCCATGTCTGAGGCCAATGTTGAAGTGCTAGCGATGCAGTGGATGATGACGATCCACGCGCCGCTACTGTACTAGAAGTTCCGTTTAGCATCGCGGCATTGAGGGTAGGTCCAGTGTCGGCATAAAAGAATCTCCTGGGTTCGCGGGAAAACAAGCCTTGAAGCGTATTCGGTCTACTGTTGCCAGACGGACACGACATGGAGTCTTCTGTTTTGGGGATGCCTACGCTAGCACCTAGATGCAAAGCTGGTGGCAAAACAGCGACGTAGATCTTCAGAGGAATGAAAATCGCCGAGAGATCTCCGACTTCGTACGTAATAGCGAGTCGTCCATCTAGCAACCGCTGCATCGCTGAGTAAGATCCTCCACCTTTGTGAAAAACGTGGGATTCGAACCAATTTTCGCCTTTATCGGTCGAATACCACAGCGTCAAGTCTGCTCTCGTTGCTCCTAGAGCCGATTCGGAATACCGACTCACACCACTGTAGAGCAACGTGTGTTTGTTGAGAGATATTAGGCTTCCCTGACATCCCTGAAAGGGATTCGGCAACTGTATTCTGTCCTGACTCGTCCAAGTCTTGCCGCCATCAGTACTGCGAGCTTGCGCTCTGTCGCCGATCCAAGTCCGACTATTCAGCAACAAACTTCCGTCACAGTTCTCAGCTAGTTGATCCTCGTTCCCAGCAATGCCCCAGAGTTCCTGATTACCGTTGCTGATCATAACTACTTCCCAGGTCTTGCCGTGGTCATCACTCAGCAAAACGAAGGCAGAAGAACCGAAGATGGCGGTTAAGTCGAAAATCGGAGCGTCGGAGACGTAGCCAGGGATTAACAAACGACCACGATACTTCTCAGAATAGGACATCTGCAGGCCAGCAGGCGGTCCGAAGCCGACCCAAGTCCACCAATAACCCTCGAGGGGAATGCGGTACCTGTGTATAATGACAAATGATTGGTCGACTTTCATCCGACTGTGGGAGTCAGTGGAACAGGGACTAGTACGTCGTCACGATTGTGGTTTTGTGTGAAATAGTTCGTCATGTAAAAATGACAGCAAATCCTCTATCATCTTCCCCAACCGAACCAGATCCCCAAACAAACTAAAAAAAAATACGGCTCCACCCAGCTTTCTCCGTTATTATCGCTGTATGTCATCCACATCCTTGAATTGCCTCTGGTAAAGGGTAGAAAAACCCTGCCAGTGTATTCGTTCTGCACTGGAGCCAGGTTGCCGACAACAAAGTGCCAGGAGGAGCGCCCTTGTAAGAGTACGTGCATCTTAGACCAGGTATTGCCACCATCGTAGCTTTTTCGGACAACAACGTCAGTTACGTCCCAATCCATGCAGTTGCCTCAAGTGAGTGAGTGAGTGAGTGAGTGAGTGTAGACTTCTTTGATAGATCAAGTAGCCTCGAAGAGGACTATTGAAAGGCTGTGATGTCCTTATCATCCTTGCAACGAAACAACTCCAGGTTGCAAGGATATTCAATCTTAAAAATGATGAAAAGCTATGTACTTATAAAGTAGAATAAGTACCCAAGCTAGCAGGGTCATCCTTCGGTCCCCTTGCTTCTGCGAACGCCAGCAACGTCCCATTGATAGTTTGAAAGAGGTAGGGTATCTTGTAGCAGCCATACTCTGGCTGCAATTCTGGAGAAAACACTTCGACAGGGCTTCCCTCACTATAATTGAAGGCATGCAAAAATTCATTCGTCGTGTACGCAGATGCGAAGAGAAGTGGAAGAGGGACGTCTGGTTCTGGTCGTGCTTCTCCTGGCAGTCTTGTTGTAGGTGGTCCTCCGATGTGGTGATCTTCATGTGACTGAAGAAATGAAAGATACCCGAGATCAGCAAATGAGTGTCTAGAACCACGACGCGGCCAGCATAGTATCGAAGCGAGGTACAGGCAGCAACACCTGACAGCAAAACCTCGCCCCAAAGAGGACACCAAAAACTTGTTATCTCCCATTTTATTCCTTTGAAGATGATCGCCCATCTTGTTCGTTTGTCCTATGCTTACTGTTAGGGCCTGCCTGACTGGAATGATGAAATGCTTGGCCGGAAGATTATGATTGATGATATCAATTACAATTAGGGTCTGTTGAAGAATGAGTGGGGTACTATCTACAATGACGCATCTACGAAAAGATTATAGACACATCAATCTTCAATAAGGGAAAGAAAATATGGCTGCTTGAAAAGAAAATAAATTAAGTACAGAAGAAATCATAATCAGATGAATGCTAAAAATCAGCGGGGACAGTCTAAAAAAATTCCAAAGAACTATACGAATTTCGCTATGTGATGCAGCCACGATAATAATGCACGATAGAAGTAGTGCGATGATCGAGAGCGACTAGTCTACTTATGGTTACAATCATTTTAGTACTTAGAAATCGGTGCGGTAGAACTGGGGCACAAAAGAAGAAAAACGTGAATAGAAGAAGAACCTCAGTGCCTGCACAGATATTGGTACGTAAAGTAAATCAAGTGAGAGAGGCGTTGCTCCTCTTCTTTCCTCCATTTTCTATGCAAGTAAGACAGAATGCTGCGCTTGCCTTCTTCTCTAGACAGAATCAAATCATAGGAAGCTTTCTTCGCTCCCTGCTCTTTGATCCGATAGATGCTCACAGAATCTTCACTGTCACTGTGAAGGCTATTTTCTAAAGTAGAAACTCTGCCTCTCAAAATACAACAGACAAAAAACTTCTCAATCAGTACAGAATCTCAGATTTTGCAAGACATCCATGCAGTGTAGCCATAAGTCTTAGCCGACAGATTCTATACCAGTGGTGGACTCTGAAACACTTTCTACACCAGTGTTGGACTTTCCACATGTACTGATCTTCATTCAAAATCAGTCGGGACATTGCCTTCATGCATCAGCATTCACCACCAGCAAAAGACTGTTATGTTAGAATCGAGATGAGAGCGAGATGAGAAAGAAGACTGTACTAAGATTGGGAATTATGAGCTCTCCCACGATAGTTCAACAGAGCTATCGTGCTCCCCTTGCAGTTTGAAAACCCCTCACTGCACATGTTGCATAAACCAAAATTCATTTGCCGGGACACTCCGCCACGGTGCACTGGCACAATCAAGCTGGTTCATCCACTTGTACACTTCTCGATCAGCCCACCGCCAAAAGTCCATGTAGTATCTGTTGATGTGGTCGAGAGAGAGTGAAAGATACAGGAGTTATTTGGAAAAGAGCGAAAGGGAGACGGTTCGAACAAAACTATGAGTGGTAGAGAGTCTGTGTCGGTAAAAGTTACATCATAAGGCAATTCATTTACCTGCTCTGTCTTTCACAAACATCGTTATCAATACCTGCTCTGTCTTTCCCATATTATGCTATTTGGATAGTAGGTTTGGAACTCCGAAATTTTGCTCTTCAAGGCAAAATCCGACTCGTCTCTGCGTGGCCCACGTGGTGTCAGCTCTGGTACTTGGAATAAGTACGCCAAATGGTCGTCTACCGCACTATGACTCGGTAGGGCCTTGCTGACCCGGTCTGCAACACCCGCTGTTGGCACAGGCAAAAGTTCACGAGAAGTGGTATCTCCTTCATTGCCGTTTGATGATGCCACGTGATGATCCGCATCCTCTTCTACTAATGCTTGTTCTTCTTCTTTCTGACCAAGCTGACGGTCTGATCCTTTTCTCTCCTTTTCCTCCTCCAATTTATCTCCAATCTCATCCTCCTCCTCCTTTTCTTCCTCCTCCAATAGCCTTGCAATTCCACCACCACCACCACCACCAAATATCCGTCTAATCATTTTCCTCTTTTCCATCGCTAGTTTCCAACTGAGTTTGGCTCTCGCAGCCCCACCCACATCGTATTCCACGATCATGTCTGCTTCCGCATCGAAATTATGCAATACTTGAGACGGATCTTTTCTCTGCAAACTACTAGGCCTCTCATTAGAGTTGCACGACTAGGAAATGCATCCCTTCCCAAAAAACATCTGTTGAATGCATTTTTATCCTTACACTTTCTTCTCTGTAAGGATAGAAATGCATTCAACAGATGACTTTAATGGAGATACATTTCCAAGCACATGCGTAATCTCATTCGCTGAGCACGATGCTGCAGTTGCGAGATGGAATTTTTCTGCTGGACAAAGTGCGCGAAAACCATGTGGTCCATACTCCATGGCCAACACGTAGGACGCCAGAAGGTCGCCTCCTTGGAATTCTCGGTCTATGAGGTCTCTTAATGTTAGATCTCAAAACAATTCACTTCGTGCCTACATTTCTCCCAATCCCAAGTGGGAAAAAATAGGCCGAAATGGCTCGTACAGATGAATTGTATTGAGCCTTAATAACGGAGCATACTCGTCTTTCCAGATTTTGCGGAACACCTCTTTGTGGACCAAAGCGCCTTTCGTGATGAAAACTGGGGTATTAGAATTGGAACCAAGTAGATGATGTTGCAATTCACACTCTTAAACGGTTAGGTTAGAAGCGTCACGTGAAAGTATAGAGCCTAGTTGCAGTGCAACAAACGAAAAAATTGGATTCCAATTGTTCCCGATCTCGACTCACGCACTAGCCTTAATATTATGCAAAAAATCAGCGCTGTGCCTGTAGCTCAGACTCCAATCGTAGGCCTCAGTCCTGGACAAAAAGCGTGGATGAAACCCCACAGCTTTCACAGTTTGGGAGATCTTGGCAACTTTACTAGCCTTCGATCTCGTAGGCACTGCTCTGATTTCAGCAGGTACTGCATTTTTGTCTGTTGATGTAGCTGTTGTTGAGGCAGAAAGTGCAGTAGACGCAGGCATAGCAGCTGATGGAACAACAGCGCTAGAAGAGGAAGTTGCAGCACTTGATGAAACAACAGCGCTAGAAGAAGGTGGTGCACCAGTCGGAGGAGGTGGAGCAGCTCGTACTATTTTTGTGGCAGCAGTTACGACCGCAGTTGAAGTCGTCGCTGCAACGGTTGTTTTATTCCCCGCTTTGTTCGTCTCTTGCCCTTCAACAAGCACTCTCCTACCTTCTTCAGCAGTTGATAGAATGCGCGATCGTGAAGATGGTTGTCTTTCTACTTCATTCTCATTGTATTGGATCCACACGTTGTAGGCGTACTGCAAGGCGTGACAGCTGTAGAACATGTCCACGTCCGTGACAAAAACTGCATCCGTCGGAAACAGATGCGGTCGATACTTGTCGCTCAACCGGTAGGGTGCTCTTTTTCCGCCTTTTTTTGGAATGACGTTAGAGCTTGTTTTTGGTGGAGTTGAAATCAGCTGTATCTTGTTTCTCGATCTTGGACGAATCAAATCTAACTAGGCAACGACCCTAGACGGCTTCATAGCAGAAGTGTGTTACTTATGATTCATTCATTCATTCATTCGAACCACGTAGCAACTGTAACAGCTGCCTGGTTCCGTTGTGACCCGGGTAGAGACACGGCAGCTACTTAAGACCGACTGCTTAACGACGTGAGTAACGTCAATATATACATAATATCCTCAGGTGACGAGGCTGGAAAAATCGCGTAGTCCGGCTCCTCCTCGAGTTCTTCGACAAATTCAGTGGTTTCTCTTGAAGATGGTGAGGGATTAGAGCCTGCGAGTGCGAAATGATAAAGCGCCTCCTTAATCAAGACAAGTTGTTGTATCCTCTGACCCATCATGATGACCACAAGAATAACCACATCTTAGTAAGAGATCATCATCTTCATGTAAAAAAAAAACATCTTGACTGAGACTGTCATGGAATCAACTCATATCCGCATCTTCACTGCCACGCATGAATCCTGCGACATCCTTCGGCGGTTCGTTTTCCACATCGAACCAATTTATGTAGACGCTATGCACAATCGCACACCTTCTCAACACCCTCAATTGCTTCCTCAAGCACGACGGACGTTGAAATTGGTTTATCAACACTGTTAGTTTCGCTGCGTCGTTCTTCTTTCGCGCTAATGATTAGCGCTCACAATAGTTCTTCTGCTACGGTCATACTCTCAGAGCATCTCATATTCAGAGGACGGGAAATAATAAATGAGATGCAATTAATATAGCCTGTGAAGATAAATGATCACTACAAGCCTTAAAACAAGGGTTTGGATGATCCGTTGGCAAAGAGACCACCTCCAGAAGTGAGTAAGTCCAAATAGCCACTTCGTCTTACCTCATCTGCGCGTTTCTTGAAGAAGAGCTTCATAGAGTCCCAGAAGCTTCCTGCAGCTGCTGAGGCGGATTTTTCGAAGATTAGAGGGGATTCTTCAATAGGGAATAAGTAGTCTGTCAATGAGCTACGGTTGATGATTTGAATGATCGTGTTTGCGCGTGCTCGTTTCTATCCCTTCTCTTGTACGACAGGACTAAGTCTTCAGTCCTAAATGACTGCCTACGGTGAAATCCAAGTCTTAAAGCTGCTTCCGTCCCCTCTCCAGTGCTTTTCGGCTTCCTGTACAGTGTCGCGACATCATCATTCACCGGATTGTGATGAAAGTAAGCGAAATTCTTGTAGGTCACCGGAAACCGGAGTATCAGGTCCAGTGCCACTACGGACGTGAGAAAAAAAGCGACGAGAAGCCGTCGCCCCGTTTTACGTCGTAGGCAACCGCAAGGGATGCAACACAAAAGGGAATTGTGCAACATTTTTTTCTAAGATGAGGCTGATGAAACTGCAAGAGATATTATGGGAGGTGCGTGATCCCTCGAGACAATCATGGCTTCAACTCACATTTAGTTGAAAGGTGGAATCAAACAAAATTACAGGGACGAGGGGATGCGTTTGGACAGGCTAAGGTAACAAACTATGCATTCTGAACTTCAGGGGCAAAAGCGGAACCTCTGACGAGAACCGATGAACTGGCGATCTGCGCCAGCTTGTTCTCGTATACTCCTACGCTCTGCCTCGTCTCCCTCTTTACTTCTCTCGGAGAGCATTCACTCTTGCCTAGTACCGATAGATATCGGCCCGGATCAACAGAATGCATTATCGCAAGGGGTGTAACATCAAACCCAGGCTAGTACGCGGCGCCCTCTACAACCTTCAAGATAAGTCCACGCATCGGAGAAGAGCGTCACGCAGCATCGCAGATAGTTCGAAATCTTTTTCTGAATTTTTCACGCCAACTATTCGTTCATAAAAAGACTGATATACTTCTTGTTCCCGTATCCCAAAAACATTCACTCACTCGCATCCCTAGTAGTACTCCTAGACTCTGGTTTTCGAAATACCAACCACACCAGTTGGTACAACAAACTTCCCCCTCAAATAATTTTGCAGAAAATCACATGTACCCCAAACAGTTCGCGATATACCCTAAACAGACTAGAAGCTGTTGTGAAAATTCCATATCTGTACCCTACGCACAATCTGTAAAAAAAAAATTGCCTTTGAAGTACAAGCTACTCACATCTGATTGATTCCTCTAATTTGAAGGTGCACGGCTTTTTCTATTGCATTTAAGCGTTCGGTTGCCCTTACAACTGCACCAGTGGTACTTAAGCAGAAGAAGAAGATGATGACACCATCTTCGCGTTCATTTGAACTGAAAACCCTTTAGTAAAACTTGTTGCGCGCATTCAAAAGATGTTGTGCGTTCGTGAAAACAGTTGAACATTGTTGATATTCTAGTAACTAATCTACGTTGACTATAATCGCGAAAAAAAATAGGTGCCGGGGGACTCGCAGGGGTCTTTGTTTGTCTTATAAACTTAAACTTCCTGTTGATATACTTAATTTGTCGTGGAGCTCTAACTAGGAAAAAACACAAACGAAGTATTAGTGATATCTTGTTGATGAAGAAAATTGTAAAAATTGGAAGAATGAATCTCCTACTTCTCACGCTTTTTTCTGCAGCTTACACGTTCGCAATTCTCCGTCCATTACCTTTGTACAATTGAAAAGGTGACTCATGAATTCCTCTGGACACTAACAGACCTTAACCCTCCATCAATCTTTCACGTCACAGTACTACGAGTGTCTCCACGCAACGTATGGTTCCCACTCTATGTTATTAATTCACACTCTCAAGTAAACAGAAGCTTGGGATGGGGAGAAATGTAGGCACGGAGTGAAATGTTCTGAGATCTAACATTAAGAGACCATTCTCCACACTCCGTTATCAAGATACCATCCCCTCCACGCTAACGGCCCGTTCTTTGTGCTTCTTTCGGACGCTGAGAGACACCCTGTTCTGGACTCGTGGCGATATTCAGTACTTTTCTAGGTCTAGTTCCGATTTTACGACCTTCCCCAGGGCCACTGCCGAGTGCACCTTGGGTAACGTCGACGACCTCGCGCTTCGGACTCGACTTGGTAGTAGTAGTGGAATCTGGTGGTTACGTTACAATTTAAACTTTGTTGTTGCGGTCAGGTGCTCTTGCCATCTAGTACAATGACCTCATAGCATCAAATGAAGTACTCGAAAAACTGAAATAACCGAGTTACTGACTGAAATAAGGGGCGTAGCTTAACGTCAAGGCTACTCTTCCTTCTCGTCAGTCCCTCGGTTATTCTGAGGAGTTACTTGCTTATTTCAGTTTTTCGAATAGACAATCATGTTTAGTACTGCTATTCATGATCTTGTCGGTCAAGTCTCCTGTCGTCCAGGACGTGCGCATCATTTGGAAGGAATTTGGCGCTTGTGCTTTCGATTCTGAAGGCAATGCCCATGGTAATGCCTCACCCTCAACAAGCTGATGGCCCACATGCGATGACCTGCCAGGCACAAACGGCACAGCTTCGGATTTCAAGGTGTTTGGTGAGGCAGTCGCGGTTGGTCCGGTTAGAGGTCAGAGGTGTTGAAATTATATTCTTGATTTAGTTTGCTCTCAAGACCAGTCAAATAGCGAGAAGATTGCATTCGTTTAGTATGCGCCAGGTAAATCTTAGGCATATCGGCGAGTAGATGCACATCATCAGTATGCGGTTTTCATTTTCATAACATTCTTGGCTCCACGACTTTAGCACTCTCGCTTTCCTCATCCCACGCTTCTCCCACGCTTCGTTCCTCATCCCAATTCTCCTCAGCGGCCTCTCCTTCCTCACCGGTAAAGCAGGTTGATACTAGCGGAAAGGTCGCCCCGTTCTGCAGGCCAGGTACGTTGGGTAATTGGGCGATCATCCCAGTACCCGTGTCTGTCGCTGACGGTGGGTAATAGCAGTATAGCATCCCATCCGCACCAGGAAAACACATCGGCTCTTGGGGATAACACCTGGTAGAAAAGATGAAGTAGACAGATAGCTAGATAAGTAGATAGATTGAAAAGCAAGAAAATTTTTGGGGAAAGGTGATACCGAAAGGTGAAACAACCTGATATCACCATGGCACCTGATTGATTTTTCACGATTGCCAGAAAAACGAAAACCATTTACAACTTTCTAGCGCGGACAAAAAACAAAACATGAGCTACTCAGGATTTTTGCATCCTCCAATACATGCCAGCACTCTGTAGTTGGGAAAAGAAACCAACCGTACTTCATCTACCTAATTCTAAAGTAGAACTAGAACAAGTGGTTAGAAGTACTAATAAAATATCTTTCGTACCATTGCGTCAACGGATTGTTCACGACTTTGAGCATCTTCTTCTTTTCCTTTTTATAGGCCTTCGATTGTGCGCGGTCGCACGCATGGCAGTATTTACAGGCATCACCAGCTTTACATCCCTTCGGCGTAAAGAAAAACTGGCATGGCCTGGTGTAACAGTAGGGTTAGGTTATGCTAGGTCCATAATTCAGATTCTTTCAAAAAATGAAGAGAATAGTAGTAGTAGTGGTGTACCCATTCGTGGGGTGTGAAAGATATTATTTCATTATGAAATGAAGAGGATCTTCCATATAATTCTTTCAAAAGGGAGGAGAAGATATCCAACGACGTGTAGGTCTAGTCACTCTCCTACCTGATACCCTCATTGATTCCACGGACATTTGAACAATACGTGCAGAGTCCGGCCGTGTGCTGCTCTTGAACAGTAAACTGGTTCCGCAGTTTCTTCGACGGCCTCAGAAAAAACGATTCCTGTTTTTAAAGGGGGAGAGATACTTTTGGCTTGAGGTGAAGTGAGGTACAACACTACTAACCCTGTACTTGATGTGTGGACTTAGGAGATAAACGTCGTGTTCGTCCCATCCTCTTCTAGTACAACTAGCAGTTGCACTTTTACACTTCAAGCAATTATACTCATGAAAGCTGTGGTGAACCTTATGCGCTCACTGAATTGGAAGCACTCACAAAAAACTACCTGAGCAGCAAAATTGGCTAACCCAAGATTCGGAGGAGCATCTGTTTTTGGTCCGACCGGAGCAACGCGCTTAGTACTTGCCTGTCGTGACGTCTCCGGGTTCTTATCCCTCTTCCCCGCTTTCCTACCTCCTCTTTTTCTTCCTCTCCGCACGTCTGCTTCTGCGGGTTCGGTTTTCTTAGAATGCTATTTTTGATTGCAGTAAATAGGCGATACATCTTCAGATTCTTCAGATGACACCTCGTAATTTGATGGAGTATACTTCTGACCTTTGACGGAGTGTACTTAGTAGAGTGAGATCATTTAGCAAGACAAGCATAACATCCCCATTTGCAGTGGCATCTACAGTGCCCCAACAGCTCTTTGGTGGAGCCGCAGTGACGACCTCTTCCTCACTCACACTCTGCGTGGTACAGTCGTTTTCATGTTCGACAGCACTGACACTGTACCAAGACCGTGTAGCCTTTTTCTTCGGAGGCTCAGGAGTTGGTCTTGCTGTACTCTCTTGCCTTTGTTGAACGGGAGGTTCGGCTTGTTGCTGTTGTTGTTCAGAGACTGAATTGCTAGTCGAAGATGAGTTTGGATGTGCAGCCTTGTTTTTCCCCTTCGTTTTAGCTGCTTTTAAGTACATTCCCAAATGGTTTTCAGTCACGTGTCCTCCTCTGTTCCCTGCTCCAACCTCCACGAGCTTACTTTTGCTGCCCTTTCTGGAAGAGGAAGAGCTACTAGATGATGCGCTAGACGTGCCAGTGCTCACAGAGTTCGAGTTTCTTCTGGCCGAAGTGCTAGAGGACGCATGAATAGAAGCTCCTGCTATAGAAGGTGCGTTGACACTTGGAGTAGTGACGGTTTTTGACACTCCAGAAGAGGAAGAATTCCTTGCACCACTTATCGCGCCTTTACTTCTCCCACCACCGCTACTAGATTTAGACACCGAGCGAAACTCAGCATCTGCGCCTGTGCTCTCTGCACTACTACCATTAGAGGTTGCGCAATTACATTCTTCAGATCATCCTTGACCTACTTTCCACTTGCAAAAAGGTCAAGGATGTCAGCGGAAGATGTAATATGGAAACCCTTAATACTATTGTGGCCGTCTCCTGCAGTTGTCGAACTCTTGCTCACACTTTGTTCCCCTTCTCCCTTCGGACGCCAAATCAAATCTCCCTTTGTAGTCTTTCCAGCGACAGCAGCGCCAGAAGTTACTTCTTCGCATAGCTCATGTGATGGAGAAACGGTCAGGAATAGCTCGTCCGAAAATCTGGTGGTTTCTTGGTACAATGAATCACTGATGAAGTTGGAAAATCTAGTTGACTCCTACTCTTTTACTTCTTAGTCACCAGTGGTACTTCTAATGGGACTAACACCTGACTATCCAAAAACATCGGTTCCGAGCATCCAAGGAAAACAAGTAGACACAAAACAGTACTCGGCTCGATCCCTCGTCTCAAATCCAAGGGTTGACGCTTGCTTTGACGACGTCCGCAACCTCAACAAGAGCTGCTTGCCATACCTTCGCCCACTCTCTGGTACCGCCAAGACCTCGTCACGAAAGTCGAAGATATTGATGTTTTCAAAGGCGATAGATGTCATGAATTGATCATAATGATCTTGTCATGTCATGGAACCGCTACTGTAGCTACACTTGGGGAGATTGAACTCTGGTAACAAAGGACCTATTTTCACTTCATTAGTAATCTTGTTCCTATCCTAATCTTGTCCTGTACTATCGCTTGTTCCTATCATCTGTATTGACTGTGAACGTAAAAACGTCAACCAAACCCGGCCGCGCCTCACCGCCAGGCGCTACCTACGCGCAGTCGCCGCCGCCTGCCGCACACCTCGCCCTGCATGCCACAAAAGCCGCAGCTGGCGGAGACTGTGGCGACCAGGCATACCATAGTCGATCGCAATGACGACCATAGCACCACACACACAGAGCACAAAGAAATCCGGCGGGATCGTACGCGTCGCCCGGAGCGCATCAAAACACACAAACAAAACATTGACTCGGTAGCCAGAAGTACAATTTCAATTTCTCTCCAATCTGAAACTCAAAGATCTATCATCTTCTCTAGTACCTTCGTATTCGGATCCACGAGGGCCGCAAGCAGCGCCGAAAAGTCGGATTCTGCCATCGCCGATGACTCGGTTACAAAACTACTAAAATTTCCTTCATTATAATCATACGTACTGTATCTGTTGTTCCTAAGAAGATCGACTTACTTTTCGACGCTGGACGACCAGAAATAGGAATTATCTACAATTTCTCAGGCCTTTCGTCGGTCTTCGTTATCAACAACAGCAGCGGGCCTTTTCTTTGTACAATTCTTGTATCACCTCCGAAACTGCTTTCTTTTCTTGATACATGAAAGGAATAATTGGTTCTCTATGTTGATGTTGAGTTTAGGAGTCTTCCGTCAGATGTTTACAGTCAGTACTACCGCTTTTGAATCCCCGGGCCAAGGGATGTCCACGAAGCTGGTGTCCGCCTCACTATGTCGAGTCTCCAGGAGTCGCTCTGAAGAGTAGAGGAAACATGGTCTTTTGTTTCATGAACTTAAGTACCACTCACACACCATTACAAAAAGGTTGAGACAAAAAAATTTAGTACACAACTTCTCAATTACTTCCTTAATACTCAACTTTTTCCAGCAAGGAAACCTCGCAACTCAAGAAAATTATACAAAACTAGCCCTCTACCTACGACTGCTTTTTTGTCGTTGCTATAATAAAATTGGCATCTTCCTCGAGAAGGGAGTGTCATTTTCGCTTTAAGTGCTCTCGATTCATCTTCTTCTTCTTCGGTGTCAAGGCATTTCCATATATGTGGTTTCCGACCGATTTTTGCAGAAACTGCGCTCTTTTTGGATATAAGCGGCGTATGAAGGAGGTATCTAGAAGATGAACCAACATTTTTCTGCAAATTACCAGTATCATGAGCAGCCAGGTGCATCTTCGTACTAATTACTCAAAATCACATTCGCTATCTCCGCACTCATAGACGTCATTATAAGACCTAAAACCGCAGCACTCAGTTACAACAACACAGTATGAAACGCTCTCTTTTGAGAAGATGGATGTGGCTTCATAGGAGCGAAACGGTCGCCCTTTCAAAGTTACTCGTCTTCAAGCAACTACATGAATATCAATCCACTGATCGACCCATCGGGAAGTGTCTTCCGCCAAAAAAAAAAAAACCATCAATCCTTCTGACAATCATGGACATGGCCACATCAAGAATAACAAACTCGGTTCCATCAGTATGGGAAATTTGTTCAACATTCAAGAATCAGAAAGGTGAGATCATTAATCTCACTTTATCGCAACAACATTCACACCCTGGACTGCACGCTCCGCACCAGGACAGAGACCGGGAACCGTGTCCGTGACCGCAGGCAAGACACCAAGCAGTAAGTCTCGGAACACACGACCAGGCGCAAAGTTTCGTAAGTGGACTGCATGTTAGAGAAGGAGAAGGTTGGAGTTTAGCGGGGAAACTTGGGGCAGCGTAGAATTTCTGCTGATGGAAGGTACAACTAGATCACAGCTGGACACAGGAGCTTAGTGCGCTAGAATCGCATCACTTGGCTGCTTAGACTCAACTTGCTGGCAGTAGCGATATTATCGCATTCGTGCATCATATCAACGGACTAGGACTACAAACCCATCATAATGAAAGCAATCGATTTCGTTCAGCGTCCTCTGCAAAGATTCGCCTGTCTTTTCCCATCTGTAATTCCACCAGACTTTCTCATACAGTGGTCCTAAATGGTGATCGAACCAAGAATGCGTGAAACCACCGTTGTAGTGATGCGGTAAGTTGTGTAAGTAGCTTCCGTACGGGTGGGAGAGCATTAGGATGCCACCTCTCTTGGCACTCTGCGGGTCACTTCTGTTGACATCGGTCTGCTGCACATAACTAGAAACGAGGCTCTCATTCTTCAAAAGCCGGAAGAGCTCACGCATTGCGTCTACTGGGTGAGGCAAGTGCTCCAGAACTTGGTCGCAGATGACGATGTCGACGCTGCTGTCCGGAAGAGGAATGTTCGTGATCGAGTATGAAAAAGTAGGAAACATCACGTTTTTCTGTTTTATATAATGATTTCATCTCGTTTGATACAACTGTCGCAGTCATTACAACACAAGTGGTCTATAGAACAAGGTTCACTACTATCATCAGAAGTCTACTAAACCTTCTATCAAGTTCCTCTGCTCAGCATAAATCGGAGACAATATCCAACGCCGCATACCCCGACCGCGCATTGTGTATGCTACTGCCAAACGCGTGTTGGTTTACACCCAATTCCCGCGATGCACGTATAACATCCTCATCCTTCCGGGAACCCGCATCATACTGAGCGAAGTCCTGTTTTAGGTACTGCACGTGGTCCCCCACCTGAGTCCACTGATCTTCGCAAGGTGCAGTGCCAGCACCAACATCGAGGACTACTATCATCTTTTTGTCTGTTTTAACGCTAGTCAATCACCATCCCTGTGATTGAATGGCTTACCTCTTTTCGCCTAATTTTCACCTTGACTCCCAGCGGCAATTTACTCTTACCGCAGATAGTGACTGACTCTAGCCTTAACTGTTACCCTTCTTGATCCGGCGTCTTTTAATAATTCCATGACCCCATGATAGCCTGCACAAGCCTGTGCTTCGGGGCCATATAGAGCTGGATCATCCACGAAATACAAGAATTGCTTGGCCCATTGCGGGACGCTAGTGTCCACTGCGTCTGCACTAGCGTCTGTGACTGTATTTTCAGCCTGCCCGGACTCTTCCGTAGGCGCGTCCACAGCGGGCTTCACCCTCTTCTCCTTCTTCTTCCTTCCGCCCCCAGCCGCCGCTATCTTCCCTACATGATAATTCCCATCCAGATCATTCACTGAGAAATCGGATGCACGTTCTAACAAAATCGGCGCTGCTTCTACTAGCCGATTCCAAGTTCGCCAGTCTTCCCAGTCTATATAGCGCCAGCGCGTCGGTGGGTCCCATTGAGTCCATAACTTGTCCAACAAGTAGTTGACATGCGTCTCGATCTCTTCAGTCCAGCCGTATTTGTGGAAAACATCTTGAGCCATCTGGACGAAAACCTCCCACTTGTTTCCCTTTCCTTTGGGGACTTCTTTGGCTTCTTGAGAACGTCGTTCCTGAAGAGGTGGATCTTCTTCTTCTTCTTGAAGAACGCCAGTCGTAGCGCCCACTGCCCCTGCGTCACCTATAAAAATGTCATCTTCGGCGCCAGCAGCAACTTCAGCTGAACGCTTGCCCTTCCGCTTCCTCCTCTTTCTCTTTTTCCTCTTCATCTCCTCTTGGTCCCTGGGGATCTTGTACTCTGATTCGAAGTATTCTAGAGCTATGTGCAAATACGCAATGGCAGACCTTTGAGGATCGAGCAAGTCTTTTGCATCGAACTTGACCTTGGAGAAAAAGTCGCCACTAACCAGAAGAGCATTGAGAAGTCCAAAAATGGGGTAGCGCCCTTTGATGGCGGTTACCGTGTATTAGGGAGGATATTGGACGAGCCTTGATTCTGGCGGTTGGCATTTATTCTACTTGGAGGCACTTTTCCAGAGCAGTTTTCATTCTCATTTTGTGACATCTACTTCATCGGTTGATCAAATCAAGAACTTCAACGAAGTCTTGATGACGCTATTCTCTTCAACTTCAAATAGAGGTCCATAACAATTAGGCACCATCAATGATGCTGCTGGTGGAGGTCGGCGATTCATGCTTGCCCATATCACGTTCACAGCTTCGTAGGCCTGTCGTGCGTCGGGACACATCTCTCGTATCACATCTTCTAACGTAGGAATGAAGCGACGCTTCTCGCCGACGCGGATGGAGAATGAAGAAGGGAGAAGAGATGCTACGAGTACGGGGAGGGTGAGAACATACATGCGGGGCCGTATTTCATAATTTTGATAAAGGAAGAAGGAAACGCCTCCGTTATTCTTCATCATGACGATCTTTCTACAACATTCACTCTCTTCCTACATCTTCTAAAAAAACCTTCCATCCATTCATACCCCTTCTCTCGTGAGCACCTCTGCATCTCCACCCACGACTTGTCCCACACACGTTGTGTTGCTCCCATATGCTAGATTCACCTTTGCCATCATTGGTGGCACAGCCAGACTTCGGTAATCTCCATCGCAACAGAGCTTTGGCGTCAACGAATTGAACCCATCTGGAATAAAACAGTCTGGCAAGATGATACGTGGTTGGCCAAAGGCTTTCTTCGTTGGGTCTTTCTCGGGACAACACCAAGACCGTTCGTAGTCTGCGTCGAAGCAACTGCGGGAAGCGAAAAGACGTGTTATGCGGTCGAAACCGAAGGCACAGAGCTGTTGCCCGATTGCGGCATAACCAGGACAATTTTCTACCCAAGATGGGTGGAATCGGACGTCTGAGTCAGCGGCACAGAGAGGGACCATACAGAGCACAAAGCATAGGTGTAATGTCAGAGAAAAGCTTGACCGCTCGCGGCTTGGCCCTTCTCTTCGAAGGGACATCTTGATTCCGGTAGTACTATGCCTTCTGCCTTCAAGCTACGCAGGAACCCTGATGTTCGTCAGAAGCCTCGAAGCGCAGCAACCGTGCCATCCTGTTGACTGGGTTACAGCATGTGTTTTCGCCACGCGTCCTAACGCGTCCCGACGTTGCGAGACGTGGCACAGAGCGGAGCTTCAGTCTTGTTTCAATTCAAGTTCATGTGCATCACTGAAGATGTTTCAGGTTATCTCTAGCTACTTTCCATTGGTGTACAACCTAAACCGTGTTTTATTTGGTAAGGAAAAGACACTCAATTTCTTCTCCCACTCGAAACATCGCACTACTCCACCTAGCACTCTCTTTCTCCCTCTTTCGATGGTCCTAATCCAACCATTCGTTTGAATTTCGAATTTCCGAACGGAAATCCTGAACACTGTAGCAGAAAGAGTATTACCTCCAAGCAGAGCAGGATACAATGCGCTTCTTCGTTGACGTTATGGGGAGAGACGCGAAAAGTTTTGTCGTGCAACTGTTAAAAGAATAGTCTCTTTTCATAAAAGGAAGCTGCTAGTGGTCAGCAGGTTTATGTATTTCTTCCGAAGAGGCCATTTATCTCTTCCGAAGAGGCCAACAGCTGCTCATATGAATTCCTCAATGGGCATTTATCTCCCCGCCGCTAGCCTGAGTAGTGGGCATCTCCTTTTCCTCACTTGTTTCTACAGCAATAAGTTGTGAGTATGCATCAACACCTCTGCTGGTCTAGCTTAAGCCTAGTGTAAAATTTGTCCATTTTCAGTAGTCTTCATCTCTTAAATCTCCACTTCTCCCACTTCTATTTCGCACATTTTCTATAATGACAAAGTCGCATTTCTACGAGATCAACGTCGGTGTCTGACCCTGGGTCGTAAGAGGCTCGAAACGCGCGAGACGCCTGACTTTTTGAAACTACATATGTTCAACCATAAACCGCCATGAGTTCTTCTACCTTCTTTTTCGATTGGTTTTCAAACCGTCTCGAATATCAACATCGTAGTAATGCCATGGGTCTTCTACATACATAGATAGCAATTCAATAACACTAAAATTTGCTCAGCAATTTAACCTGAATCTAACCTTAATACATGTGTTGAAAACTCTTAGAAGGAGGTCGTTTTTCACACGCCTGAATTGTGTTTATTTCATTTAGTTGTTCTCCTTCGAGGATGACATAGCTAGCCGCGGTGACTCAGTCGGTCCTTGATGTGGTCTGCGATGAAAGATCTCAGATTCTGACGATAATCTTCAAGTCCTCGTTTCTAACCAACATGGTTACGCATACGTCCAGATATTACAACCAAATCTCTTATAACAGTCTGTCGTTCGAAAAATCTGAAGGATCGAAAATCATCTGTAAAATTCATCGTTCTACTGTGAAGTAGCTACACTCTGTTTCATCATATCGACATTCGACAAGAAAATAACAAGCATACGACGTACTACAACAACCTAAAATATTAGTTCATCTCATTAGTTCAATTTTAATTGTCAATCAAGGACTGCTCGACATCCAGTGCTTATTGTCATGTGTATGGTTTACGAAATGCACAAGAAACATTATCAAAAACTAGGTGGTTCGAAGCAAATTACACGCATGATGAGTCGCTCTTACCTCCTTTCTTACAACGATCTTGATGGTTAAAACTAACCAGAACAACAGATGCTACGTACAACGGGTGAATAATATTATGTGATGTAGGACTGCTAAGTAAAAATTATTATGGAACGACTCTCACGACTGTTTGTATAAACATAGGTTCACCACCAATGGGGGTGGTACTTCTCGCAGTAGATAGCATGCCATAATATTCTGTTTTATTGGGACAGCGATCACGGAGCATGGAAAATGCTGATGGATAGCAAGTGCGCCTCCCCTTAGCACGCAGTGGTAGTTGTAACAGCTAGTATTCATATTCAATATGATTCAAGTACTGTAGTAAGCTCAATTCATCTTCCTTTCATTCTTCTTTTTCGTAATGACACTTGAACTTATCATTTCATCATCCGGCCCCCTAGTAACACTTCGACCGCGGCCCTGAATACTTCTCTATGCAGATGGTGAGTTCTTCCATTGAGCCGATGGCTCTTCACCTCCTCAGTAATTTCTTTCTTCTAAATACAACAAACATCACGTCAAGCCTTTCGTTTTGTTGGGAAAATAATTCAATTTTTTTTTTGGTCAGAGATCAACCCTAGTCATAGTCTTAGTCTCATTTCATTGTTAAGTAGTAACGAAGCTATTACCACGCACTTCACCCATTCACCTCGGGGCTCGGCCCATCCACCATGATGGCCTGTTTGTATCAATCGTACCGCACAGCGAAAAGCTCTAAAGATGACACTAGACACCATAGAAGCAACAGCTGAATCGGGGTCATAGTGAGCTTCGGCTTGTCTAGTTCCGAATAAGATAATTATTCACCTCAAACTACATCAAGTATGTAATACAGAATGCAGCAACAACTTTCATAAACAAAAACCATTCTCAAAACCACGACAGACAATATAAGTAATCCAAAACAAGTTGAAGTTCTTTCGTTTCCTATTCATTCTAATCCAAATCGTACTATGAATAGGCCGTCTCATCACAGCTAGAATCGAATTCACTGTCTTCTTCCAGCGCGTTCCCATCATACAACATAACACCTAGGAAGCGGACACAGGTGCCTTCCACTTCTCTTCTGTCGTTTCGGTAGCGGCTTCTTGTTCACCACCGGCAACGCCACCACCACCTGCACCCTGAATTGAGTCCAGGTTTTTTCGAAGGGATGGTTGATACGGTATATGAGGAGGTACATAAACCTGAACCAAGATGTCATGTACGGGGCATCAATGTGTAAGTCTCGGTACTAATGAAAGAAATATTCATTCCTGTGTTTTTGTCCATCTCGTATAAGACTACCTGTCCAGTCGCATCTGCATCTTCGCTCCGCGACTTTCTTTTTCCCTTGCCTTTATTGACAACAGTCCAGTGTTGCCGTGGACCTTGGAAACGGTTTAACGAATACGACATTGGAAGAGAAAAAATCTATTAGACTACGAGAAGAGTTGCTTTTGGAAGACTACGACATTGGACGAGAAAAAATCGATTGGACTACCAGAAGAGTTTTTTTTGGAGGACCAAGGGGACTGACTATCAAAGTGAGAATAAACAGCATAGTGCTGCACGGGATAAGCCTAGATTTGGTGAGGTGAAAACTAACCGGTTGCTTTACTTAGTGCTTTGAGAATGATGATGATGATATACCCAGTCCTTAGACGGGTATGCACAGTGTATTTAATTATATGTGTTAGAAGAGTAGACTATCAAAGTGAGAACAATCGAGTAGTACCTCCTTTGCCTCCGCCGTATTGATAGGCTTTGCTATTCCAGGAAGTGGACGTAACTCGTGCTTTCGCGTCTCCACCACTTGCTGCACCCTCTGCACCAATGCTGTCCGAAGACGATGCAGTGGTGGACGTCTTGGAGGATGTCTTGCTATGTTCCGTTCCATTCGCGGCTACCTCTGCTTGCTGCCCACTCGTCGTTGTATTGGAAGTGTTCGAAGCGCGGCTCGTGGCAGTAGCACCAATGTTCGAAGCATTGTTAGTTGAAGATTGGAGAGTTGAAGTTGTAGAAGACGAGTTAGCAGATGCTTCTCCTTTTTCTCCTTTGATAGCAGAAGAGCTGCCTTTTCCAGTATGATCTTTGGAATTGTGCCAAGAGCTGGAGGCACCTTTGTAAGAACTGCCTTTCTTCGAAGAGCTTGATGTATAGTCTTTACTATTGTATGACCCATGATAACCTCCTTTTGTTCCTCCTGAGGAGTGTCCCCCTCCGGCACTAAGACTGTAGTAGGAACTACTGCTTCCTTTGCTACTACCCTTGGCCTTGGTTGAGCCGGTGGTTGTACCAGGGTTTTGCTGTCGGTGCCACTGGGCCATGTACTGAGCGAGCCAGAGCCATGGCGCCTTTCCCTTACCTTTGCCTTTGGTACCTGGATAGCTTCCTCCACTCGTGCCTGCAGCACTGCTGCCGTTGCCTGAAGACGCGCTAGCTCCGGCGCTAGCGAGACCGGTTGTCTTAGAACTACGACATGCTCCTCAGAACATTAACTTTGAAAAAAAGTGTGGAAATACAAGAGAGCCTTTTACTACCACGGAACTCGAAGTAATGCTAGACTCCTATCCCCGTATGTTAACTTTGTTCAGCGTGGTCTACGACATCGTTTGAAGGGACTAAACTAGGATAATGAGGGAAAATTAACCGGTGATTTTTCTCTATGCGCTTTATAGGCTATCGAGCTGATGTATGAATGAAGAATGAATGAAGATCACATGATGAAGATCTTAACTGCAGCACTCCCCGCCAACGCCGCAGATCCTAGACTGGATGAGGTTGAACTTTCGAGTACAGCAAGAGCCTCAGGAGTAGCAAAGATGCCTGGCCACGAATACCAACCTGACTGGTCTCCCATCGCGGCTCCCGGATAAGCTACATAGGGATACGCTCCGGCACACAGTGCCGCTGCTCCTGTTGCTGCTGCACTAGATGAAGAGGGTCCAGTTGTCGAAGTTGTTGCACCACTAGAAGTAGAATTAGAGGTGGGTTTTTGGTGTTCGTGGGTTCTCCCGTTTGTTATGGCCGTGGTCCCTCTTAGGACGAGAGCCATAACAAACGGTAACAAAAGCACCTTTAGCCTATACCCTTAATAGAAGTAGTTGCACCACCACTAGAAGGTTGTATACTACTACTACCACCAGCAGATGCCTGGAGGTGCTGTTGTAAAGCCCAAGAACTTGTTTTTCCTCCAGCCTTGCCTTTTTGGCTTCCCTTCCACGTCGACGCTCCTTTTCCCTGTTTTCCGGTATAACTAGAATAAGAACTATGACTACTAGAACTATGAGCTCCTCCACCTTTAGCTGTTCCAGCGCTGCCTGTTCCGGAAGCCGATGTTGGGGGTCCGCCTGGCGAACTAGCAGTAGCAGCAGCGGCAAAGGGACTTTAGAGCTATCCACTTGATTCAATTTTCAACTACTGCTACTTTCGGACGATGATGTTACTAGTCGGGTCGGATTGGACCTACGACTTCCCTGAATCTCTCTACTGAGGAGTAAGTAATGTCTTCGCAGAAGTGAAATACTAAGTAGTGTTACTCTCTGATACTAGTACTTTTTAAGGAAGATGCGGTCCTATCAGATATGAGAGCCTTAAGGATTCATGTGGTGATGAGCAGCGGCTGCCGATGCCGCAGCAGCCCCCAAGGAGCCGCCTCCCATTGCCTGCTCCCATGGTGATGGTCCTCCCATCGTTGCGGCTCCGGGAAAGAGAGGGTCATCCCAAAAAGGCCACAACGGAAAAGGTCCAGGCGACGTTGCTCCACCATGATACGCACCTCCTTTTAGACCCGCGGTTAAAAAAGAATTCGCATTCAAAGCTGCTGCTTTACCCGAACTCGAGGACGTTGCAGTAGGTGTGGCTCCTTGATGTTGCAGTAGTTGTGGCCCACCTACTGCTCCCGCTGCTCCAGAAGACCCATTGAGAGCCGCTGCATGTTGTTGTTGAGATAGCTGTACTACACTAGCAGTTCCAGGTGCAAACCCTTTCTTTTCGGTACTCCATGGATGTTGGGCTTGGGAGGCATGCTGCAATTGGGAACCTTTAGAACTACCTCCAAATTTCCCACCAAACATCTGTGAAAAACCAAACGGTGACCACATACCCCATTGCTCAGCAGCGGCTTTCGACATGGCAGCGAAATAGGACCTTTGGACTGCGAAAATTCAACGTCGATTATGAATATCAATTTCAATTACAGAAACTTGCATGAAGATCTAACTAGGTGACAGAACAACAACAACAACAAAACAAAAACCGTAGTTGTGATCTCAGATTGAAGATAGTACCCCTTAGCTGCCATCTGTGCCGCTCCTGCTCGTTGTATTTCTGCCGGAGATTTGACCAGTTTTGGAGTCGCAAAGCCTTCTGAACCATCCCACAGCGCAGGCCATGAAACAGGAAAGGACCACGGATCGTGAGCACTAGCTGCTCCTACTGCTGCGCCTGTCTTGATATTCAGATTGAAAGTGTGTGAAATCGCGAAGAACATAGGTATTGTTGTTTTTGAATGGTTTTGAATTTGATGTTGACCAATGACATGCATGGCAAGATAGTTACAACTAGGAACTTGACTCGTCGAATCGAAATAGAAGCACTCAATCAGCGTGCTGCTTAGTCAACAATTATAGGAACATATTAGTACCTGCACTCTGCGCTGCTGCTGCACTTTGGGCTGCTGCACCCTGAGCTGCTACGGACTGCAATGCCATGAACCTCTCATACCAATCTGCATACGCTGCTTTATCCCGCATTAACTGCTGTGCATAAGCACCTGATGTGTAGTATAAATGTTGAGCATGTTTTGCAACCCTAAGTGACCAAACATTATAGTAATCAATTAGTCCTATCTACTTATTAATGATAATCATTATTACGAGAGAGATAAGCCTCTAGCCTCACATCTCCAGACGGACCGACGGCCCGCGCGGACGGAATCAGAAGCACGGCGACGTTTACGAAGTATGCATATCTATTTTTTCATAATAATTATAGTACGTGTATAAGCTTCCTGCTGCTTTGCATCGCGCTCTACTAGTTCTGGTGCTCCCGTCATTTCCTCGAGATGTGATATTGCCCCCGTTTGCCACCTGAAAAGAAGGGTACAGTGGTCAACAATAATGCGAGCGAAGATAGCTCTAGTTGTTTAGCATTTTTTTTTGACTTTAGAAGATAGCTCTAGTTGTTCATAAACGGAAGTCTAAAGTATATTATTAGGAGGATCTCTGGAAGATAGTTGTTGCATTTGCATAGTTTGCTCTTGTTCTTCGAGTATAGACTATACGGCACAAATTCTGCTGTCTCGGCAGGCACAAATTCTGCAGTTTCAGCTGATAGGGAGGTTGCCCATCCTTCCTCAGCAGCCCATTCCGGAGGCCATGCGTCATCTGAGGATTAGGCGAAAACGCGAATGCATTTGTGGAGAGCGCATTGATATTGAATTATATATATTACCCTAGTTGTATATTTATAAAAAGCTTTCTCAGTTCTTGCACAACAATAATTCAGGACTCGATCGAGTTGTCCCGCCAAGAGTTGCACTGTCTGCTAGTGGTCCAGTCGGATAGGATAGGAATTGGCTCGCCTCGGAGAGGTGAGCGCTCACGACTATGAAAACGCCGAAAAAGGAGACATCTCAGTACCTCCTTCTTTGATCTGCCCTGAGCGACATTCGAGGTAGTAAGCTTCCGCTGATCCCGCTGCGGGCATGCCTTTCTCCGAAGAAAATTTAGAAGGCATCATCTTAGGTTCTGGTCCGCCTAAAAAAGAGACAGACATGGTGATCATCTTTGTTTTACTAGCGCAATATAAATTTTGAAGCTTTCAATGACAGCACAGGTACACTAAAACTACTACACTTACCTTTTTCATACACGTAGCTCCTTTGCTACGCGAATCGAATTGTCATTCTATCCTTCTACTACGTCTAATTGTTGCTGTTCTCAAAAAAAATCGCCATAACTCCAGAGCAACTTCCCTCCTCCAACAGCGCCTCATTCCTGAGTTGCTGGAAGTCTCGTCGGGCGCGTGCAGACAAACAGAGTCCGGGAGTACTTTCACCAGCATGCGTACTCGTGTGACCACTGCTAGCACTGTCCTTCATACTGTTGATGGTGGTTACTCAATAGCAGGATAGGATAGGATTTGATTCACCGTCGTTCAATAGCAATGCGGTACGAGCAATGAATGAAAATGTCTACAATTTCTGAAATGATCTACAGCTTCTGAAACAATTTCGTATGTCCTCGTGAAGCAACTTATATGACGTGTGTGTTGATGCTAATTCTACAGAACAAAATGTCGTCGCTCGAAACTTTGCTACCTATGATGATCAGCAATAGTTGAGGAAGAGAAAAATGAGCGGGATGGCACTGGTCTCCCGGTCATCTATCTTCTAAATTGCGTACCTATTCCTTCTATCTTTATCGAGTATCTATTCGCAAGAACGATAACATAAATCTTCGATACAGTACAGCAACAAACGGATTTTAGAGACTAACAAGAGATAAGAATCACGAACAACTTGGTTCTTTTGACAATAGATATAACGTTCAACTTCTATTTATCGCAGGACTTTTTTGAAATCGACTGACAATCTTCACGACAACTACGACTTTTCAAATTGTTCTCTGTGCGTAATACAAACGAGCGCTACAACTGAAATTTGTTCTTCTAGATGATACATACAACTAGTCTCTGTGCTGGATACGTCAACTATCCTAGGAAAGTCAACTGTCTCTGTGATTCATACAACTATCCTAGGAAAGTCCTGCTACAACGCACGTTACAGTACATTTAGCAACAGTAACAATATCTCCCAAGATTCCTGTCGGAGTAAACTGGATGTGTGAAAAAGTGTATCATAGCTGTGATGTGGGCGTTTATCTTTATTCGTGCTTTCTCAGACGATGAGCAAAGTCCCGACGATTTCGTGTTCAACATGCAGAGGAGTCAACGATACCATCAACATTCAAGTACATCATGTAGGAGTTGTTACTTTGAAGTTCAACAAGCTGCAAAGAATCTCTTCAACATGCGAATGTTGATTGGATCTGTGATGTCTTTTCTTGTACTTGATGGATACGTGGAAGTTTTATACCATGTCAACGCAGAGTAGCAAACAGCACAGCAGTCTGCCGCGAAGGCGATGGATTCTGAACAACTCTCAAAGCACATGTATGGTAAACCACCAACCTACTTCGAGAGAAGTCTTTATTCTTCCTCTCAGAGGATGGGGAGTAGAAGTGTTTGTGTTTGTTTACCTGATAAACTTTGACTCAACAAATGCAGCAGCAAGTGCGTTGTATCTGTCTGCAAAAAGAAGTTTTGGGATGGGTCTTCAGAAGTGGGGCACAAATACTTCAATTCGATCGTAATATGGAGGTGTCGCGATAAAATCCGTAGTCATGCATTGGAGTCTCCTTCTCATGATAGTGATGTTTGACCTCGAATATTTAAATAAATTCAACAAATGACAGTAAGAATTGCCTTATGATTCATCTATGTTATCTTCTCCCTCCCTGCTAGAGCACCTCTTAATCTTCGATCTGTGAATTGAGAAGCACGTGTATGTAACCTTCTTCGTCTTTTCCCTTAAAAAGCATTTATTTCTTCTTCTTTTTCGGCGGGTCGACTTCACCGCAGACTTCCTTCAAACGCTTCATATCCGCCACGGCGGCTTCCACAGCCGCTTTATCGGCACCTGCTGCTTTCAATTCTCGGACTTTGTCCTTCGCTGCCTGCAAAGCAGCCTGTTCTTCTGGTGTGCCTTTCAATTCTGCACCTGCGGCTGGAGCTGCGGCTGGAGCTGCTGCTGGGGTAGCTTTCGGAGCTGCTGTTGCTTTCGGTGCTGGGGTGGATTTCACTTTCGGCACAGGAGCAGCCTTGGGTGCCTGTGCAGGAGCAGCAGCTTTTGGTGCTTGTGCTGGCGCTGTCACCTTTGCCCCACCTGTGGTCGACGCCCCACGTGCAGGCGGAGAAAACGTCGACTCTTTGCACATTTCCACTTTTGCAGGAAGCACAGACTGGAATTGCGGAAGGTCAAGACACTTGCCGTACCAAGCCATTAGGTTCGGAAACTGCTTTCTATAGGTCTCGTCCAGAGCATAGCGAAAAACATCCGCTAAACTGCACACCAAAGCGATATCCGCAAGAGTGACCTTTGTGAAGTGTGTGGTGGAAGATGAAGAAAGAAGTACAGGAAGACATTGTGATTGATTGTTGTTTTGCGTAAAGGAAGTGAAAAGTAAGCTTGTGAACCTTAGATAGTCAAAAAACATATTCCAAGGAAGTGAAAAATAAGTTGAAATATTTCGTCTTGTTCGAACAGCGGAAGTTGAAGTTCAGCATAGTTGTACTCATCCTGGTTCTTGAACGAGGACGCCATCAAGCAAGATATTAAGATGACATTTGGTACCTCTCGACCGACAAGGAATGCGGTCTTGCTTAATTGAGTCTCCATAAGAGAGAGTGCTGCCGTAAGATCAGCTGCGGCCGAGGTCAAAGTCGCTGGTGCCGGAGTATCGATGTACTTCAAATGAGACCACCTGTTGATTATTGTAGAATCATTTTTGTTACGCAATGATGAATCTCGGAAGTCGATCGTAATCACATGATTAGGAACCAAGACAGAGAGATTTTTAGTCGTGTAGGTACCCATGAAAAAAGTTAGCTTCAACAGTTCCTTCTTGTCCCAGTACGACAGTACGACATTGTCACAAGTAACTATGTATAACATCAAAGTACACAAGCACTCCAGCTGGGACTTCTACTTCGCGGGTGCAAAACTCCATCCACGAATCGACTTGGCAGGCTTCACTATTAGAGCTGTCCGTAATTCATCTTTCAAGTGCATCCTTGAAAAGTACTATGGGAGAGTATTATTCCCTTAGGTGGATACTCCTCCATACGTAGTTCCAAGGATACGTCCAAAGATGACGATGATGATGATATACCCAGCCAATTATATTGACGGGTGTGCATTGTGCTTCTTTAATTATATGAGTCCTTTTAACAGCCTTAACACTAAATTTCGACCCGAAAAGCGAACAGTCAGGTCGCATGCGAGCAACGTAACGCGCAATTGCGTTACTGTTGGCGATAACACCTCCTTCCGTCTCTAGAAATGGCAATCGCTTCCACGGATTGTGGTCTGTATTTTCGGGATAGATGTTTGTGTTTGGGGTAGATGTTTGTGTTTGTGTTTGTGCTTTTTAGAAGAAAAGAGTTCGCGGTACTCATGAGGACACCTCTTTTCCTCCTGTATTTGTTCTCAACTAGAAATTTACAAATAGACATACAAGAACGAAAAAACTACTATGATTAAGGCTAGAAGAAATCCATCCTCACAGGCATCTTGGTCCCGTTTCTCAAGGGAAAAAAGACGGAAGATGCCGCTGAAGATGGATTTCTTCTAGCTCTAATATGACACAAAGATAAGTTGTAATTGTACCCATACTATCGGTCGCTGCATTGTATTGTTTCGATTCCAACTTGATCCCGCAGAATTTTGCAGCCACTAGCGCTTTCTGCGCTTTATATTCAGACTCCTTCAAGTAAACCAAACGCGCCATTTTTTTTTGCTACTTCTAGGTAAAGGTAAACGATAGATTTAATCAGAATTGAAAACAAGCGGGTAAATCTTAGATAGTCATTTAATCAGTATTGAAAACAATCAATGCCTTTTGATAGGTAAAGATGAAAAGTTCTCAAGTTTATGTAACCAGTTTGTGCAAGAACTGCTGCTGTCAGTGGTGTTGAACAAATGATGAGGTGAACCTAGTTGTAAATGCTTGATCATCATCGCCATCCCAGTCGTTCCAAAGTATTCCAAACTATTCCAATTGTGCCAGAATCTTCAAGATCAACATTAAATTCTTGAGTCTGATAGAAGATAGCCAGAAGATCATGATCGAAGATGAACATCCAAGTGAACATCCAAGTAAGTAAAACCGTCCACGAGCAATAGGCAGTTTAAACTCGGATTGCGAAGCTGCAACATATTTCATTCCTTGGGTTGATTATCAAGCTTAGATTCTTCTCTAGTTGTGTTGATGTGTTGGTGTCATGGCACAGAAATTGACGATCGTACATGTGGTTTCGAAAGGAGAGAGGGCCCACCAAATGCGTTTGCTAAGATAACGATAAGCAGCCATAGTCAAGTGGTGGCCGCTTTTAATTATGAGGACACCACTGCATCAAGACCAAAAATAAGCTACTCATGCTGTAAAGAGCCAAAAAATTCTTCAACAAGAACAATATTACCTTAATAGTGTAGTTCTTGTTCAAATACAAAGAAGATCTTGGTCCTCTAATACCTGGTGTACCTCTGCTAAACTTTGATTCCTAAATTGAAACCACTGAGTCATCCTTGCGAATCCTGTTATCATTTTGCAGTCATCCTTCGTCTTACCACTGTGGTCATCCTTGCGAATCCTCGTATCATCGTGGTCATCCTTGCCATCGCGGTCATCCTTGCCATCGCGGTCCCAAAAAGCCAGTGACACACTGTAGAATCTCCGTCCTAGCTTCCTCCCCTTTGTGGCGCAATTCCTGGCGAAAGCCAGTTTTGTAGGAATTTGTCATCCTTAAACGCTCGACTTCGGCATGCTCAGGGGTGCGTTTGTACAGCGGTTGGTTCAGGAATTTCTTTTTCTCTGGGTGCATGTCAGCAATGGCATCATCCTCTTGAAGATCTTCTGGTCCTCTCTCTAGCCATAACCGTGGAAAAAGGATGTCCGCAGCGACTGCATTAGAGAGAGACGATGCAACTTTGAAAGGAATTGATTACTTTGAAGTGATTGCATCTAAGGAAGTGACTACTTTGAAAGCATGTCTGTGTAGTACTTACTTTGAAGTGATTGCATTTAAGGAAGTGACTACTTACTTTGAAAGCATGTCTGTGTAGTACTTTGCAACGAAACGACAAAGAAGAAAATAGTCTCAGATCTAGTACTACAGCTCTTTGTAAATGTTGATTGAGGACTTCACGATTTCACTGTCTTATCACATCCCTTGCTCATAAGTGCTGCTTCGTCTCGCGTTGCCGTGACCTGATGCCGATGAACCAAGTCTCTTGCCGCCATTATCTGAGATACTTCGAAAATATAGGGCGCCACATCGACACAGAAGGCATCGGATGCTCTTGCGAGAATGGCTGTAATGAGGTCATCGTGGGCTCTCTCTTCTCCAGTAGGATCATTTCTCGAACTCGTCGAAGGAAGTCGTGGCATCTTCAAGTGGTACAGATACCCAAGAGCCAGACGGATCGCTTCCGTATTGTCTTTCAGTCCCAAGTCCGGATGGCCATCAACTGCAGCTCTTTCAGGGACCATTAGACGGTACCTTTCCACGACATTACCAAAATCATCCCACATTTCCTCTGTCAACCGTTTTATTTTCTCGGCATCCCCCTGTCCGGTAGAGGGAGTTTCAGAATGTTCTGTCATACCGAAGACCAAAGAAACCAAGCGACTTGTTCTCCACGACAGCTGTGCTTTTTCCTTGTGCCCTTCCTTCTTCTCTCGGTCGAAGCAACACGAAGAAGATGCTGCTTTTTCGTCGGAAAAACAGGAAGAAGATGCTGCTTTTTCGTCGGAAAAACAGGAAGAAGATGCTGCTTTTTCGTCGGAAAAACACGAAGAAGATGCACAATCTTCAGGTTCATCACCGCCAAATTCGTATTTCTTCTGCCAGAATTCTTGTTGAACACGCAGTTTCATATACTCCACAAACTCCAGTTTTGTAGGGACATCGACACCAGAGAAGTTCCCTGGACGAACTGCGGACACAGTCCTGTCGAGCAGTAAGACCATGGTAAGACACCAGACCATGGTGCGCCGAAGGGGAAGCATGTGCAACTGGAGAGGAGGAAGCATCGACATCTTCATTTTGTTTGGTAGAAAAGTGCCTCAGAGAAATTCAGGGGGGAAACTTACTTTGATGAGGACCAAATTTGAACGCAGACCAGAAGGAACATTTAAAAGTCGAAGTAGTGGTATTTTCCCAAAAAGAAAAGGTTTTGTTGGACACCGATCTACTTCACATCATGTGACAACATGATCAGCAAAGCATTTTAGAACATTTTTTATGTGCACATGTCCTTTTCAATAGAGAAAACCTCGTCAAAAGATCGCCAGACAACTTAAAGATGCCACCTGTAACGTCTCAGAGAAGGAGAACGGTCAAAATTGACAAGTAGCTCATTTCTAATCGTACAAATGCGACTGTTTGTGTACAACTGTCATTTTCTCTCATACATTCTGAGTCACTTCTGCGCCAACATTTGTTACCATCTTTCCTGCAAAAGGGACTGTTGATAGCATTCCTGATATTTCCATTTTTCCTTGGTCCCTGTCGTTGGATGGAACCAGGCAGGCGACACAAGTCACTAGAAGGGTATGGCGTGATGCCCAGATCAGTATTCCGAAACTGTCGACGGGACTATTAATACCAGATTTCGTTTTCCGAAGTCACTAGAAGGGCTACCTTGGAGGACTCACACTATGAATTTAAATTACATGTAAGTCACTGCACCAAGATTTGTGACCTTGGAGGACTCACACGGTATTACTTTGACGTCACTGCACCAACTTTTGTTACCATTTCTACCTTGTCCTTTCCATGTATACCACTTAGCAAAGACAATTCCAACATGTCATGCACGATGCATATTCGTGTCCTTTCAGTGTAATGAAAATGCACTCCCCGCAGAAGAGCCACATCTTCTGGCTCTTCCTTCCTTAGACTCTGTTCGTGTTGTTGGTGGTCAGGATTTTCAAAAAAACTGTCCTCGTCTGGCGATGAGGCGGAAACAATGGCGCCCTGAACCACTGGAACTACCGTTAGAGGTATGGGGAGTTCGTCCTTTGATGGATATCATCTGGGTCCCTTTTCCCTCTTGTCTTTTTCCTCCAGATGACTTTGGAGACGAATACCCTACACACATAATACAACGGGGCCAGATAATCGTCGGCCTCTACTATAGATGCTATCGTGCTTCCGCAAATCTTCTTCCGTGAGTGCAAGGCTATGGATTTCGGCAATCGGTTCTGAGGGAACTTAGAATTTGATTTCTTAGTACGGAAGAAACTTAGGGTTCGCTTTTTTAGTACGGAAGAAGCTTGTGGTGTGCAAAAAAAAATGATGCATCATCGAAGCTAGCATGCCGAGAAGAGAAACCCTGTTCGGGCTCCACTTACAGTTTCTTTTGATTCTACTCGGAAAGAAATGTTGAAAAGTGAGACCACAAGATTTGACAAGTGCGCCAGACCATAAGGACAAGTTTTTTTGGAACGACAAAAAGTGTATCTAAGCGATGACACATCAAGATCAACCATAACCATGTTCTTCGATAGAACTAGAATGATGCACGACAGCTCTGGGCGCTGGTGTAGTCTCCGGGAAAGTGTCCTCACAGTACTTCAGCTGCTGCTCAACAATGTCCGCTAAACGAGACAAGCTTCCTTGATTTTTGTCGCGTGTTTCGCTCATTTTCGTCCCAAGAACGTCCTCTAAGGCTGACTGGGCATTGTCCACGACGTTCTCATCCTCTACCACGGCTCGGGCATTACGACCCACGTTCTGCTCCTCTTCCAAAACCGTCTTTAACTCTCTTAATACCAGAGAAGAAGAGAGAACAGGTCGTAGGAAATTCGCGTTCTCAAACACCTTGGACCACGAACGTATTCCTGCAGTCCCTGAAGGAAGATATCTAAGTGCCCGCGCCATCGATCGCAACAGAGGCACGCAAGGTCCTTGCTCTCGCAGCAGTGCCAATTCGGCTTGAAATCTAGCTTCTTGGGTTTTCGTTTGCGTCCTTCGTCGTACAAGACAAGCAGTCGCATAGCAGATTATGGGCAAACAAATCAAATTTTTCACAACCATTTCATTTTCGGGTGATGCATTGATGCTCTTCCCCCCGTTATTATCGTCGTTTGCGTTCGAAAGCAAGCGTAGCTCTTTACGGAGCTTTTCCGCAGTGTCAGTCTCAACATTAGGAAACCAAAGCTTCTGGTCTTGAAGAAGGTTTTCGTAGGTATTCTCTTCTTCTTCTTCATCTGGCACCCATGTTGCTCCTCTTGTCGTATCAGCAGTTGCACTATCAGCAGTTGTACAATCAGAAGCACTGCTACTGCATTCCAAAAAGGCTAGAAAAGCACCTAGCATGCTGGAAGACGTAGAGAAAGTCATTTTGCGTGTTCCAGAGAAACCCGGGTGACCTCCTCCAACCCCAAGGAGCCTTAAATCTAAAGTTTTGCCATCCTTAGACCAAAATCTTGGTAGGTCATGAACATGATTTTGACCGTGACATATAGTACTAGGCCCTCCATTTTGATTTTCTCCTGCAGCTGCTCCAGCTCCTCGTTCGTGCTCCTTCCGCGGACTTATAATCACCAATCGACTTTTCTTTTGGGCTTTCGGATATACGATTTCTCTCATGTCCATCTGAAAAAAGGATTTCGATTCACGCTCACCTTTTTGAAAAAATAAGTCGATCGACTCTGGAGAAGCTTCATGTTCCCGTTCGACTACTCGGCTGAGACGTCCAACATCCCTGATTACGTGCCTCACTCTGCGGCAAATGTCGAGTTCCGTGGCCATCAAATTGATCAAAGGAGTCCCAGAATCATAACCACAGTGAGGCAAATGGTCTTGGGACAATCGACTTTCGAAGCCATGATGTTCCATCTCCAAATGGGTCAATTGCGAGATGATTGCGTGGACCCCGTCTTTAGTTAGTACAGAGGGAGTGGATCACTTTGGTGTTGTCTATATGATAGGATCCGATATTTTTGCTGACTTCTCCTCCTGCCACGATGCCTGCCAATGAAGGTAAAAGTTGTAAGTCAGAAAGAGAAAGGCAGAAAAATAACATTGACTATAACACGTAAAAGCTCCTTATAGTGCCCTTAAATCTTGTAGATCCGCAGGTGAGTGGCTATATTCCGGAATCTTGTCTTTGTCGAGAGTCTTTGAAAGCACACGCTCAAGTGTCCGCGAGAGCACAGGTTGGAGCCGCTCGCTTTCGAAAGCCGCTTTAGATAGCGGCACATCCTTGCATCGAGACGCCGTCAGAAGTGAGACGCGGAAATGAGACCTGATATAAGCTTCATTAAGCTCATGCTCCAGCAGGACAGGCAACTTTGACACCAACGAAGCCGATCCATCATTCTTAGTCCTCTCGGCTCTTAGCCGACTGACATCGTCTTCCCTTCTCGCTTTGTCGTAGGCATCGTCCAATCGACGAACATTGTTTTCCGTAGCGCCGGACGCATCATTGCAACTTTGAGGCATTCCATGTCCATTGGCTTCTCTGCTTTCGTAGTCCCCAGACGCACGTATCAAACGCACCCACTGTTCTGTGGGCAAGAGCCATGTAATGCAATCCGGATCAACGTTGCGGGTGGCAATTAGGTGAACAACCACATCATAATTAAAGATCAGCAGTCATGGGTCACTGATCATTCTGAAGGAACAAGACCGCCTACATACCTCTCCCCTTGTTTTCCCTTCAGAGCTCTCCCCTTTTCCCTTCATTTTCCCCTCTGCTCTCAAGGGGTCCCCTCTTCGATCTCAGTGACCCCAATCTAAATGGTGACCGATGAAAGTTGAGCCTTAACATAAGCGGCCTGAGTACCACCCAAGACAAGGTAGTGGTCTCCTGTTGTTCTACTGAAAAGGGTATCAGAAAAGAACTTGTCGTGAGATATGACTTCGATTCGATCACGCGGCAATGCGTCCCAGGATGTCTTAGTAGAGATTTTTTCCGGCTCTGCGTCGTCTTCGTCAACATCATTCGAATCATAGAACACGTCTCTTGAAGATGCTCTCTCAAGCAGCTTTTTGTCCTCATCAAAGGAGTTCGAAAAATCGTTTTGTTTCGGCACGACCTCATCGTCTTTAGTTTGCTCATCCTCCCTCTGCTGCTCTTCCTCTCCTGAGTCCTCGATGAACTCATGTAAGGACAGCGCGTTAGCTCGTTCTTCGAGTCCTGCGTCACACTGCAGCGTAGTCCTGCTCGTTCTTTTTGGTATAAAGTGGTTGTTCTCTAGAATCTTCTTTCCCAGAAATGAGAAAGACGAAGCTCTACTGAAATTTGGTGCAACGACGACGCGAATGCGCACTTTCACAATGTTTTGTACTGCGAAACGGTCACCAGCGTTACCGCTGCTTAGCCCTGTTTGCGTTTCAAGCAGGTGGTAGGATGGGGCAGCAAAGGAGATGTGCTCAGCTGTCTCGGTCCAATGTTGCGGTTGATCTACTTAGAAAAAAAATCACGAACCTCAACGTCAGCTGCTAAGTGCGCTTACCTTGTACCAATCAGTGACTCACTCCATCTTGCTCATATTCATCCCAATAAAAACAAAATCGCAAATTGCCACAGTAATTAGCCATCATGATCTAGGGACGACTGGGTCAGAAGTCCCTAGTCATTATGAAGCCTGGTAAAACCATAAGATCTTTAGTCATGATAACCTGACCTAATCCCTAGTCACAATGACCTAAGTAATCCCTGTTGTCATAACCAGACGATTTCGACGGGTGACACTGGACTCCTTCTGGTAGTACCTCACCCACATACCGCGTGTTGGACAGCAAAGCATGTCCCCCAGCGCCGAGTGGGTTCCTTGCGTCTCTTCGTAACTGGTCGTGGTCTCTTTCATGGTTGGAATCTTTTTCGCTGTTGTGTCCCCCTTCAGCATCGACAAAAAGCAATTCCAAATCCGGTTGCAGCGAAAGCAGCTCCTCCGCAAAAGCGAGAGCCACAGCATGTAGCCCCAATAGCAGATAGTCGCAATGATATTGAACGTCCTTCATATTGAGTTGATTGACTGATAGATGACTCATTGATCATTGGTTGACTGACTGACTAGCTGCTTGACTGACTGGCGAGCCTTCCCTCGAGGTAAAGAGGCGCGCGTCTTTAGTTCACCCTATGGCTCGGCTTCTACGAACCTACATCAGAGTAGTTAGTTGGTCCTGTAAGAGCCTTTGCGCAAATGCGTTCTGATCACTATCTCATTCACTCTTGTTTGGCTTCTCATCGGCTCTTTCACTCTTCTCTCATCGGTCGCCTCTCCAAAATTAGACAACTAACCAAAAACATGTCGTCAATTGCAAAACAACAGACTCAAAAGTGAGTTACTCCCTGCAACTGCCAGAACAGTGCTGCCTATGAAAGAAATCAGAACAGCACTAAAATAAACAGAGAGCTGGAGTTGGTGATGGGGTGAATGCGGAGTTTTCATCTTTCATGATTGTAAGAAACATCCTTGAAAATTTGCAAGAGGTGGATACTCATGCTCTGGGCATGATCTGGGTATTGTATGGGTCTTCGCTTGTATTATATTCGTTTATTACTTCAATGTTCCTATTCATATTAGTTCACTGTAGTTTCTATTCATGTCTATGCAAAAACTGCACTCCGTCGTTTGCTACGTGGGCGTGTAGATAAGATTAAATTGGGATGTTTCAATGTTGATAATAAAAGTGTAGTCCGTATTAGTATCTTCATGATGTCGGGTTTATCAATCGTGCTACGTCTATCATGTGAGTAAGTTTTGGGGTGCTGAAGTCGTTGTCGGGTGTTTAAATCGGGAACTTCGGATGATATGCTGCAAACGAAAAAATCTTTTAGACGGGTGAAAGGGAAGGGATTAGAAAACGGGTAGTAGGCTCTTGGTGAAAAATTTCTGAAGGATAATAGGTCTCTGTAGGAGAAAGCTTGTTTCTACTTACGAAATTCACGATGCCGCTGGAGATGTCCATCCCAGCAACATGACGCGCCATCTACTAGTGCTACTGTATTCGGGGAGTCTAAGTCTAATATTTGTATTTCTATTAGCACCTATGTCCTGCAGGTAGAAGCGCAGGCGCATGGTCGTGGCTCAACAAAGGGAAACAGCATCGAGCCCGAGAGCGGCCCGAGCCACTTTGCGCTTAAAATCTATGCCCGGACCAGGAAAACCCACAGATTTGGACAAAGATCCCCAGCTTTACGAGCTCGAGAGCAGTCAGACCCATGAAGCTTGAAATCTCTGCCCGGACCAGGATAACCCACAGACTTGGGCAAAGATCTCCAGCTTCACCGTAGCACCGCCTACAATGTCTAATAACAAGAGCTATGCAGCCTAGAAAGCAAGAGGATACTAAAGGAAAACAGCATCGAGCTCGAGAGCGGCCCGAGCCACTTTGCGCTTAAAATCTATGCCCGGACCAGGAAAACCCACAGATTTGGACCAAGGTCCCCAGCGTGACGAGCTCGAGAGCAGTCAGACCCACGAAGCTTGAAATCTATGCCCGGACCAGGATAACCCACAGACTTGGGCAAAGATCTCCAGCTTCACCGTAGCACCGCCTACAATGCCTAATAACAAGGGCTATGCAGTCTAGAAAGCAAGAGGATTCTAAAGGAAAACAGCATCGAGCCCGAGAGCGGCCGGAGCCACTTTACGCCTTAAATCTATGCCCGGACCAGGATAACCCACAGATTTGGACAAAGATCCTCAGCTTTACGAGCTCGAGAGCAGTCAGACCCACGACAAGCTTGTAATCTATGCCCGGACCAGGATAACCCACAGACTTGGGCAAAGATCTCCAGCTTCACCGTAGCACCGCCTACAATGCCTAATAACAAGGGCTACGCAGTCTAGAAAACAAGGGTATACCAAAGGGGAACAGCATCGAGCTCGAAAGCGGCCCGGGCCACATTACGCGCAAAGTCTATGCTTGGACCAGGATAACCCACAGATTTGGACAAAGATCCCCAGCTTTACGAGAAAGCGCTTAGTAGGCTCTTGTTGAAAATTTTCCGGAAGATGATAGGCCTTCGTGGAAGAAAGTTCGCAGATGAAGGGCAATAGGTTATTCTTTTTGAAAAACTTCTGAGGTTCTTATTGAAGAAGTTTCTTCCTATACTACGGCTACTCATGACAGAACTCGCTATGAGTATGTGCGTGGGTTGGGACAAAACTTGAGTAGTCGACAAAAATCATTATTCCTGTTTACGTATTATAGCCCTACTCTTCATAACTGTTGGACCATTCGAACACAGACTGCCAAGTCGCGTCTAGTTTCTCACTGAGAAGCGCCTGAGTTTGATACAGATTGCACTAACAGCCTGAGGCTAATGATCTCTGGCGGCTTTGATCCCTGTGGATATTCGTTGGGGTTGCAAGGAGGAAGTCTCAGCTTCTTCATTGGGATACCATGTGCTTCATATGGGAACGCCTATGCTATCACCATTGACTCACACGATCACCATATGCTCTAGCGAGCAGCGCCATACTTTTTTTCAGTTCTTCTAACTGTTTCTCTGTTCTTCGAACCCTGCTGCCTGCCTTGTCCTTCGCTCCTTGTGGTCGGCCACGCTTCTCGCCGTGTGTATGGCGTTCGCCTGCCACAACACGTGCTGGAGAGGGCGCTTTCAACCTAGACGGACTAAGCGGAGCAGATGTCACGCGATCCTTCGCTTCAGCTTTCCCCTCCTCAGGTGAAACACCTTTAGGAGAGTCAGCCGCGTTGGATTCCTCTACTTTATCCAGTAATCTCTTCGGGAATTCCGGTCGGTCCACCTGGAATGTGCTCCGTGCCAGAGAACCCCGATTGATGATCCAGCCTCAGCTCTGACTGTCCAAGCAAGGGGGAGCCCAGCTACGACGCGCCACTCAGCAGATTTCCCAGCTCGTCAGACTCTAGGTAGATGCCCTTTTATCTGGCAAAAGCCAATCAATATTCTTTATTAAATATCCCTCTCTGAACTTTACATCTCGGGTAGAGTATTCCGCCCATCGATGTCCAAGCTTGCAACGATCGTCATGAGCGAACGCTCCAACCAACCAACCAGACGACTTCGGACAGAATCCAAAGGAAGACGCCACGGTGGTATTTGGCCTAGAGCTTGGGTTCAGGAGGGTTGGCTTGAAGTTGTTCACGAAAGTGAACCAGACAACCAAATCGACGGAGCATGCCGATTGAACTCTTCGACGAGTTTCTACCAGTCCTTTCTTCCAAGATTTCCACTGGACTCCTTCCATCATTTTGAGGCATTTCCGCGTAGTTATGCGGTAAACAATCCCAGCAGTCACCAGCGTCCTCGGCGCAGTAATGCCAGAGACGTTTGTCAACTTTAGTCAGCATCGTGCGAACACTGCCGAACAAGGTCCGCATAAAACGTTCGCAGGTCCCATTCATCTCCGGACTATAAGGAACAGCCGGACTGTCTGAGACTCGCAGCGATTGCATAACTTTGGCCATACGTCACTGCTCAGGGCAGGTTCTCCATCCCTCCGGGGGAACCATAATGCCTTGTCATCAAGAGATAAGGAGTAGTCCTGGCGAATGCCTTTGGTCACTTCTTCTATTTCCTCCACGCAGTCACTTTTCAGCTTAAGCGGTCGACACGCACCTTCTTAATTACATCACAGATAATCACTAATACACGTTTTTTTTTTTGATCTAACTGATACGGGTTTGCAATTCACAGCATTCCTAGCCTTTGCCTGTGGTGCGCGTTGGCCTTTCTGTAGATCGCACTCAGGACAATTTACCTGGAGGCCATCTATATGAAAGGGCCCGCACCTTCTATGGAGTTCGAGTCTTGTAAGATAACAACTGCAGACTCCTTCTTCAACTGTTGAACAAATATAACATCTACCAGTCTCTTCTTTGAGTAAGTTGCACGCAAGTGTGGAAGCTGCCGGCGTGGATGGCTTCCTGTGGGTATGGCCTGGCTGGTGTCCGTATGCACGAGACAACCACCCGCGCCTTTGAGGTTGAATCCCCATCCTAATTGCGAGCAGTTTCCCTCCACCTAGCCGAAGTATAGTACGATCTAAGTCCTTTCTCCAACGCTACCAGTAATCCTACAAGTTCTCATAGTTGTATCACTAGCGTCGTCTTTGTGTCTTGAAAGATATTTGCTTGCACAACTATCAACCAGACTAACTCCTTCGCTTGCAGTAATGGAACTAGTTGAAGGACTATGTCCTATCAGTTTTACTCCCCCAATATTATCGGCAGCTATTTCGTCTTCAGTCTCGTCATCGTCCAAATTCAGCGAGCAAAATCCACTCTCCACCGGTTCCGCGTCTCGCTCTGCTCTGCGACATTTTGACGGATAGCGTCCTCCCGGGTGGTAACTCCGTTAGGAACGAATACCATGAGGAGCTGCCGCCATGCCGACTACATTCGGGCAGTTTTGAGGCAAGTCGAGTTTCTTCGCAGTGCGTTTTGTTTCTAGATGAGTCTCTACTCTATGTTGAGCCCTGGCTCAAGGGTCAAAGCAGTGCTGGACCATTCGAGCACAGACTGTTAAGCCGCGTCTAGTTTCTCATTGAGAAACGCTTGAGTTTGATACAGATTGCACTAACAGCCTGAGACTAATGGTCTCTGGCTGCTTTGATCCCTGTGGATATTCATGGGGGTTGCAAGGGGGAAGTCTCAGCTTCTTCATTGGGATGCCATGTGCTTCATATGGGAACGCCTATGCTATCATCATTGATTCATACGATCAGCGTATGCTCTTTGAACTTGATCAGAACTGACAAAACGTTATGGACCTGGTTACAGCTATGAGCATTCGTTATTTCTGCTATCTGAATACGTTGGCGGCCCTTTGACTGTTGACCATTGACTTTGGAACCATATGCGTTTAGGTCTGTAGGTTATCTCTGAGATCTTTCCGGTGTTGTTTTGTCCTTGACTGTGTTGGGAGGCTTGAGCCACATACGAGAGAGAGAGGAGAAGCCGAAGACACCCGCGCGACGGTAAACCCGTCGGGCGTTTGGATAGTGCTCCGGTAACCTTTTGCCTGGCGATCTTGGTCATTTTGATGATCTTCATCCTTCTGATCTTTGTGGATCTTTCCAGGATTATGATCTTGACCAACAATAACTGTTCAACCTCGTCTGAGAGTTCATGCCATATCCTTGAAAAAATTCAATGGTTTTACCATTTTGATGGAATCTTGAATGCTGAGTAAGGTGTTCATTTTGTGATCTACAACTATGACAACGGCCTACATACGAATAACTCACCTGGAGTATATGATCCATCTGATCGAAAAAAAAGGCTCATTGGGCAAAGCAATAACATCCTTGAAAGTCTTTGGATGTAATCGGGATGCTAATTGGGCTGCAAACTGTCGATCATGCAACAAAATGGACATTGATGCTTTTCACTGCGAATAGGACAAAAATTTTGGGAAGGTACATTTCGTAGGAAAGGAAAGTTTTTGTAGAGTCGTAAGCAGGGCGGTTCATTATATGCACAGAGATATTTGGAATTGATGTTGAAAATCCTAGATTTCTAAGCGAGTTCATATATTTCATGACAATGCTCTTGAACGAAGTTTTGTGTCTTATGCTGTTTGCATTTAATTGCTGTCTTCACTTAGTAAGCAGAACGAAAATACAATCAGGGGTAGCAGCAATAAGTTCACATACTCTTATTCGGGTTCAGGTACTATTTGACAATTTAACAATAACGTTGAACTATGCACAACAATGAGACATTTTTTCTCATTCGCATCTCTGCAGTGGTAAAATTAGACGGAATTGTAGCTAGGATATTTTCTTTCATCTGGAATACAAGCTTTGCCCAATACCTCCCATGTCAAAGTCGTGTAAACTTTAGTCGTGTACGGTCTTCAACAAACATTACACACACACACACACACACAGACACACACACACACACACAGACACACACACAGACACACACACAGACACACACACAGACACACACACAGACACACACACAGACACACACACAGACACACACACAGACACACACAGAGACACACAGAGACACACAGAGACACACAGAGACACACAGAGACACACACACACAGACACACACACAGACACACACACAGACACACACACAGACACACACACACAGACACACACACAGACACACACACAGACACACACACAGACACACACACAGACACACACACACACACAGACACACACACACCCCTATCCTTAACAAATCTACACAAAAGACGCGTGTGACCTAGCCTTATCCCATCCAACTAGCTAAATTTCGCGCCCAACTTTTCCAACCTCCAAAAAATCCGCTCCCTTTGGGCTGCGTGGGTTTCGCTCGCTCCTGTAGTTTTGTACAATAAAAAAATTGTGATGTTGTAGATAAAAAGATACTGAATCAACCGACGTCGTAGGTTCATGATCGTCGTGCAAGTAGTTGATCTTCTATTAGGCAAGTAACCTTAGCACACTGATGGCAAAATTAAATTTGGAGAGGAAATACAACGAACAAGAAATAAGATATGTTATATTTTTTCCATCTGCAGGGTCCTGTGGTTAGAGTATCACTATGAACAAACAGACATAAAAATTGGTCAACTCCTTAGTACTTCTTCCTTCGAGCCGCCTTTCCTGTCCGGCACCTTCTGCCACCACCAGAACACTTCATCACCCTTTTTCTTCTGCAGCCAATCAGCGAAGGATAATATGTTACCCTTCCCGGCGTCGATGCGAGCCTCGTTGCTTGTCCGCATCTGCAGCCCCGTGGCATACACCGAGAGCTCCTTGTCGTCGAAGTTGCCCTTAACGATGGCTTTGATGATCCGGAGAGCAGACTCGTCAGCGTAGCCGTCGAAGCAACGCGCAAACGTCTTTGTCAGCTTGCGACTGTCCTTCCCGCAAACATACGCCTGCAGTCCCCACCATGTTGACTGCTCTATGTGAACCGTCCCAGAGCCGAATCCCTTCTCCATCGCATTGAAGACGGACGCAAATTCGCCCGAAGACGGCAGTGCCTCGTTCGATAGCTGGCACGCAAATTGCTGGACCGCGGTGGGAAAAGCCCAAGCCATCCGATGCTCTGCACTCTCGTCACTGTTCGATCCTCTGAGCGCATCGACCCACGCTTTACTGACGCCCAATCATTAGAACTTATCAAATATACAAGAAACACCCAACACTTTTTGTTGTCTCTTTCTAGAAGTAGATATTCAAGTTCGACGCCAGGCGAAGAAGGAAGAAGACCTTCTTACGCGGCTTCTGAAATTGGATTCTGATATACGTAACTGCAGTGTCATAGAATCATAGCTACCTTCTAGCCAATTTTACAAACCCATCTTCAGGCCACATGGCGTTATCATTATTCCACAGGACCAGAAATAGCTCCATGCCACCAGTGCCGACTACATATGTGCTCCGAAACTCCTTAACCAGTAATGAGAAAATAGTACGTCATGACATAACAGTAATCAAGGTGGCGCCCCATCGTTTGATACGGATATTGCGGATCTTGTTCAATTTCCGAGAGACACAGTGGCGACCCGAAACGAAGCGGATGAAAAATGTGAAGAGATCCTGGAAAGGGATTTTCGATGTGAGCCAGAATCCCCATCTTCTCATCCTCCCCCAGACCATGGCCCTGGTTAAAGAGTTGCACTCCAGCGGCGCCGAAATCGATGAACCGAACGTGACTCGAAAGGGCCTTCGCCTGCTCGTTCGTTGTTGCAGAAGTGTCTTGGAATACGCTCACGTGTTTGCGATGAAGCGCTAGGTTCTCGAGCTTAATGTCGCGATGCGTAACTCCGCTAATGACCAGAGCCTCAGCACATCGTTGATATCCGCCGAAAAGCATGATGCGGGTCGACCGGTCCTCGAGATAACGCTGCAAAGTGGAGCTGGGCAACACTAGTTCTTGTTTTTTCAGATACTCTTCGAAAGCACCCTGAGAGGAGGCGCGAGAGAGACCAAGCAGGTGCGTGAACTGATCTTGTGTAAAGTATTTCTCCGAACCCACTACACCTGTCAGCCTGGCTTGATCGTTCAATGGTTGAAGGTCTTGATAGAGCTTGTTCACGCTGCCTGCCCTTTCTTCTTCCATGATGTTGAAGATGTTTGTCTGTTTCCCCAAAATGTCCACTCTTTCCATGACAATGTAGAAGTACTGCGTGCTCTGCGAAACAGCGAACACTGCCGGAGCACATTGGAGATTGACCCCCTCCTCAACCGCAAAGCTCCACCAAAGCAAATATTGAAGGTAAGCTTCGTCAAACATGCTGGGCAGCCAATCCGGATCCTCATGCTTATGCTGGATTGATGCATCGAAACGCTTTACAGCGCAACCTCCAGTGTTGAGCGCCTCCTGCCAAGCCTGCCCAGCCTTTCCGCGAGGCAAGCGCCGATCCTTTGCCTCAGAAAGGAAGTCGTTCGGGCACGGTTCGTACAGGAAAACCTGCACTTCATCATTGCCTCCTTCCACCTCTTCTCCACCATCTGGCATCTTACTCGTCGGAGGAGCGACAAATGAAGGAAACTCCCAACTGGTACCTTGATCTTCATCTGCTTTCATCTCTCTTAGAGTTTTGAGAGTCTTCGAAAGTCGCTTGTGCGGTTCCAAAGCATTCCCGAATATTCTCCAGCGTTTCTCCACGTATTGTTTGGCTCGATTAGCTCGTTGTCGTTTTTCTCGCTCCCTTTCTAATTGCAGTTCCTGTGGTGTCCTGCTCTTGCGCTTCTGCGATGGTCGGCGCCGTTCGCCCGGCGGTCCCAAATCCTGCTGCTCCCCAACGAGGGCCTCAACCTCAGCAAACCCGTTCGCATGGTAACCGTTCGCCAGGTCACGCGACGATAGCTCCAAGTCTTCTATCCACGAAAGCCACTCTGTGTTCTTGTCTCTTCGTCCTCCTCGTTTCCTACCATGGCCTAGCCAACTAGGCAATAAGGCCGCGACCATCCCCCGTCCGGTAACGTGGTCGTAGATAACGAAGGTGCCCAACAGCATCGCCGTCAAGACAACTAAAAGAACTAGTGCGGCACGCGCCCCAGAGTAACAGAAGATTGCCGAGAGCCAGTTCGGTACGCAAAAGAACGTCGCAAATTAGCAGGGTGTGTTTCGATGGCAGGACTATCATGATGGAAATGTAGATGGTGATGGGGGTACGGGTATGCAAATTATACAAAGTGTTGTAATTATCTGATCCCAATACATAGTTCACAATTTGTATATCGACTCAATTTTTTTCTGTCGGACATAAGTTTCCAGCGGAGCTAGCGACTGCGCTTCCAAGTCCTCGGGATGGGTAGCGCCGCTCACGCCTGAACCTTTCACAGGAGACCCGATACTCCCATACCCTTCGTTAGAAGTTGAGTCGAGAAAGTCACAACGAAGTAGAATCTTCATCTTCAAATCTCGTAGTAAATTGAAAGGTTGCAGCACGGACTTCTGTACTGGGCAAGAACGTCATTGACACATAAACTCATCTTACATTTTCACATATACTTATATCTTGCAATTTTTCTTCAAGCCGTAACTTCAGAAGATGACTGCTCCTTCAATGGTGCGGCACACTTGGTAAAGTCTGCTTCGGGCCGTTGTAGAAAGCTGAAATACTTGTTCACGAAGTTCGTCACTGCTTTCTTGGAAGATTGATAGTAAGTGCTGCTTGAGGTAGAGATGCTCCCCGATGCCTTCGATCCACCGCCTTCAAGAGCATTAGAGAGTATGGATTCCATCCCATCTTAGTGGTGATACATGAGAGCTGATACTTTGTTGGTACTACAACATTTGCTAATAGCGTCATCACCGCTAAAAAAACCATGTTCATTGTAAATTCAACGTTTACAGTAACAAGCGAAGTGAATCAACGTGAAGATTCCAACATGAAGCAGGATACATCAAGTAATAGCTATTTCTTTTTTGCATAACAACCGAAGAAAGCTGTGCTCCAGCAGCGTCACGCACATGTCCATCAGTACCGATACCCAGATCCGACCGTTTCTCGATCCCGCACTCCAGATCCTCCAAGAAGTTAGCGGGTTGCGTTTAACCTATTCATCTGCCACCATTTTTAAATGAAGTTCTTACGTGTCTTCCTACTGGAGAACAAACTACACGTACAAAATTGTTCTATGAAATAATGATAGGTCAACTGCTAAACCATAACCACAGGGGTGTCCACGTCGCCTAAGGCGCTCTCCACATCTCCTACGCGGCTATGACCGTCGCCGAATCCGCTTTCCAAGTCGCCTAATGGGCTGTCCACGTCCACCAAACGGCGATCCGCGGAAGTACTGCCGAAGTCTGCCGAAGTGCTATCCGCCGAAGTACTGCCGACGCCTGCCGAAGTGCTATCACCGTCTAACAAAGTACTGCCGACGTCTGCCGACGTGCTATCACCGTCTAACAAAGTACTGTAGACGTCTCCCGAAGTAGTGTCCAGTTCCACCGAAGTAGTGTCCAGTTCCACCGAAGTAGTGTCCAGTTCCACCGAAGTAGTGTCCAGTTCCACCGAAGTAGTGTCCAGTTCCACCGAAGTGCTATCACCGTCTACCGAAGTGCTGTCACCGTCTACCGAGGTGCCATCACCGTCGCCCAAAGTACTGTGCACGCCTACCGAAGTGCGATCACCGGCGGCCAATATCCGGAGAGCGCCTTTCACGTCCGTCGCAACGACGTTAAAGAGGACCGCGTCTGAGAAGTTGAAATGAAGACGAGGATAGAGAAATGTCGGCTTTGATGGTTTACGAATTTCAGAAGTGCTTCCGACCTAGATCTATGATCAAAAGGAACAGTAATACTAGTAGATGGAGTACTAGGTAGTATTATGAAAGAATAGGATAAAAAAAGAAAAAATCGAGCAACATCGCTGTAAATATTTCATCTAATGAATATCAGTCGTACCACTGAACACATTATTTTCAGGCGTCTCTTTTCGCAAATCCGCGATAATCGAAGCTTCCGAAGTTTCAGTAGAAGGCATATTCACGCTCTCACCTAGAAGATGGTTTGGGAGTGATCAATTTCATTTTTCCTTTAATACTATAAGAACAGGACAACATGGATGGGAGAATCTTCATGTCTACTAGAAAGTTCTATCAAAATGATTTGTATGTATAGCATGCTTCGGTGAGTGAGTACCGTCCAACACACGTTTTTTTTTTGGCAACTTTGTCGACTTGATACTCGGATTACCATCAGTATTTGCCACCCGCAAATCCGCCGCCTTTCGCAAATCCACCGACTTCATACTCGAAGCCTTGCCAGTTTCACCTTTTAGGAAGGATAACATCAAATAATATATCTTAGATCTGTGTGACCAGCAAATCGTTGACGAGCAAATATTGAAAGTACTACAGATGGTTGATTTTTACACTTTTTGCGTCACAAAAAAGAGTATCGTTCTCGTTTTTCGTTCAACACTATAAGTAATACAATATGGGCAGAAGGGTCTTCATGTCTACTGGAGAGTTGTACTCACATCGTGTATAGTATGCTCGAGAGGGAGTACCGTCCAACACACGTGCTCCAGGCTTCGCTTTTGGCAACTTTGTCGACTTGATGCTCGAATTTCCATCAGTATTTGCCACCCGCAAATCCGCCGCCTGTCGCAAATCCACCGACTTCATACTCGAAGTATTGTCTTTGTCACCTGCTTAACCAACAACATTCTTGGCAAGTCAACATATGAATAAAATATGTAACTAGTCGGGCCAAATCTTGAGAACAATAATGTTGACGAATCAACATTAAAAGTACTACAGATAGTGATGTCTATTTTTTTCGAGTTTGAAAACAACAAATAATGAGCAGTTGTACTCTTGTTCAAGATTCGACTCGGCTGAGATTTCTCCTGCGTCACTTTCTCGGACACGATTTCCGAAGCACCAGGTGGCGCAGGTCCGCCTTTGTCTTCCATGCTCGGAGACATGGAATGTTTTTCACGAAGCTTCCCTTTCCTGTTTGTCATCTTTTCGTTTGGAGGAAGAGTAGTGACTTCCTAGTCTCCCTGAGTCTGTCTACAACTCTGTCTACTGAGTAGAAGAGTAGCGCCTTAGCAGTCTACCTGAGTCTGTCTGCGTGCTCTGTAGTTTGAGTTTGCGGCACAAGAAAAATTTATGTTAGCACACGACCACCCTGCTGATCTTCTAAAAGTCTACGCTTCTAGCAACGGAAGAAATGTCGTGAACGTCTCAAATCCAATAATTTTGATGAAGTAGTACTGTGTTGAATTGAGTAAATTGAGAGAAAACAGGGGCCTTTAGTATTCGACTTAGGGTTCTTTCAGGTGGGGTCTGTGCTATCCTCATCCAGATGGGCTCTTCAGTACAGGAAGTATGGAGAGAAGTAGAAGTAGATGCGATACTGTTTTTACGAGAAGTGCACGAACCGATTTTGCTTGTTTGTGTCGAAAATTAAGAGCCAATTCACCTGTTTCACTTGTAGCTGTCGGCCGATTTTCTTCATTGAGTTTCACCTCCTACAAGCCGGTCTCCTTCGGTCGAATTTTACTTTTCACCTCCTTCTCAAAGCCGATGATAAATCGATACAAGCAGGAAGGCTTCTCAAGTGGAGTACTTTCATCTGGTCTAACTTATGTGCGCATCTCTCTCTCTTTCATTCATTCACTCACTCATTTTTTACCTGGTCTTCAGGTATCTTTTGACCTAGATCAAAAGGTTTTGCATGTTCCATCCGTCGTATAACATCGAACAAACCAAAGAGGACCGCTCAAGCGAAACAAAGGGAGGGAGTACTCAATCCTCAACACTGCTCTTTCTAGCATTAGTAGAAAGCGTCACACCACCAGCTTCTGCAATTTTTACCGGTAAGTTGATAAAAAACGTCAACATCAGAACAACTCCTATACAAACAAGTTTTTCCAGTAGAATTCACGATCCTGCACAACCATAATTGTTGCATATGAACATCCTATAGAACCTCTGCCCGAAAAGAAACAGTATCAGAGTCGCCCTCTACTTCTGGCCAACATTGCAGCTATGCATGAAAACGAATAAGGTCAATGATGTATAATAGATTTCGTTGTGACGAGACCACAGATGTGAGGATATCATCATTGTGGCGTCTTGAGAAGTCCTCCTATAAAATTAATGATTGATATTTTCATTGTTCTCACGCCCAAACAAAAGAACCGCAGTTTCACCTGTCATTTCTCCAAAGAGGTTGTTTTTGTTAGGTTAGAATTTTGAGAACCAAATACTTACTACTATACACTCTAGCACTTAAGTGGCACTCAAGTATGTGTAAGGCTCAGTATGCATGATCGATATGCGTGAACAAAGTGCCTTTAGCCTTGCTAATACTAGACGAAAAAAAGCTCTTGTTCTTCTTCTCACGGAGAATAATATGCGGGTAGACCTTCCCAGAGACATTTCCCTTTTTTCACCGCCTTCCACACCAAAAGACAGCACGGCTCGACGTGTCAAACGCTAGTAGGTTTTGAAACTCTCTTTACTAGCCACTGTCTCCACTCACTCCACACTGTCCGTCCGAGGTGATTTAGACGTACCGACAACCCATCTTTTAGAACCTCTTTTAGCCTATTCAGAGAAGGAATTCACTAAAAGATGGTGTAAAAGATGGGTTGACGGTACCCATAAGTGATGCCGCAGGAGAAGCGTCTCCGTTATAATTTTTTGTTTCAGGAGGTTCTTCCTGCAGAGATGCCTGTGCCCTGACGAACTCCCGAAACTGCTTTCTGTACAGCTCCCCGTTGCGCCTATGATGCCCGTTGCCGTTCGCTGTACCTCGACTGGTGGTCGCAGGATTCCACGGCTCAGGCACTTCTTCGATGCGAGCCAACCCTCCCTCTTCTCCACTCATAACGGCGTCTTTTGGCGACAAACCTTCCTGTTTCGGCGCAGCCTCCACATGATGAACGGCGGCTTCTTTCGGATCGCTCTGTGGTGGTTGAGCTTCTTTCGCATCGGTGTGTTCCTCATTTTTTGTATGTGGCACCGTCGGAAAGGCAGTTTTGAAAATGCGCCCAACCAATTGAGATGACGACGAAGCAGCAGAACCACCCATCATGGTAGGACCGAGGTGATCAAGGCGCTTTTCTGCCTCGTCATATAATTGCCCCATCAAAGTTCTTAACTCTTGTCCGGGACCATGATACGCAGTGGTCCTCTGCAGCGGGAAATCATCTTCTTCTTCATTGATCTCCTCGGGTGTCGGAGGCCCAGTCTCAATTTGCCGTGGCTTCGCCGCAAGTACTTTCTGGCACAGCCACAAAATACAAAGAGCGATCGGCCAGGCCGTAGACTTAGAAGAGGTCAAAGAACGTAAACCGGCCATCTTTTACACAGGACACTTGTTCTACTCTAATAGTAGCAGAAGCAGTACGAGTAGTGCTTTTCCCAGGAGGTGCGTTCAATATTCTTCCAGATAATGAGCATACAGACCTTAGAATTTCAAGAAATATAGTAACTGAAGTTGGCAAGTGAAGTAATAGTAGTAGCAGTCGAAGTGTTAATAGTTCGTTGTACGTACGTATTTAACCAATAAGCAAATTATTTTTAGTATTATTGTGTGCGAGCGCGACTCTACCTGCTACAAATGATCATTTACAACGAAGCTAATTGAAGGTAATACAAATTGAAGGTAAGGAAACTGTCAATCTCGCTGTTCAGAGAGTAGAAGCTAATTTAATAATTCCGGTAAAGTACTCGATTGCCAAGACGAGATTCAAATTAATAGTTTGAGTTTGCAAAGGGTCTCGATTTGCGACGTAGAGTTTAGTTTGCAGTTCGCAATGTTTGTTGGGACTAATAATTTCAGTTTGCTAGTAAGTATTTGCAAGAAGGGATAGCCTAAAAGTAGAAAGACGAAAACAAGCCGGTAGTAAGTAGAATGATCTCAGCGGATGGGGGGACAACGTAGAAAAAGAAAGACTAATGATATCGATGCGGACCAAAAAACTTTTACATTTACGCGACCTTTTCAAACAAATATAGTAGAACGATTTCAAGATAATGAGTATTGCAGCTGTTGCGTACTCAAGTATGTGCGGTTGATAAGCTGAGTAGTTGGTATTGCAGTTTTGTACTCAAATATGTCGGGTTCAAAGGTGACGAGCAATCAAGTGAGAGTCAAGCGTTCTTAAAAAAGTATTCGGGGTCTTCAACAAAACAACTTTCAGTAGTGGGCCAGCTCTTCGAAAGAGTCAGCTTTTAGTAGCTGGGATTTCGAAAAAATTCAATTGAATATTTACGAACTTAGCTTGTGCATACGAGGTCTAATGAAAGAAGATTAGAACTGATGGATGCCAAAAAGTTTCAAAAGCCAAAAAGCAGATGCCAAAAAGCTAGATGCCAAAAGGTTAAAAAAGGCAACGCCCAAGCTGTCCGTTTTTTGAAGGAAGGTATGAAAATATGTAATGAATGACGAGCAGTACGAGAATTATGTACAAAGACAGAGATACACTGATAAAGATGAAAGTGGATAGATTGTAGGTGCGTTAGTCTGGTTCCAATATAAGTGTACACATATTATGAGCTCCAAGAACTACATGTATCTTTTGTACAACGGTCGTCTGGCCGGTTTTGGGATCTTCAGGGATCATTTCAAGCATCTTTGGGTAGCGGAGGCGCAAACCTCTAAGATTTAGGATTCAACAACTTTGATCTGTGAGAAAAGGGGCCAGTGCACTTAGGATCGAATACCTGATGAGATCCGACAACTCTGATCTTTCAGAAACCGTGACGACAGTTCTCTTACAACATCAAATACGTACAGTGGAGAAGAAGATTACAACATCAAATACTGAGATCTTTGAAGATGGACAATTCCTTTTACGACTACAGATGCTCTCGGCAAACTGAGATCTTTGAAGATGGACAATTCCTTTTACGACTACAAGTGCTCTCACCAGAAAGGGAAGTCCTTTTACGAGCACAGAAGGTGTTCTCTCTTTCACCGACTACTTGCAATTTCGATGCACTAAACTCCAACTCTTTTGTTTGCGGCAAGGCAGGACCGACTTTTGCGTATGTCAAAAGGACGAGCATTCTTTGTACAAGCGGAGGCGTCATGTTTGTTTGTCAAGGCTGCTCCGTAGTTCTCTACGTGGATCTCCATCTTTCCTTTTTGTGTCACCTCGCAGCTGCGGTACACATGCCATGGTGCGGATACTCGTACGATATTTCCTTTTTGATCTTTTTGCAAAAGTCCTCTGTAGGATAGGAGAAGAAAATAGTTCAGTCTCCATACAAAAGCGTGAAAGGCGCCTTTTACTAAGAGGCAGGAGAATAAAAGCCTCTGAGGTTTCTACATCGCTTACAAAAAAAGTTCTGGTAGTCCATTTCACAGCAACGCAAAGGACCAGTAGCGTTCTCATCGCGTTCCACTACTATCAAAGGCGCTAGCAGTTTCGCCTTCTCCAACTACTATCGAAAGTGCATCCACCGTTCTGGTTATCCCTTTTTGTCTTTCTACTAGTAGTTCCCTTCATATTCTTCTTGCTTTATCCTTACCCCTTGTTTTCGACGACAATTAGGATATTCTCGAAGATATCACCGCGTGGTCGCTTGGTCACGTATTTTTTTCAGTGTAAGAGGAAATAGTTTTTCCGTGTAATAATCTCAGTGGCCTCAGAATTCAAGAAACGACTCTTCATATTTAATAAATAATAATATGTTTCGTGACACGACAATGCCTCGGCAAGGATGAGCGCTCAGTGGCCAGAGTTCTTGTCTGCGCTGCGTTTGACAAAAGCATCCGCCCCAAAAGCCCCTCTCACAGAAGCATTTTCTTCAGTACCCTGTTTGACAGAATCACGCATATGCCCGCCGGCCTCGCAGTCCCCCATAGCTCGGACGGGAACTGCAACAGAATTGACAAGCTGCGCCTTTCCAATGTCCTGTAAAGGTCCTCCAGGATTGACAAGCTCAGTTTTCTCAATGTGCCACAACTTAGCTTCAATGAAAGCGGTCTGCTCTTCGCGGGTCATCGATGACAACGAGCTTGTCTGTAAACAAGCTACCGGAGTACTAGTAGAGGATACAGGATCCCTTTGAGCTCCAGATATTTCGCCGTGTTTACACTGTGTTTCATCGTGTTCTTCCATCAACTTGAACCTGTCTACTTGGAGCCCCTCTGTTGAATAAGCTGCATCGGATTTTTCATGCCGTTCTGTGCAATTATTGTTTCCAACTTCTAAGCCCTTCCTGGTCGATCCATTTCGTCTGGCAGACATTTTTTGAGCATCTCCTGCATCGCAGGTCGTCTGGTCTTTCAAGGAACCACCAGTCAAACGAGCAGTCGGAGAAAACAAGTCTCTGAATACTCCGCTCAACATCTCTGGCATTGACGTTGGAGAGATTCCTCCAGAAGCAGTTGATGCGGAGGCTGGACTAAACGGATCACTCTTTGCTTAGTGGACGTCGTAATAAGATCACTGTTGATTTCTTAGACTTATCGAGAACCGGGAAGACCCAGAGCTGTCCAGAACCAGGAAAACCAAAGATAGAAGTAGACCTATCTCTTTTTAGAAGAGGGAACTAATTGGAACAAAAATCTTATTACTATTCCTGGTATTAATCAACACACTATCATAATCAATAGTACTTCTAGTGATACTCGTTCCACCTGGCTTTGATCATGCTAATACGTTCATAATCAATAGTACTTCTAGTGATAGTGGATTCACAAGTGTATAAGTATGGGTCTCGCCTATCGTCCTTAACTTAGACTGGTACCATCACCACGCGCGATCTTCAGCTCGCTCATCATTTTCTCTGCTTAGCGCTCACAATATTATTCATATGTGGTCCGACTTGACTGGGTTCACCCAGCCCTGTGGGAAGTGAAAATGAATTATCATGAGCCTTGGTACGAGAGAAAGCGTCAGGACCTTCATCTAACTTACAGCTTCATCTAACTATAGTCATGAAGGGAACTCTAAGGCTTACTACCTCTCTTCATCTCACTATATTATTTTGAATCTAAGTACTTTGAATCCAACTATTTTGAGTCTAAGTACTTTGAATCCAACTATTTTGAATCTAACTTCTACTATACTCATGCGAGTAGAGCCCTCTGCCTATACTATTTCCATGCGAGTGTTATAAACTAGTAGTCTGTTATAGCTTAATCTACAGCCGCTAGGTCTGCCAGGACGTCTTTTCGTCCGAGATCAGAAAAATGCGCAACAGTTCGCTCCAATGGCATTACACCATTTTCTTCCCCAGTGTAGTCTTGATCTTCCATGGTAGTGCAAGAACAAGCACCCGCCTTTTCCTCCATGTCTTCCTTGTCTTGCCATCCATCCTTTTCGCTGAAAATCGTTCGTGGGTCTTCGCTCAAGCGCCCTTTGGGCATCCAATCTTGAGGCTGCCGATCTCTGTGGGGAGCAAACCCAGCATCATCTTCTTCCCCGGTGTAGTTTCTGGCTTTTGAGTTACTTTTTGCAGGCCTTTGAAATAACGCTCGAGGCCTTCTTTTTTCTCCGTCATAAGGGACTGGAGGTATATTTGCTCTCCAAGAATCTGCTGAAGGGTCTACTTTCCATGTTGATGGACTAGGGGCTCTTGCCATGCTACAAGAATCTGCTGAACAAGGGGTTTCCACGCTGCGTGCTGAAGGGGTTTCCACGCTGCGTGCTGAAGGGGTTTCCACGCTGCGTGCTGAAGGGGTTTCCACGCTGCGTGCTGAAGGGGTTTCCACGCTGCGTGCTGAAGGGGTTTCCACGCTGCGTGCTGAAGGGGTTTCCACGCTGCGTGCTGAAGGGGTTTCCACGCTGCGTGCTGAAGGGGTTTCCACGCTGCGTGCTGAAGGGGTTTCCACGCTGCGTGCTGAAGGGGTTTCCACGCTGCGTGCTGAAGGGGTTTCCACGCTGCGTGCTGAAGGGGTTTCCACGCTGCGTGCTGAAAGGGTTTGCTCTCTCCGTGGAACGGAAGAATCTGCTGAACAAGGGGTTTCTTCTCCGCGTGCAGATGGCTGCTCCACCTCTGCGTATGCTCCTGGCTTTACCGCAAGGACAGACACGACTTTATTTGTGCATGGAGAAAAATCATATGTCCACAGGAACCAAAGGCAAAGCGCTGGAAAAGTAAGAGGCAATCCCGAGAACGAAAAGCGGAAGAATGGCGCCATCCTTTTGTTTTCGTCCGAGAATTGCGTTCTTAGGTTATAGTTCCCAGTCTCTTGTGCATTAAGCCTCAGTTTGGATTAGGTTAGGTTATGGGCCCTGCGCATGTGAATCATATCAGACTATTTTAATTCTGCATGATATGCTGAGTTTTTATTCTTGAGTCCTACTTTTCATCACTAAGGAGGTTCTACAACTTCTACAGCTTACCACTAGACTCAACACTTCTAAGGTTTCAGAAAAATTCTCTAAGGTTTGCAGAAAAAGCTCATCGAGCTTCTTCAAAAAAAAACCCGTATTACAGAAGCCGCGTCAATCCTACCCACACGTTGCGATCACGACACAGGAAACCACAAGAGCAGAAAACAAACTGTCGGAAGGACGAGCGAAGATCTTGCGACGGCTCTGACAAGTACATATAAGCATCCAACGAAACTGTAGGAGGCCTGCTGGCCTGTTCACTTCGGTTCTGTTCGCTTTAGGGGATCAACCATCTAAAAATAATTCATTTCGCAGCTTGATGACGGAACTATCGGTGGGGCCGCGTATGCTTCCGGCCCTCTGCCTGCGCTGGTGGGCGCAAAGGGTACCCTCGTGGAGAGAATAGGGCACACCGCCGCGCGACCAGCTCCACAAGAGTCGCGCCAGGGTTGGCCCTGGCCGGTTTCGCTTGACTCATCATGGTGGCGGGCTGCACTGCGTGCGCAGTGTGTCCGCCTCGGTCTTCTTCGTGCTTGGTTCGCTCCCGAGATTCGAGGGCGCCGCGCGGTGGCTGGCGGTGGGTGCTGAGGCGAGTGCAGTGCGCTGCCCGTCTTTGTCTTTCAGGACGCTCCAGCGGGGTCTAGACTGCTGCCCAGAAGCCCGCCCGGGGTCGGGGAGCTCTGGCGACTAGAATCGCCACGCGGCCGTCTGTCTGGAGCATTCCCCCGCCCCCCTTGTACCCCGCGCCCACCCTGTACAAGGTTACACTGTTGGGCACAGTCCGGGAGCGCATTCTTCGCCGCAGGCTCGTTATATAGGTTCCCCGTCGCGCAAACATTTAACCCTGTACAAGGGGGCGGGGGGCGAGATGGTCACGCATTGCCCCCTCGTCCCTGGCGGCCTACGGCCGCCAGAGGGACGACGCGCCACGCTGCGCTGGTGGGCGCTGATGGGCGCGTGGTGTGCGCCGCATAATCCAACGCGAACAGCCCAGCAAGGCAACCCTCTGCCCCCTCGTCCCTGGCGGCCTACGGCCGCCAGAGGGACGACGCGCCTCGCTGCGCTGGTGGGCGCTGATGGGCGCGTGGTGCGCGCCGCATAATCCAGCGCGAACAGCCCAGCATGGCAACCCTCTGCCCCCTCGTCCCTAAGCCGCCAGAGGGACGACGCGCCACGGCGCAGAGATTAGACATACGACAGGAGCACCAGAGGGGAGTACATGAGAAGCCGCAGCACACAAGAGCAGCCAAGCCAGAAGAACACAGGCCGACCAAACTGGAGCACAGACGAGCCAGGCCAGGGGACCACAAGCCGACCAGCGTGAAATAACCAGACGGCGACGACCTCTCCCGCGTATCTCGTGAACTGGAAGAAGTGGAAACAGATGGAGGCGCGCGCGGTTTTATCGAAACGCCGCCACGTGGAGACCGGTGAGGCCTCCTGTTTGTGGCCAATCTTTTGGAAGAATATGACGAAGCGAAACCGATAAGGAGATCCGGGAAACCCTTGCGGGGATTTTTGTCGGAGACGCTGCGACGGTCTTCCAGTTTGGTCGGTCTGTGTTCTTCTGGCTTGGCTGCTCTTGTGTGCTGCGGCTTCTCATGTGCTCCCCTCGTGTGCTCCTGTCGTATGTCTAATCTCTGTGCCGTGGCGCGTCGTCCCTCTGGCGGCCTAGGGACGAGGGGGCAGAGGGTTCCCATGCTGGGCTGTTCGCGCTGGATTATGCGGCGCACACCACGCGCCCATCAGCGCAGCGAGGCGCGTCGTCCCTCTGGCGGCCGTAGGCCGCCAGCGACGAGGGGGCAGAGGGCTGCCTTGCTAGGCTGTTCGCGTTGGATTGTGCGGCGCACACCACGCGCCCACCAGCGCAGCGTGGCGCGTCGTCCCTCCTAGGCCGCCAGGGACGAGGGGGCAACGCGTGACCATCTCGCCCCCCGCCCCCCTTGCACAGGGTTAAATGTTTGCGCGACTGGGAACCCATGTAACGAGCCTGCGACGAAGAATGCGCCCCCGGACTGTGCCCAACAGTGTAACCCTGTACAAGGGGGGCGCGGGGTACAAGGGGGGCGGGGGAATGCTCCAGACAGACGGCCGCGTAGCTGAAGGACTAGCCCATGCCCCATCGTCCCTGGCGGCCTTCGGCCGCCAGCGGAACGATGCGCCAGACAGGGCGCCCCCCCAGGCTTCTGCGGTCTTCCCGGGAGATGTTCTCGGTTGGAGGTATCTCCTTGGCTTTCTTCGTGTGCGTGTGCTACCTATTCCGGGCGCACTTCTGAGAGCTACAGGCGCACAGGTTTAGCCTTTCCCGTTAATGGTGTCCCAGACTCTTAAAAAGGAGGGCGGGCCCGTGTCTGATGGTGTCGCCTGTCGTCTCATTCGGTTTGTATCGGTAGCCGGAGGGATTGCACAGGAGACGGGCACGCCGAGCGAGCGGCGAAACCGATAAGGAAATGGCGAAAGCACCGGAAAAGAGCCCGGAAAGACGGAGGCGAAACCGATAAGGAAATATGAAAAGGAGAGAGACGAACTGGCCTCGCGATAGGCGGGCTGGCGTTCCAAACTGTGAAGAAAAGCGGCGAAATATCGAAAACGGCCGAGAAGTACCGCGGTCCCTTAACGGTTTCGCTTAAGAGTTTCGCGAGGGATGAGCATGCCCAAGCCCTCGCATCGAGCTCGGTTCCCGCACGGCACGAACTGGGTGCGCAGTTTTGCTCCTTATTTTAAAATATTCACGCGAAAACCATTCCCGCACTCAGCGAATTGCTCTGAAATATTCGGCGAATCTTCCCAAATATTCTCAAAATATTCGCGAAGTATTCGAATGTTCGCAAATATTAACAAAACAAAAAAGAAAGAGACCGCCGCACCGTCTCCGACAATAATCCCCGCAAGGGTTTCCCGGATCTCCTTATCGGTTTCGCTTCGTCATATTCTTCCAAAAGATTGGCCACAAACAGGAGGCCTCAGCGGTCTCCACGTGGCGACGTTTCGATAAAACCGCGCGCGCCTCCATCTGTTTCCACTCCTTTCAGTTCGCGAGATACGCGAGAGAGGTCGTCGCCGTCTGGTTGTTTCACGCTGGTCGGCTTGTGGTCCCCTGGCCTGGCTCGTCTGTGTTCCAGTTTGGTCGGTCTGTGTTCTTCGGGCTTGGCTGCTCGTGTGTGCTACGGCCTCTCACGTGCTCCCCTCGTGTGCTCCTGTCGTATGTCTAATCTCTGTGCCGTGGCGCGTCGTCCCTCTGGCGGCCTAGGGACGAGGGGGCAGAGGGTTGCCTTGCTGGGCTGTTCGCGCTGGATTGTGCGGCGCACACCACGCACCCATCAGCGCCCACCAGCGCAGCGAGGCGCGTCGTCCCTCTGGCGGCCGTAGGCCGCCAGGGACGAGGGGGCAGAGGGTTGCCTTGCTGGGCTGTTCGCGTTGGATTATGCGGCGCACACCACGCGCCCACCAGCGCAGCGCGGCGCGCCGTCCTCCTGGCGGCCTACGGCCGCCAGGCACGAGGGGGCAATGCGTGACCACCTCGCCCCCCGCCCCCCTTGTACAAGGTTAAACGTTTGCGCGACGGTGGACCAATAGAGCGAGCCTGTGCCGAAGAGTGCGCCCCCGGACTGTGCCCAACCGTGTAGCCTTGTACAAGGGGGGCGGGGGGCGCGGGGCACAAGGGGGGCGGGGGAATGCTCCAGACAGAGGGCCGCGCAACTGAAGGACTAGCCCACGCCCCATCGCCCCTGGCCGCCAGCGGGACGATGCGCCAGACGGGGCGCCCTCCCAGGCTTCTGCGGTCTCCCCGGGAGATGTTCCCGGCTGAAGTTATCCCCTTGGCCTTCTTCGTGTGCGTGTGCTACCTATACCGGGCGCACTTCTGAGAGCTACAGGCGCACAGGTTTAGCCCTTCCCGTTAGTGATGTTTCAGACTCTTAAAAAGGAGGGCGAGCCCGTGTCTGATGGTGTCGCCTGTCGTCTCGTTCGGTTTGTATCGGTAGCCGGAGGGATTGCAGAGGAGACGGGCACGCCAAGCGAGCGGCGAAACCGATAAGGGAATGGCGAAAGCGCCCGAAAAGAGCCCGGAAAGACAGAGGCGAAACCGATAA